CCAGACAGTCCCCCTGCAAATCCCAACCACTTAGTGAAACATTACATTATCTTCATGGTTCTGGCACTCACTGAGTCAATTATTGAGGTTGTGTCAAGGAATCTGCTTAATTCATTCAAGGATTAGAAAGCTATGTACAGATTTTGTCTGTGGTTTAGAGATTGGGGAGTGTGAGAAATCCAGCATACAGCACACACCGGACACACTACATATTGCCACACATACCAGATACATGTTAAGCAAGCACACATACGTTTCATTTGGAATTTACATCAATAGAAATTACTTTCTCGAGGCAGGGGTACACGACATTGAGGTATGTATGGCTGTTAGCCTGTATTTTGGTACTATAAGATTTTTAACGTGGTAGAGTGCCTTGGAGGGACTAATGATTATGACTTTACTGCTACAAGAATGTTTGATACTCATTGATGTGTGGCATAATGGCACTATATCACAACCCATCAGCCAAAGTAATTAACATGGGCTTCACCTATACACATTTTTCCATATAACAAACGTAATGAGACAGGGAGGGCCCCTTTCCCAGTTACTCTCATTAGAACCAGCACACATTAGAAACCAGCCATATATCCAAGGGATACAAGTAAATGGTAAAGTAACCACCCCATTCGCTGACCTCTTTTTAACATCTAATCCAGATACATCTCTGCCTCCATTGATGTCCCTCTTACAATCTCTCCACTTAGGGATACAGTCATTAACCATTTCCAATCTAAACACACTATACCCATTTAACTGGAAAAATAATTTCTGGTGCATCTAGGAACCTGCATAACAATCTATTTAGAGCATTGTAACAATAACTTACCCTTACTGAAGCAAATAAATAGGGGGAAATGCTCTTCTTGGCAGGTTGTATTCAAACAATTAAGATGATGATAGTACCCAAGTCGCTATATACCTTCCATATCATTTCGCTGGCACCTCCCACCTCATTTTATTCAGAGGCCAGAAAACTCTTATCTGGGCTAAAAAGAAAGATTCTCACCTAATATATTGCAAAATCAGACCCTTTATTGGAATCCCCAATGTCCTTAAATATTTTAAGTCTTCTATCCTAGCAAAAACTATTTTCTTACGCACCCCTGAGATGTCTCTTCACTGGGCGGACATGAAAAGGGCACAAGTCACCCTCATGCAGCTTCTTGATATTCTTTGGACACCAAGATCTTATATGAAAAAGTTGATCACGTTATCCTACCACTGCCCTTTCAATTCAAGTTTGGGATGAGGTGATAAGAGGGATGGAACGGTGAAGCTATAATCCTCGCTCACCTCTAAAAAAAATAAATAAATAAATAAAATTTCTTCAAGCAGTGGCCCTAGACATCATGGACATCAAAGGGAGTCAGCCACACCCACCAAGTGGTTAAAGCGGCACTTTCATGGCTGAATCCAGTTTGTTTTTTTACCACCCTCCCACCCTAGGGGAAGGGCCCTATTATCCTCCCCATGGCACCCACCCATGGACAACGGGTGGGGGCTAAATGTAAATGTAAAAATACCCCACCCCCCTAGGTTACTAGGTTTCCCCTAGTCACCCCCCACCACCACCACCAAAAATGTTTTAAATAAAGCCCTACCTACCTTTCTCACCCTAAAAATAGTGAGGGGGGAGATAAAATTAAATACCTGTAAATAAATTTAAACATATTTACCATTTGAGGTCTATTTTCAAAAAGCTTTTTTCAGCCCCAAAAAAGGCCAAATAAAAATCCATATAAACCCAAACTTAATAAATAGAAGAAAAAAAAATGCCATCTTCACCCAGTGAGGGCACCACGCAGACAGCTCCACAGGGTGGAAAAAGGCTTATAAAGCATTCCCACGCCCTGCAATTTGACTCCGCGCACTCTGATAGGTAAATAGTGAGCCTTACCTGATTGGTTACCTGTAAGACTCACTATTTACCTATCAAAGCACTCTTATTGGGTCGCTGCAAGAGATTGAAATTTCGAACCGACCTAAAAGTACCGAATGTCGTCCTAACATGAAAGAACAAACCGTTCTCATTCTGTTAGGACAAAATTCGGTAGTTTCACCGGCGTTCTGTCTAAATGGCAAGACGTTTGGGACTAATGAAAGCAGGCGTCGCGAGATCACGGAGGACAGGGTGAGTATTGTGGGAAGATTTCTCTGCCCCCAGAAGTAGGTCAGAGCTGGTCAAGTGTAGGGAAAATACAGAAGACAAAGACGTCTCTACTTTGTCTTAGGTTTTAAAGAAAACTAGGGCAGGTAGGAAAAAAAGAACAGATCCTGAGAGAGGGAGAGAATAGGAAGCGATTAGGGAAAGGTAAGTTTGGCATGACAGTGCCGCTTAAAGAAGGGTGCAATCCTTTCTATTCGCCTCTCTGCAGGACATCTTTTCTTTATCCTTTAAATGTATACTCTATTACCTACAACAAAAGAATTGTCTTGCAAAATAAAAAGAATACGTCAATCTAAAATGTAACGTATGTGCAACTACTCAACTATGGTTGCATAGAATATATTAACGCTGATTGTCTTGTCTGTTAAATAATAAAGCGCTCTCTCTCTCTGTTATAATCCCTACATGCAAGACTTCCCAAAAAAAATGGAAGCTCCAAAACAGATATTGGTGCTAGTGTGGCAAAAAGACTGTGATGTATGTCTAACTACTGATGAGTGGATCTGGTTGCTCAATGACTTATAGGGTGTTTGGTATACATGTTCATATACAGGCAGTACTTAACTCCAGACAAGGTGCTTCCTCTAACCCAGACTGCTGGAGATGCCAAAGACAGGGCACAATGCTCCATATTTAATGGGCCTGAAACAGATATGCCCTCTGCGGGCACAAGTTCAAACCTTGATCACAACAGCCTGCAGCATTCACTTGCCACTGATACTAGCTACATATTACAATTATATTAAAATAATACTACAAGCAGTTCTTTTTAGTTTAGTGGTTATGGTGCCAGGTGTGCCCTGGGACCCCACCCCAGTGTAGCTAATCAGATCATCTAGTAACAGTTTGACCCGGCATTTGCTGGGTTCCAATGGTAATTCCTAAGCAGGAGCTTCTGGCAGAGAAAGGGTGTGAAGGAGCGCCTGGCGGACACCAAGTAACAAGTCAAACCATTACTAAATGATCTGATTAGTTAAACTAGGGGGCGGGGCAGGGGGGCATTCCTGGCACCATAACCATTAAACTAAAAATAACTTCTTGGAGTGTTACTTTAATATAATTTAAACATTCAGAGTAACCACTAATGTGAGAATTGCTGGGAAATCACAGTGAACTTCATAGTTAAGGAACATTGAAAACGGTCTAAGACAAATGAACTGGATTTTTCATAATTGGCAATTTTGGCCTACATTTTCAAATTCACAGCAATTTGCACTTTAGTGAACAAACTTGTCTGTAACAAAAATAATGTACAGGAGTTTTAAACCTTAATAAACCAAACACACAAAGAAATTCAGACTCCAATAACTTAAATCTAATGTTCTTAATAATAAAACAAAAATATATCTGATTCTTGAAACTGGCTTTAAAGGGCCACTATAGTGCCAGGAAAACATTCATAATGCTTTCCTATGGACGCTGGCGTCTTCTCACTGTGATTTTCACAGTGAGAAGCACGCAAACGCCTCTAGCGGCTGTCAATGAGACAGCCACTAGAGGCTTTAGAGGCTGGATTAACCCTAACAAACATAGCAGTTTCCCTGAAATATACGTTTACGTAGCTCTAGTTATTAGATTGTGTAAAATATAAAAATGTGGTTTTATTTCAGTCTCACCAGGTCCAATAAAAGTACAAGTTGAAATGTAGAAGTCGAAAAGATAAAAGTCTCTTCTGTCTTATTATCAGAGTATTGAAAATAACCATAGCTGAGAAGCTTGGTCCATTTGCAGTATCCACTTACTCACATTTACCAAATTGTATCTCCACATACTTCTCCAAACAGAGATCAGCATTTATACGGAGCATTGATGGCCAATCTTTAGCTTTAGATATTGCAGATACAATTAGATATTGTAAGACAAAACTTTCCACAATTCCTAACCAGCTGTACTGCATCATGGAAAACGGTTTTCTATAGCAGCTGTGGCACAAAAAGGATAATAATCATGTAAATAGGAACATATATACCAATTATTGGCTAAATAATACATACATTTCAGCTCAATAAGCAGTTCTTATTTTCTCCCTCCTTTTGATTTTATGTCGAGATCGTCAACAATGGAATTTTCAGGTTCTGAATATCCCGAAACATAGTGAATTTCTGTGTTGATGGATTTTTTTGGTTGACTCTATTCTAACTCTGCAGATGCTTTATTTGTTATCATGACTGTTATCGAGTGAAGCTTCACTCAACTGAACGGATACTTTGACATAGCTTCACCAACGATGTTACATATAATAGAAGAATTCTTGTGAATTGTGTTTTTATAATTCTGGTCAACGGCAAATCGTCAAGTCTCAGATGGAGTACGGCTTTTCACATGAAATAAATATATACTAAGTGGAATGTTTATGCTGAATGCCCTTAATTGCTTTGATATGAGAGGGGACTATAACAAATAAGCCATTCTCTACTATATTAAAGAAAAATGGACGACAGTTTGACCACTCTACCCTCATTACTGAATATATCATAATGCTCTAACAGTTAACCTTTTGCAGGATAATTTTAAGTGATACGCAGTTAAAATGTGACAACTGTGTAGATAAGAACTTTGAACTGGAAAACAAAATTGAAAAATTTGCATTAGTATAAAAAAAAAAAAGTTACCTGGTCTTGGTTTAGTTGTAAAATGATCATATACACTTTGTTAAAATATTCCCATACTCTGATACCAAAATACAACTCTGTGGATTCGTCACATGTGAAAGAAACTGTGGTTGTATACTCAGTAGTAGAATATCGACAACTCTAGCAAACACTCTACTAAAACAATGACGGTAAAAATACAAGATACTGTAAAAATACAGAATTTTTTTTTCTTCTTTTTTTATTATTATTATTCATCAAAATTGAACAGCAACAGGCACGTATTAAAATGAGTATGGCAAAGCCGTAAACAAATGGCTTTCCATCGAAGCCTTTTCCCCAAAATATGTCTGTTGCAACAAATTGTAAACAGATAAAACAGTCTTTAACAGCAATACCAAGGAAAAATACAAATTAACTAAAAAGAACCAGTTTCTGATCTAGATAACAGTTGTGCTCACTATACTTAAAACAAAATTACAAAATAATGGAATGTTTTAAGTTTAAAATTAGTCTTGCAATTGGTCCTAAAAATAATTGATCATATAAAAAAAAAAAAAAAAACCTCACAAATTTGTGTTATTTCACATAAAGGGTAAAGTAAAGGGAACGAAAAAACAAAACTGAAATGCACTTAAAAATAAAATAAAAACAAAACAGGTTTGGTCACTTAGCTTTGTGCATAGATTAAGGCATTTGTAGCAATTTGTTAAAATACACTCATCCACTAGATGTTTGAAACCAATGAATAATACCTAAGGTTTTAAGTCTGCTGTCTTGTAACTATTGCTGGACTACGCATTCTCAGATGCTCCGTAAGGAGGCCACCAGATAATGCTCAAAATCCAAGAGAAGTTGGAAGGCAGCAGACCAAAAAGCCTGTATCTATACACACAACCACTCCTACATGCGCGCGCGCGCGCACACACACACATACATACATACACACACACACACACCAGCCATCTCCGCACTCCAACACACAGGCATACTGCAGCAAAAAAGGCATTTGTACCCTTGTCCAAATGACATTTCCCTTCCCTCTTTATTTCAGATTAGCAAATACCCTGAGCTGATTATGGTGTTTTACATTAAGTCCACCTTAAAAACGTGCAGTTCAAGTGATCAGTAGTGAAAAAGAGGGGAAAAAAAATTCACAACATCCAAAACACAGCATGCTACGCATTCAATGCAGCTTTGCAAAAGGAAGAAAATAAATGCCAAGATAAGGTCCTTGCACTCTACAAAATTTAAAAGAACCAAGGACAAAACAAAAAAACAACAACTAAATAAAGAAGAAAAATAGCTGCTGCATATCCACCTGTCTCTGCATTGAAGCCTGGCTGTGCACTAGCAGAAATATTGCAAATGGGAATAGATCGGATTCAGTGGCATTCAAAGAGTCTGTTAGGTGAAGGGAGAAATGCAGTTCAAAATTTGTTCTCTTAAATAAACCATAAAAAAGTAGAATCCGGTTAGTGGTTCCATCACGACCATGCTTCAAGGCAAGTTTCAATCAGTATTTTCAGTGTATTTGTAAACAGCATGTCTTGCCGAGGCAGCAAAGCAGTGGGCACTTCACATTTCCAGACACCAATTTAGCACAAAGTGGAAGGTTCAACGTCACTTGTTATATTCTGGCAAATTCCAGCCAGCTGCTGAAAGAATTCAAGTTTTTTTTGTACCTTTTTATTATTGGTATTAAGAAAAAGTTATTCCTTTAACGTCTAGGATTTAAAAAAAAAAAAATCAAAGAACCTGCGGCACATAAAGAAGAAACTTCCTGCAGTTTTTGGATCAGTCATTGCTGTGCTTTGCATATTGAAGCTTTCATACAAAAGCCAACTGAGGTATGTGCATATTGCTCTATGTTTCAGGTCTTGATTACGCTCTTTAACAGAAGAAAAGAAAAGTGTCAAAAAATAAAAGAAAAAGGAAAACACGTTAAAGGAAAACTATGGAATAAATAATGCTGGCATTAGTTTTTACTTGAAACCTTGGCAATCAGGATTAATTCCTCTCTCACCAAGCCCTTTTCTTTCCAGTCACTACGATAACACCTGCCCAAAAAAAAAAAGCCCAAACAGTTGTTAATCTGTTTCTAGGTTCATGGTGAGCAATCTTCCTGAGGTAAGTGTATCAGTCTGTATCGTCAAACGCTGGATCAGCTTCCTCGCTGCTTGACCGCTCCTGAAGCATTCCCTTCCAACTGGCTTTGTTGAGTCCGACGTGACCCAGCATTGTCTGTGACAGCCTGGTATTGCTGAACCGGGCCCACTCCACAAATAATGGCTCCACCAAGTATGTGATAAAACCTTGGAAAAATGTGCAATAAAACAGATTGTGCATTTGTTAAATACATAATAAAATAAAGCCATCGCAACCATGGAGCATAAGAATAAAGACACTTTGGGTATAGTCTCTTGGTTGCCACAGTGATGTCAACCTTTGCCTCTAAATTAATTATATATATATATATTACTTTGTCTAACGGAAACAGAAATATTTTAACAGGACTACCGGCTTTTGTTATAGGATAGAGTGCTAAGTACAGTGATACACATTTTGGCAATCTACAATTGATCAAGACTGCATTTGTATTATTATGTAAAGGTATCAAACAGAGCATGCTTACCAATCTGAATATTGGCAATGTTTGATGTAAGTCGATCACACAGAGGACTCAGATCCAGGTTACATTTTCTTTCAACATCTCCTAAGAAAAGGTAAGTCCATTTTACATTCCAAGAGTATTAATTCAATTAAATAATAAAAATAGCTTCACATGAATATTTTTTTGGTACTCCCACAATTTTCAATGTGTATTTATGTGTGTTTTATTGTGAAAGGGGAATTCAGGTCTATGTGTCAAGTTCCCACCCCCAGACACTGTCAGGTGTCCAAATGGCCAGGTATCAAACGGAGCAACGCTATCCGGCTGCTTCAGAATTTAGAAGACAAGGCTCTGGAATGAGGTCTGCACCCAAATGCTTCAAATCTGCCCTCCATATTTAAAATAAATAAATAAATAAAAAGCCAAGCTATAAGTGTGCTGGCAGCACTAGAAACCAGCGTGTAAATAGTGAAAAACCTCTGCAATGCAAGGATTAAAGGGAAACTATAGTGCTAGGAAGGATTAAAGGGAAACTATACTGCTAGGGAAATAAAGTTGTTTTCCTAGCACTATAGAGACCTACAATTAAATCCAGAAATACTCTATATAAATGTACTAGTAAATGAATAAATAAATAAAAAAAGTAAGCAAGTATTATACTAACCCTGATAGAAGAATTCCTCTGTTACTTTTTCACTCCACTGCTTACTCAGCTCCCAGGTTCGGCATGGGTTACAGATATCTGCACATTTCAATGCCATCTGTGTTATCATAATGACAAGAACAAGCCATCAGAAGCATTCAGTAACTGTGGAAATGTTCAGCAAAACACACACACACAAAAAAACTAAGCATGACCAGAAATGGTGACAAACGCACAAAGAATAGTTATACAGTAATTTAAGGGGAACATTTTAAACGTGCAGCAGTTATGGAAATATTGAACTGGTACACATGGCGACTGTTCCATTTCTATGGCTATATTTATTTAAAAAAAAATAAAAAAATATTTAAAGTAAAAAGGGATTATGCTGGGTGCAAAGTGCTAAAATATTGAGACAGTCTGTAGTTATCCCATGTCATATTCCCCTAAACAGATACTATAAACAAAGTTCCACAGGCATCACAGTGTAATGGACAAAAAATGAAAAGGTTTTTTAAACCATAAGGGCAAAGAAAAAAACGTATACAACATTTCGTCCCTGAAGTTTTAATCAATGCATAGTTGTGCTTTCTGTTGCCACGTCTTTGAATTACAAACAATACCTGTAGTATGAAATGTCTGTGGGCACTATTTTCAAGACATAACTCTCCTCTATCCAGATGGGTTCTGAACTGAGAAAGGTATTCATTTTGCCGACTGATGTCTGTAGCAAGAATGATGAAGCCTAACTGGCTTTCCATGCGCTGTCTACGATACACACACAAAAAAAAAATAATACTTTTTTTAATTATGACATAAAATATATCCATCTAAAATCCTATAGTATAGTATGCTTACAATCAAACAAAAAAACTAACTTACAGAGGCTCAGCAGAAAACAGCATGTTCGACCCACCCTTGATAGAATAGTTTGTAGCCAAGTAAAATCTCTAATGGGATTTTATTGGGGTTTGGTATGTGTCAGAGCGGATAGGTTCAGTCTTATTTTTATTGATTGGCTTTTGTGGTTAAGATGCTATAGTAATAGGGGACCTACTATATAACACTTGTAAGTAGGCTTTATGGTTACAAGGGAACTTCAGTAGAGGAATTAATTGGAAAGTAATTAGAGATAGCAACAGTCAGTTTGGGGACAGTCTCGGGGTGGAATAAAAAAAAAAAAATGAAGCAGACAGAAGACAGCAGATCTGTATCTATGAGAGTAAAAATATTGTCAGTCCTTGTGTGGCTGTTGTGTGCATGAAAGTAGAACATACAACCAGCAGTCAGATGTGTGGTACCTCAAAACATTCAGCTTTACATACAGTTCTAAGAAAGTAAACAGGTTTTTCCTTCAAAATGATGATGAATCCTGATAAGCACTACTACAAAATAATGTTAATTACAAACATTACATGCTCCGAGTGAGGCTATATGTTCTTGGAGCATTTACTGTATATATTACACCATATAAATAGACGGAATTAACTATATATATATATTTTTTTTATTTTTATTATTATTTTTTTTTTTCTATGTTATTATTATTTTTTTCTATGTTAAAGACAAATACACACCACAGTTAAGCCATAAGACTTGCTTTTACTACAGAAATCTCACTTTAACAGTGCTCTCACTACTGCAAGGGATTCTGGGTAGGCGTATGCAAATGAGCTCAACAAAGAACCACATTTTTGTCTCATAATTCCACTTTATACATGGATTCCTTGCAGTATGTGTCTGCTGCATACAACAGCTTTGAAACAACTCAGGAAGAGGTGCATTGCGTATGGCTTGCCTGATGTGTGTATTTGTGTTTAACATTGCATTAACTATCCACTTATTTCAGATGCAAGAGGTTTTCATCCACACCTTTTCCCCACCACAACTTATTTGGTATGTATGTATGTAATTTTAATTCATACGACATAGGTGGCCAATTTAGATGTAACAAAACGACCTCCGGGGAAATTCTCAACTTGAGTTTCAGATCTATGGATATAAACTTTTGAATTTCCAACCACAAATTTCTCAATTTATGGCAATCCCACCATATATGTCCAAAATTACCCCTTGCAAAACCACATCTCCAGCATACAGGATTTATTGAAGGATATATTTTGGTTAGTTTATCCTGTACTAAGTACCATCTGTTTAAAACTTTAAAGTATGTTTCTAAAAGATTTAACGAGTGTATAATCTTCGTAACTTCCATCATTGAAGAACCCCATTGTTTCAAATTTATATCAATATTTAGATATTTTTTCCAAGCAGATATAGCTGTTGGAATTATATCTTTGACACTTGCTTTACTCAATACTAAAGCTTTAGAAAGTGGTTTATTTATTCTTTTTGAGGTAAATAATAAATCAATCAAATTATTCAAATTAGATTTTGATGTAATTAGATGAGTAGTCATATAACTTTTAAGTCTCAAAAAATTAAACAGCTCTTTAGATGGAAGACTATATTCACGTGTTTTTTGAACAAAAGTTTTAATTGTTCCTTCTATCAGTAATTGTGCCAACCGTAAGATCCCTACTTTTTCCAGTCATTAAGATTTAAATCTTCTACCTGGTTTTCCACAATGTTTAGTTCTAAATAGCTTGGAACTTTCTTTTCTATATTTAATACTTTCTTTATTTTAAACCAGCTGTTTATTAAATGAGTTAAGATAATATTGGAGTATTCTTTTTTGTAGAATTTATCTATATTCCAAATTCAACAATCCAAACTAGGGACTTCACCTGTACTTATACCATCCTTCATTTTTGTTCTCTTCTAATTGCATTCTATAAATATGTAAAATTGTAGCTGCTTTAAAGTTATTCATTATTAACGGATAGGCAAGTCCGCCCTTACTTAATTTTTGTGCTAATACGGACTGCTTCAATCTTGGCTTCTTGCCCTTCCAAATATATTGAGTAAAGCTTTTTTGTATCAACTCGAGCCAATGAATCGGAATATGAAGAGGTAACAATTGGAACATATAGTTCCATTTTGGTATTACATATGAATTTATTACATTTATTCTTCCTCAAAAGGTGATTTCTAAATTTCTACGGTCTTTTAACCATCTGTTAAGTTTTAATAATAATTCTAGAAAATTTGTCTCTATAATTTTGTTAGCCTCTCTAGTAATTTTAATTCCTAGATAATCCATACTGTCTTTAACCCAAATAAAGTCATATTTATTCTTAATCTCTTGTTGCATTTTCTTATCAAGGTTAATATCTAGAATCATAGATTTATTTATATTTAATTTATAGTTTGATATAGGACTATACCGGGCAATTTCCTGCATAAGGAACTCCAATGAACTTTTAGGGTTAGTCAGGGTAATTAAAATATCGTCAGCGTATAGAGTGATCTTTTGATCCACATCCATTATTTTATAGCCAATCTTTTTATTATTTCTAATATTTTCAGCTAATGGCTCAATAGACAATAAATAAAGTAATGGTGAAAGCTGACACCCCTGCCGAGTCCCGTTTTTAAGTTGGAACCATGGGGCAGTAATATTAGGTCCTATAGTACGTGCAACTGGATTTATTAAAGAGCCATAATGGCTTTCTTAATGCAGCCTTCAAAACCATAATGTGATAAAACAGCTTCTAGGTATTTTTCAGTTGACTCTGTCAAATGCTTTTTCAGCGTCAATTGACAGAGCCAAAACTGGAACCCTATTTCTATTTGCATCATCTAAGATGTTTATAATTCTTCTCGTACTTGTTTAAGAATTTCTGTCCGGAACATATACTATTTGATCTCTATGTATAATTAATGGAAGAAGTATCTGTATTCTAGCAGCCAAAACATAACATATAACTTGGTATCTACATCGATCAAACATATTGGGCGATAGTTTTTGACGTCGGTAGGATTTTTATCATATTTTAAGATTGGCAAACTATTAGCTTTCAGCATTTCTGCTGAATCCTCTACTTGCAGCTGTCTTGAAAGCATTTAACAAATGAGGACAAAGTAATTCTTTAAATGTTTTAAAAAACAAATTACTGAACCCATCTGGACCTGGTGTTTTAGATCATTTATAACTTTCATAATCTCATCCATAGTTATGTCCTTATTTAATAGTTCATTCTCTGGTACTGTTAGTTGAAACTTATTTATACTTTCTAGATATCTTTTAGCATTTTCATCTGTAGCGGTTTGAGGTATGTTATATACGTTGCTATAAAATTCATTAAAATATTGTGCTATTTGTTTAGGAGTTGTTGCTATTTTTCCATTATTTATTAGTTTCTCCACTCTATTCTATCCCTTTTGTTTTCTGAGTTTTTGGGATAGAATTTTATCAGCTCTATTGCCTTTAGAATAGTATTTTAATTTTAATTTATCCAAGCTTTTAACAGTTCTTTCCATTAGTTTTTGCTTTATGTTTTCTTTCACTACTGATATTTTCTCGTAGTTATCAGGGGACGGAGATTGTTTATTAATTTGAATCAAATTTCTTAATTGAGTGTGTAAGTAAGATAAAGTGGTGTTTTTGTCAACTTGACTTTGGAGCTTAATAAAATGACCCCTTATTACAGCCTTAAAGGTGCACCACAAAGTGGGTGGATCAATATTTTCTGAAATATTTTCTTTAAAGTAATTTTTTATATTATTTTCTATGTAAATATTATTTATTTCAGAACAGAGCAGACTATCATTTAAGCACCAGGTATAGGTTTCCCTCTTAACTTTACAAACACCTATCTCACACAACAATCCACTATGATCCGTCCATACTATTTCATTGAAGTTTGTTTTTTTAATCATATCAATAAGACTTGGATCTACCCAGATCATGTCTAATCTTGAGTAGGAGAAGTGAACTTTAGAAAAATGCGTATAGTCCATTTCATTAGGGTTATAGATTCTCCAAATGTCAAATTATATTCATCTTTCATTTTCCTTAAAGCTTTAGCTTGTTTCATCACCATTTGATTTAATTTATTTCCTTTCATGAATTTTTTGTCTATCTGTGGATCTAAAACCGCATTAAAGTCTCCTGCTAATATTAAATATCCCACTTTAATTTCATCTATTTTTTCTAATGCAGTTCTTAAATAGGAAGCTGGTGAATAATTTGGAAGATACACGTTACAGAGTGTTAATAAAATGGAGTTAATTTTACATATTATCACCAAAAATCTACCTTTAACGTCTTGTACTTGATGAATAATTTCTACCTTGATTTTTTTCTCCAAATACTATAGCAACTCCACATTTCTTTTTATCTAGATCAGAAGCATGTATTATAAGCGGGAATCTTTTTCCTCCCCAATTTTATCTGTTTGCCTCCAGTGGGTTTCCTGTAAAAATACTAAGTCTAATTGCTTTTCACTCAAATATTTATATAACAGAGCTCTTTTTGCTATCGTGTTCATACCTTGAACATTAAGTGTGAGCATTTTTATCATGTTATTTCTCGAATCATCTTTGCATCCTTCTCTACCCCATAATCTCTAGTGTCTTTCCTCATTGTTGCAAAAACATACACATAGTAACAGAAAAAACATGTATTTAAAATCTTAGGAGGAAATCTTCCTTTTATAGCACAAAGACTATAAAATCTAATTTAGAGAATCAGTCTTTACTGTGTCTATTAATTTTAGACACTAAGTAGATGTGTCCGGAATGAGATGATACTATTTGATATTCATACCCCTTATCATATAAAAAAAAAAATATATAAACACATTGTGCTCCACTTTAACTTTAAGTATACCTCAAATTTTGCAACTTATGTAAATATTGATTTTGTTAAAAGATTGTCGTTCCATCTAGATATGAAATATAGGGATGTTAATTAAACATTAAATCAACTCGGGGGGACCCATGTACTTGAATATGTTTGTTATATGAGGTATTGTATGTATTTTTATACTTAGTGAAATTTTGGAAATAAAATAAATTATAAAAAAAATGAAAACAGTTACAAAGTTTTAACATTTTGGTTAAACCAGTATCAAGAGAGATTTTGTGTTTCAATATCAATTTTAGCAAAAGCTATAATAAATAAATACAAAAATACAAGAGGCTTTTACCTGTCTTCTGCAGACATATGTGCGAACAAACCCGATTCTCGCAACAAACCCACTGCTGACCTCCAGTGGTGGTTTTCTAATACTGAGGTATTCTGGAAAGCAAATAGTTTAATTCAGTTACACAGCACATCCTACACAGCCCGATTCAACAAGTAAAGGTAATAAAACAGCAACAAAACAACATACTAGGCAATAACAGTCTTACCTGCTGTCTTAAGATGGGGATAATGTCAACACATATAAAGAGTCTGCCACATGGCCTAGATGTAATAAATAATATCCAATGTAGCATCTAAAATGGGGCAAGCGTAGGCTAAAAAGCTACAAATAAATATTGATTTTGTCACATTTACATTAAGCAGTAAATACAAGGGTGATATACAAATCGCAAAACTCAGGAATTATGAAGTGGACATATGACATGGGATCTTTGCTTTCCAGTGCTTACAACCTGGCACCATAGCCAGTAATCTAAAATGGTTATAATGTCTAAATCCTACAGCGTCCCTTTAAAGCAAAATTACATCCAGTCATACTTGCAAGAAACAGTTGCACTTTGTGTTCTTTACAAAGAGGTGGGATTCATCCACTAAAATAATATTAGAATAATTATGAACAGGTTCATTTTCAAGCTCTATATAAAAAAAGTGCACAAACTACAGCAAAGTTTCTGCCATTCTGAATAAAGTGAAAATAATTACACACGCCAGGAAAAAAAATCATGGTCTTCCACGCATTTTAAAAACCAGGTTGGATATTTCTTACATTTGGATCAGCCCTATCACATAAATACTTCATGTGCATTCAGTTTAGAAACATTACAACATAAAGGATATTTCATTATTGAAGTTCTAGCAAATTAAGTTGAGCTAGATCATTTAAAAACCTGAGACAGTTACTGATAAAAACTAAAGAATGCCGTTTTAGAATGGGATGCCAGCAGCCAATCAGAATATGAGAATTCCACATACAAACTAATAACATATTAAATCAATTAGATAGTAATATTTAAAGTACAAATGCCACCACGGAGGGCCTTTGTAAAATGTAGAACGAATACTGAAATAAAAGATCTGTACTTAACCCATGACATGCCTTTCAAAATTATTGTCCTCAATTACCTTGTATAAAGTTGCTAAGTAGTGGTTTGTTTTTATTAGAAAAGACTGATTTACACCAGGATGATCCAAATCATGAGTTGCAGCTGCAATCAAACCCAGTAGGACATCCCATGGAGTAAAAGACTTGGCAAGCTGAAAGAATCAGATATGCAATAAAAAATAAACATTGTTACAGATTATTACTTATGCCAATTTATGCACAGTCTACTTTTTTCAATTTTGCATTTTCCAACACACGAGTCTCTGTTACTACACCTCAAGCTAGCTTCTGAATGAGACACTTATTTAGATAGCAATACCCAAAAGAATGAACGCACTGTTGCACTGAATATTCAGTTGACATATGTCCACAATTATTTTATCAGAGGCTCCAGCTGGTTACAAAACTAGGCAGGAACTTAATAGCATTTTCAACATTAAATTAATTTTCTGTATAGTGCTAAAATTCATCTTGAAAATTCCAGAGTTGACAAATCACATGGCATGGGAATGGGACATATTCCACTCAGTATGATCTCTCCTTATGTACAAGCACAGTAAAACCATATGTTCCAAAAGGCATGCACTCGTGGGCTGACAAAATAACAGCTTTGGGGTAGTGCTTCAATCCAGCAGTTGTGAAAATAAAAATAAAATGGACTTCATTATAAAAATAAAATGTAATTGTAGTTTATCAACGTTTCAATTTTTCATTTACAACTTTAATCATCCTGTTGATAAACCAAACCTAAGTTTTATTTTTATCACTAAGTCCTGTAGTGTTATTCATGAGATATATATATATATATATATATATATATATATATATATATATATATATATATACATATATATATATACATATACACACACACACTCCCCCTCCTCCCCCCCCCCCATATATCTTACCTTAGGTTCTTTTAAATAACAGTACATGGCCTGAGTCACATCAGCAGCGTGGACTGCATTGTGATATGGATTTTGACTATGATAATCTTCTTGAACCATAACTGGAAAACAGATACAGAAAAGGTAGGTTTCTTAGAACATAAAATATGCTACCACATGACTGCATTACATAAAAATACATAAATAATAATAATGACACACCATCGTATGGATTTATGCAGGTGTTGGTGTATATATCACTTTGTAACTTAAAGGTGCAGAGTTAGAATAACTAACGGAAGGATTCAGAGAAAGACAAATCTTCCTTTTTAGTCACAAGCAGGAAAAAAGTGAAAAAAAGACCACCATTACCACCTTGTGATCTGCGCGAGCGCACACACACACTAAAACTAACTGTCTGATATCAAGTAAGTCCCCCTCATGCTGCCAAAGCTCAGCTCTGATGTATCAAGCAATGAACATCATGAAACCTCTGAACATGTCCTGTGGTATCTGGCACTAAGACACTAAGACATTAGCAGCAGATCCTTTAAGACCTGCAAGTTGCAAGATCGAGATGGATTGGATTGGATTTGTTGTTTCAGCACATCGCAAAGATGCTCAATGAACTGAGATCTGGGGAATTTGGAGGCCAATGTAACACTTAGAACTCTTTGTCATGTTCCTCAAACCATTCCTGAACAATTTTTGTAGTGTGGCAAGATGCACTATCCTGCTGAAAGAGGCCACTACCATCAGGGAACAGGATTGCTATGAAGGGGTGTACGTGTTCTACAACAATCTTTAGGTACGGGGTACGTGTCAAAGTAACATCCTCCAGGACCCAAAGTTTCCCAGCAGGAAATTGCCCAGAGTATAACACTGCCTCCGCTGGCCTGCCTTCTTCCCATAATGCAACCTACTGCCATCTCTTCCCCAAGTAAACGCACACGGCCATGAATGTATGTATCTTGCTTGTGAGCTTGAGTTTTTTTTCTTTGTTTTCTATTTTTGGAAATTAATAATGCAAAGCTCCTTAACCCTCTCCAAAGGTAGAAGAACCATAACTGAGAAATTTTCACGAGTGAGAGGAGAATGTATGAGTAGGGGTCTACAAAGTTTTAAGGAAATTGCTCAACCCCTCCAGAGAGGAGACGCAATATCCCGCAAGTAATGGGTTCACGTACACCATGGTTACATTAAGACAAAAATAAAATTTGCTTGTTGTCTGGTTAACACAGCGTGAAGACAAAGTTTAAAAGGACACTGCAGGCACTATAACCATTTCATATTACTGAATTGGTTATAGTGCCTGAATTCCCTTGGCGCTGTTCCTCCATTCATTAATTTTTGTGTAGTTTGAAACTGAATTAGGCTACCTAGCTTCCCAAAGCCCCACCAACCGAGATTATACACTTCCTTGTAGCCATACCAATTCGTAGCTGAATGGGCTCTGTGATAGGCTGAAAGTGGTCAGCTGACACGCAGCCAATCACAGTCAGCCACTGCTGTTTAGGCTAATGCTTCTTCATTAGGAGCAGCATAGGGATGATGAGCTGCTGGGAACTCTTGTATAGTATTAAAAACGGTGTAATACTGAATAGAGGGATTGTTAAGGGTCTCCAGACACTGCAGCCATATGAATGAGATGTACACCTGGCAAGGGCATAGCTAGGAATGACAGTGCAAGAATCAAAGAAGGGCCTCCTTATGCTCTCACTGATACACATGCACTGACATGATACACACTGACAGACACACACATATACACATACTCACCGATACTGACACACACACACACACACATTTTATTTGTGTTACTTTTAGCCATCTAAGCACTATGTATATCAGCAGAGTAGGCACCTGCCGTCTGGGTTAGCAGGTACCAACTCTGTCTTAGTGGATATCCACCTTCCTGTGGGCACCCTAAGGTAGCCAACTTCCTCCTAGGCCTCCTGTGACAGGCACAACACAGTAAAGTATGGTCGCACTTGCAGGGACACCTGCTTGCGTGCCAGATGTACATTTATATATGACATAAACCTGAATTTTATATGGAATTTACCTAGAAACCTCCGAAGCTTCACCATATCCAACTGGAAGTGATCTATTAGTCCATTGTGGCTCAAGAGATGAAATGTTAATGAGACAAGACTATTTCCTGAGAGCAAAATAAAACAAAAATCATTAACTATCTTAGATTGATCATTAAAAGAAATTTGTCAACAGCAGGATTAATCACTACAATTAGAAACGACTAGTTTATTTTACTTCACAACAGCCAGTTTGGTGATTAACACCGCCTATGTTTTGAACGAGCAGGTTAATTATTATATTCAACTTTCAGAATTATATATATTTATTATATATAAAAAGGTGATCAGAATGATATTAGCAGCATCCAAAAACATTATATCGCTATGATTCTTTTATATCTCCATGACTTACAATAAATATAATATTAATATATTATAAACCAGGCATAGGCAACCTTTGGCACTCCAGATGTTTTGGACTACACCTTCCATGATGCTTTGCCAGCATTATGGGTGTAAGAGCATTATGGGGGATGTAGTCCACAACATCTGGAGTGCCGAAGGTTGCCTATCCCTGTTATAAACCTATTAAAATATTCATGTATGATTGTTGTACATTGTTTGTATGGTACCATATTGCTACAGCAATAAACTCTGATAAACTCTGATATAAACCCCAATGCTGCTGTAAATCTGTCAGGTTGTTTCTCTTTTTATGCCTGGAACCCTCTATATTATCTTATACAAATAAAAGCTAATCACAAACAAAGAACATTATCCCAAATTTAGAATATGGTATAACTCATTTTTGATTGGAGCAGTCCCTACATCAAGAATATTGTTAATTGTGGCAGCACTAACTTACTTTTAAAGTAATTTAAAGAACAGAATTATACATTCAGTTTATTGTTATAGAGGGATAATGCCATCCTGCTGTGCAAGTTGTGCAAAAGGGCACAGGCAGCGGTTTGAAATTACACACACTTGTTAGGGTACTTATATACTGACAACATTTTACTAACCGTTTGTTAATCTATCAAAAAGAAATATATCGAAATTCCAGTTTCCGACTTTTTCCAACATACACTAAAAAAAGAAAAGATAAAATCTGATTAAATGGTGAAAGACAATAACACTGTGTGTTACACAAACTACTAACAGCCAGCTGATGAGGGGGGAAAAAAAATCACGTATCAAAGAAAAATCACTGCTACTTAGAAATACATACACATATCTAAACATGGATCTGTTTTAAATTAATATATGGTTGTCACAAAAAGACTATCACTTTTAGGAAATTATGGTATACTTTGCTAGCCACATTTCTACAAATGTATAGATGAAAAGCTAATGAACTACACATTAATTTGATGTTCTTGGACTTTGCTGCAATGCCATTAGTTAGAGTACAAACAATTAAATGACCACACCAAAACATAAACCACTTTAGATGGTATATGTAAGAAACAAATGGAACAATGGAGAAGTATATGGTGTAGTGCTTATGATATTGGATAGGTAGGTGGGTCGCAAGGTTTAAGTCTATGTGGGCCGCAAAAAAAACAAAAAACATTTTCATAGAAACGTAGGTTTGTTTTGAAAAAGTACAGTATATAAAAGAAAAAAGAAAACAGCATCCCCCTCTGTACCAAATCCCAGCACCCAACCTCTGTACCAAATCCTAGCACCCCCCCCCTGTACGAAATCCCAGCACCCCCCCTCTGTACCAAATCCAGCCCCCCTCTGTACCAAATCCAGCAACCCCCCCTCTGTACCAAATCCTCCCCCCTCTGTACCAAATCCCAGCAACCCCCCTCCTCTGTACCAAATCCCAGCACACACCTCTGTACCAAATCCCAGCACAGCCTCCCCTCTGTACCAAATCCCAGCACCCTTTCTATACTAAATCCCAGCACCCCCTCCCTATACTAAATCCAGCACCACCCTCCCTATACTAAATCCCAGCACCACCCTCCCTATACTAAATCCCAGCACCACCCTCCCTATACTAAATCCCAGCACCACCCTCCCTATACTAAATCCCAGCACCACCCTCCCTATACTAAATCCCAGCACCACCCTCTATACTAAATCCCAGCACCACCCTCTATACTAAATCCCAGCACCACCCTCTATACTAAATCCCAGCACCACCCTCTATACTAAATCCCAGCACCACCCTCTATACTAAATCCCAGCACCCCCCTCTTTATCTCCAGAGGGTCTTGCACCATGATCACTTCAGGAAGATGAAGTAGTTATGATGCTTAGAGTGACCCTTTAACATACAGCAGTGCCAATTGAACATTTGTCCAGACCCACGTCTATCACAAAAAAAAAGTGAGCCAACATAAACTGTACAAACCTTAGCTTGTCCGTTATAACCATCATCTAAAATGTATAAGGAATTCTGTGCATTGACACCACGGAAGAAACGAGAGGATCTTAGGTACCGTTGGAAACTTAGCAACCTCCGAATGTTTCTTGCAGACAAAGATATCTCAATTTCTGAATGTGCTAGAGATAGAAATAGATTAATAATTATTATAGATTTTGTAATTTAACAAACAGCAAAGGTTACTCTAACATAAACGTTATTGTATATACAATCTGTGACGATCAAAAAAAAACAAGAATAAACAAAAAAAGAGATCCCTTGTGCATGTACATTATTTCTGTTAAACAGCGACACTTAGTGGTGTTCCCTGCAACATGCACAAGAGCCACAAAAATTTAAACCAAGGCAAATTCAGCAAGTGGTTATCAAAGCAGTCAGATGTTTATTGTACAGGTAAATTTAACATCCAACATCAATTCATTTTACATATGGACTAGAACCCTGTGGTTGAAGGAGTATACAAGAGTTGCATTTCAGTCTAATGGGAGGAGGTGGGGGAAAAAAATACATTTTCGTAAATTATACAGTACTCAAAGATGTATTGTATATCAGAGCCAACATATTCCACATATATTGTTAATATCATTTTCTTAGGAATGGCATTTGTTAATAATGTATTTGCTTCTTAATTATTTGTCTCACACATTACATACCACCAACTGATTGGCTGCTCAGATTTTCGTTTATAGCCGGGTTATGTTTTACAACTGATGCAGCAAATCAAATTTTTTTGATATTAGGATTGTTTTATAAAAAGGTGAATCTTTAAAAGAGGTAACTATTATGGTATCTAGAACGTATGGTTTTTTTTTTCTTTGAAAGAGCATACAATTTAAACTATACATTGTTCTATCAGATTTACTATAATTTGGGAGAAAAACCTATTCACAAATAGGCCTTCCTCCCACCGGTCAGTCAATTTCTTGGTATAGAGTCAGTGCCAAAGAAATGATTGATAAGGGGGAACAGAATAGCTCTCCCACAGGCGGTCCTTCTGCAACCACAGATGGTAGCGCCCTAGCCAATGCTGCCAGCACTGTTTAGAGGGTATAGGAACACGTCACTTGGCTTCATTGCCAGTATGACTGCATCTGAACAAACGTGTCTGCGTCAAGGTCAAAGGTTGGTCCCCAGGCAAGATATATCAGAGTGGACGTGAGTGTTCTAGAAAAGTAACACCCAGCAAGCTGAAGACTTAGCAGTGCTGGATCAGAAGTAAATATCTCTAATCTTTACACCGAATACATCATGTATCAAGTATTCAATGCATTTAAACAAAAAACAGATTAACAAACACAAAAACATAAATAAAAGTCTCTTCTGAAAATCCAAACGAAGAGGAAAATAAACCTATTCAATCTTTTCCCATTTACTCACAGTGCAAAATACGAAAGTCAATGTATGGATGAGAGCCTCGACGTTCAGTTTCAAAGCCAGCTCGACTTCTTACCCGGACATCTCCTAATAAAGGATAAACAGTAGTTGCAATGTTAGTGGAAGAACATGCCCACTGAGCAAGCCACCTCCACCCCACCAAACTGATTTGTCTTGTACAATTCAAGAACAGGACTGTTAAACATGCAGTTGCAGGCTCCCAAGTCATAGGAATTTAATTTTCCTGCCTAAGCAAACGAGGCCAAAGCATGTGCTAAGCATTCAGATGGAACCAAAAACGATATACTTTCACAGTATAATGATACAAGGCACCTTAATGGAATAGGTATATCAGGTTCATTCAATCTAGCCTGTCCTGCATTAATGGTTACAGACAGGAGAGGTTGCACAAGGCTCAGCATCTAGAAATGATAGCTTTCAGCAATTTAGCTAAATTGATTTCACATCAGAAATAGTGTATGCGCCCCACTCGCATTTACTTACTTGCACTCAGCTGTTTGAATATTACACAAGACCCTATCAAAATACCAAAACTCAGTATTAAACCAAAACTCAGCATTAATCATTTAACAGTAGAAAAATGTTATTAATAGCACCAACAGTGTCTTTCGCTTGTCAGTCTGAAGAAACGCAAGCTATTTTAAAGTTTTGCACATATCACGTCAAAGAAGTGTCCCCAAACATTTAACTATGTTAGGGACACTATTGTGAGCGTTTCTTTGGGAGCAGCAGAGGAGCCTCATGACTGGCAGAGAATTGTGGGAAAGGTTCCTAAAGTCTGTATGTGCAGCATTTCACTAAGAAATGTTGCACAAAGGTTTAACTCTGTATCTCTGACATCACTGAAGCGTCTATAGCCAGCCCATCCCAAGAGATCCAGGCTTGCTGATATCAAGTTTGTGCATACCGGACAGCACACAGAGCATGCTGGCAACAGACGTCCAATGGTGGTATGCCGCCACCGTTATGCACAAGTCCTTCCCTTAGCCCATCTTCCAACAACATCCTTCCACTGGCAGCAAGGGGTGAGTGAAGTCACCAGAGTAGTAGGCGCAGGAGTGAAGCAGAAGTAAGTTTTGTCTTTTTTTTTTTTTCCTCATGGGGGGAGGGTAACTTTAACCAGCGTTTTCATAAAATGCTTGTTTTTGGATGGAGTAACCACTTAATTTAGATATAAGTGTTTGAATAGAACCTTGTGTAGCATCACCATAAAGGTTTCCACAAACAAACTACAGTGGTTATGTTGCCTAGTGTTTTTCTTTAAATGAATTTGCATGCACAATGTGTTAAGCACGCACAATGTTAAAACAACCTCTGGGTAATATATAAACCGGCATTGAGTTTCTGGTAAGCTACAAATTGTGGCACAACTCATTTAAGTCAAGTTGACATAAAATGTGTAATACTCTCCAATTGCCAGTTTAATGAATAACCCAGTTTACTGTTGCCACTTTCAGAGCCATGACCCTGGAAGTTATTAGACATGCGTGTCTTTGAGATTATGTTAATGAGTCTTAGTTATTTTGTAAGACTTACATTGCACTAACACTTGCTATTGTCAAAGGGCAAGAAAGGTTTAAGGGAAACACATTGCAGCCTAACATATGGCGTGTACTTATTAATTTAATAAAACATCTTGTATTTCTTCTTTCATAGAATATTAGTGAAAAATTAAAGAAAAACTCTGGACACCATAACAACTTCATCAAAATTAAGTTGTTCTTGTGCCAGGAGATCCCTTACCTTTAAGGGTTAAACCGTTAAAAATTTTAACTCCTAAAGCCTTTACTTCACAAATGAAGTCTTTCACAGGTTTCCATGATTGTAACATCTAATAAAGTCAGTGGGTGATGAAGGAAGGAGTACAGAGTAGAAGCTATGCAACAAAGTCATGCAGGACTAATCAAAATTAAATAACTTTCTTGTTATAACTTGTATCTCCTGCTCTGTTAATTGCCTAATAGACACTGATTACTATAAGTAGAGGCACCCTTGAAAAAGGCTCTACAGGCCAAAATGCTGGATGTTTCTGGTGCCTCACACAGTGGTGTATAAGGAGATAAAACATTTATGAACAGTATTTCTTGCCTTTATTATTTTCAGCAGCTTTCCCATGGGTTGATTTTGAGGTTATACATGGTCATTATACTTTACATCTATTGTTTATATGTACAGTTTCAGAGAAAAGGCAGTGTTTACATTTCTGCCTAGGGACACCTCTATTGGTAGTCAGACGGCCATTAGAGGTGGTTCCACAAAGAGCAGCAGTGACATTAATTGCCTCCACATGTTCTTAACACTATAGATTCAGGAATACACATTTGTGTTCCCCCAATGAATTTATAATACAATGTATCTGCAACTAAGGCATTATGCTGTGGATGGATTATATGTGTATTTATATGAAAATGTTTTATTTTTATTCCTATTTTGATAAGAAATAAAACGTACTTTTTCTTTAGAATTATAGGTGTGCGGTTGGGGTTTGTGGGCAATTACCAAATAGAGCCTATAACAGCCTCCTGTGTGTGATAGCTCCTGTGCTCTGTTACATGACCTAAGAACTTGTAAACACTGTGCGCTGTAAAATCTGATTAAAAATGTAAAAAAATTTTTTTTTTTTTTTTAATGGAGGCTTTTTTATTCATAGCCAGGGGAGATGTTGCTGAAAATACAAACAGAACCTAAAGCAGGGAGACTTCAGGGATACAATCTTTACACCAAACTGCTTCAATACGCTAAAATTGTTTTGGTGCTTAGAGTGTCCCTTAAAATATGGGATAAAAAAGTAAATGTATTAAAGGGATTCTATAGTGCCAGGAAAACAAACCCCCTCCCTCGCGCCCCCTCTCCCAAATGGGTTAAAGCCCCTTAGTCACTCACCTCAATCCAACGCCGATGTCCCTCGGCTCTTGGTCAAACTCTGCCCACGTTCCTCATAGTATAGTGAGGACGTCCAGTGTTAGATAATGGACCAAAGGTCCGTTTCAATTCTGGAAGTCCCTGTAGTGGCTGTCTGGTAAACAGCCACTAGAAGAGGAGTTAATCCTGCAAGGCACTTATTGCAGAGTTAATGGACATGGGACATTGCACCCAAACCACTTCAATGAGCTGAAGTGGTCTGGGTGCCTGTGAGAGGTCAGTGCTTATTTATATGATATATTTTATTTTAATAATACATCAGTTGTACAATGCATATTTCTGATGTCCAGAAATGACAATTTCATTAATTAGGTGCTACAATTTCAAATACTTCTGGGGTAATGCAACCATATGAACAGAAACAATCAATACAAAAAAAAAAGGCAGGGGAGAGGGAGACTCCTTTTTGTGGTCATTACTTGTACATTTATTACCCTTCCTTTTTACTACTGAAAAGTTATTTCTGAATAATATGGGATATTCTCAGTTTAGGATTTGTAATACTGATGTTTGAATTGACCTTCCAATTTGTGTGTTTGGAAACAAACACATAATATAGCAAAAGAGGCAAACAAACTAGGCTTTCTTAGCATCTTGAAATGTACCGGTAAGTATAACAATAATACCCTTAAGGCAAAGAAAAAAAATATAAATATATTATATATATAATGAATGGTACTACTATTATGCACAGTGCAGGATCAGATTCACTAACCTTGTAAGGATTAAAGCACAAGCTGTTATCTTATCAAATAGTTTTTTTGATTTTCAGTGCTTACTTGTGTGTAATGAAGCAATACCAAAACACCATGTCAGTGTAATAAAACTAAAGGCACAAATTAAGTCCATGAAAAATATACATATTTAGAAGGGAAAAAAACTGCACTAAAATTCTCGCCTAGGAAAAAGAGGAGTCACTCATTAATTGTCAGGTTTATTCCTCCACATAGTATATTATAAATATTCAAATATTTATCCTGCATAGATAAGAATGACCTGGTTATTCACTAAGCATGTTAAAGGAACACTATAGGGTCAGGAACACAAACATGTATTCCTGACCCTATAGTGCTAAACCCACCATTTGGTGGCTTCCCCCCACTTAGCCCCCTTAAAAGCTATTTTATTAAAGACACAGAGGCTCATATTATGCTGCACTCTTTCTTTAATTCCCTCAGCAGCAAAGCAAGAGAACATTAACAAAGTTGAAAAAAACCCAATGGAAAATGAAAAAATAACATCCTGTACATACATCATATGCTTAACAACACATCATAGGCACATTCCTATATAAGGCAGTGCGGCAAACCGTGCCACTAAGAGACTGACAAGAGACTTTAACCATTCGAATAAACTTGGAGTACAATGGCCGTATGACTATTAAGGCAGTAATCACCAGTAAATCGGTTCACGAACTACCTGTACTGTGGTTTACACGAAAACTTGTAAAATACCGAATGAGGGACCACCCCGGTGTGGTCGTGTGTCCCTCATTACCGAAGGCAACAATGTTGCAAAGGGTGCTAATTGAAGGTTCGTGTGCGGCCGCCATTCGCCTACCGAACACATGGAGGCAGCCATCGAATGCCTGGAACCCAAATCGGGCATTCGACTAACCAAGTACCGCTAAGACCTCCAGCACGCCAGAAAGTGACGCAGATCTCTCTCAAACAACTGGCTTGTATGGTCGGCCTTCTAGCGGCTTCTATCCAAGCAATTTTTCCAGGACTGCTCCACTACAGGGCACTACAACGCCTTCAGGCGACCTACCTTCCCAACACTTGCCTCCTACGAAGACGCTGTGACCTTGGATATGGAAGCCAAAGAGGATCTCAAATGGTGGCTTTGCCACATGTAGGCGAGGAACGGACACGCCATTTTTGGCACATCTCCAGATGTGATTGTAGAAGCCGACCCGAGTCTACATGGTTGGGACGCATGCTGTGGAGATATCTCCATGGGCGGAAGGTGGTCCGAGGAAGAGAAAAGCTACCACATCAATTGTCTGGAACTCCTGGCCGGCTCGTTTGCAGTCAGATGCTCTTCCCAAACAAGCTCTCAATGTTCTATACTATTGAGGATGGACAATGAGTCAGCAGTCATGTACATCAACCATTTAGGCCAGGACATGTCAAATTTGTTTGAAATCTAGGAGCCTCTCAGCTCCCCTGCACGCTCTTTGCAGTAAAGCCGGTGCTGAAGTGACATCATAATCCTGGCTCTCAAGCATCACAAAATCTACCGGAGTCATCCCCCACTTGGTCCGTTGGGTAAAATGGGTGATGGTATTAGCGGGTATTGATGTTTCCATGTTTTCCCTGCACTCTGTTCGGGGGGGTTTGGCCTCTAAAGCCTCATCTGTAAGTTGTAGATTTGAAGACATTCAGAAAGCAGCAGACTGGTCTTCGGAATCTACTTTCAGGAATTTCTATTTTAAACCCATAAGCCATTTTTCAGAACAAGTTATTGACCAGCTTTAAACACGCATAACATGAGCCTCCATGTCTTTAATAAAATACCCAGATTTTACCAATATCATGACATAAAGTCATGATTTTATTAAAGACACGGCGTTGAGAATTATTCCCCACCGCCCTCCCATTGAACTCTCTCTACTGGGATACGGTAAGTGGATTGTTTATTTTCATGGCTATGATGTGTTTCATTAAAGGGATTACATTTGACCCGTGGTGCATGGATTCTAATATTTATGTTGCTTACCAACCTAATTGATTACCGATTTTATATACTTATCTATTGGTTACTATAATTTTGGGTGAAGACAACTGCGCATACTTGGTACGCCAAGTTATTACCATATTGTTTATTTTTTTTTAGCCCAACTTGCTTCACGGACTATTTCCTTGAAAGTTCAAAACTGTGATGTATGGTTCGGCAGTTCACTGGAGTTTGTCCTGCTATTTGGATTATATTGTTTCACCAAGTTTGAATTTATTTAGCTTCAGTATCAACAGAAAGAGGAAGTGTAGAGCTAGGTCCTGCCTTATATAGGATTGTGCCTGTATTTTATTTGATTGATGTGTTGTTATGCATATGATGGATGTATAGGATGGTATTTTGTAAATTTGTCATTGTTTTTTTTTAATGTTAAGGTTGTCTTGCTTTGCTGTTGAGGGAATTAAAGAAAGAGTGCAGCATAATATGAGCCTCTGTGTCTTTAATAAAATCATGACTTTACGTTATGATATTAGTAAAATCTGGGTATTAAAACTCACCTTATTTCCAGCACCGCGAGGGTTCCATTGGAGCTGGCCCCTCCCCCTTGATGACATCAGGATTGCTGATTTTTAGCCAATCCAATGTCTTATTTTGTAAAATAAAAGTGTAATGCCAAAAAAAATAAAACTAAAAAATAACTCCCTTCTCACGGGACAAACTGTCTATCTTCTAATCTTATAGAAACATAGAAACATAGAATGTGACGGCAGATAAGAACCATTCGGCCCATCTAGTCTGCCCATGGCAGCTTAGACATGAAAATAATATGTATTTGTTGGTATTCATGGCTGAAACTGATTTATGGAAAGAAAAAGGTATTACTGACAGTAAAACTTAAAAATCCCACGTCAACAAAAATATCAAAAAAGTCAGGGTCAGCTCTATGGTAAAAACCATGAAATTGTAATAATGATAGGGACCACAAGTTTCCATTGAACATTTTAAAATAAAGTTTAAAATTTATTTTTATTCAATTAATTTTGTCAGTTGTGTTGATGCTACCACACGTGTTTTTTCATCTGACACCATTTAAAACGGATCAACTGGAGCACTAGGGTGTGCCTCGGGTTTCAGAGATGATAAATATCAAATGTCTAATTAGGATTTATTCTGTGCCTTACATTTTGGTGGTGGGGGAGGGGGGGGATAGAAGAGGAACTAGAACTATCAACTGTTTCAACCTTAAATGCTTCATACTCAAACATGCAGGCTTGGTTATTGGTCAGAGGATATAAATTACATGTTTTTGAAAACATCCATGCCATTTTTGTGCACCAAAATGTTATTTAAAAAACATTTTGGTGCACATAAAATTAAAACAAAGAAGGAGAGAGGGGGCTAAGACATGCAAAATGTTAGACTTTATTTATTGAAAATTATTTAAAAACAGGGCACACCTTGCACGCTTAGGACTAGCACCATACAGTCTCAGAGTATAAAAAGTTAACATACATCATACTGTTGGGAAAATCACCTTCTTTTATGGGTTAAAACTTTAAAATGGGAACTTCTCGTGATATTTAATATCATGTATACTTATCCCTTCTATATATAGTAAAACACCTATTTGAGAGGACTGCAAAAGAGAATTCCACATTGCTATGTTTACCTCGATATACGAGAACACTTTGGGGGGCGGACACCTCAGATAGGGTTACCCTAACCAAAACCAGTGCTTTATGAAAACAATGTTTTTGGTTGAAGTAGCCCTTTAATATATATTGAAAAGAAATTTGTGCATCATATTAAATACAGTACTTTCTAGAGAAGTGATGGTTTCCCCTTTAAAGGATAACAGATATCTCAACATGTGACAATACTTACTAAAACAGCAAATAAGGCGCCAGAATTAATCACAGAACATAAATAATTGATTTAGTAAATAAAAGCTTACCAGATATTTTGACCCTATTAATGGACTTTTTTCCATTTTTAAAACTGAAGGTTACTTTAGAGTTTATTCTATAATATAAAACAAATGTACTTCATAGGGTTTCTGTGCTTGTGTAATTTATTCCGGTATTATAAATACATTCTTTTTATCAAAACATTCAGGCAACTTTAATCAAACACAAAAAAGCATCTGTTTTCTAGTGAGAAAATAGGTTGTTTTCTTACCTAGCATACGAATATATAAAGCTGTTTGGTCAGAGCTGTCATATGAAATCGCTCCACGCCTCTGCAAGAAAAGTAAGCAAAAATACAATTTTAAAGTAATTATCTGACTTCCCTAAAAAGAAGAACATTGTAACAAATGAACACAAGATCATCGTCTTGAATACACTGCATCAATGTGCTTTGAATTTTAAACTAATCAGCAGGACTGTTGCGTCAATTGAGTGATAACTGTACACTGTATATTGCTGGGCCATGTTTTATACATAAAAACAAACGCATAGAATCACAAACAAAAACCTTGGTACGCAAAAGGCTAAACAGTCCTGAAACAACATTTTAGGCAGCCAAACAATACAAAATTTAGCGGATTACAATGCGAACATTATAGTGCCAACATTCTTCACTGCATTGTAAGGACTAAACGTAGAATTGATCACAAAGCAGAATAAGACACATTTAAGCAAATGGGGGCAAAAGGCATAATATATCAAGAAAGAAAGATATTTTCAGGTATTTTAGCTATATCAATAGGTAGATAACTGTAGTATTAGGTGGAGAAATAACGTTTGACGTGACATTAGGATACAATTGTGTAGAGTGAGTAATTACATAATCACTATGCATTGCTAAAGAAATGAGTTTACATATTTCTGAGAAAATAAATGGAAACTAGCAGAAAGAAATGAGTTAGCATATTCCATATAAAAAGGGCAACCATATACAAGTCTAGTAGGAGAGCTGGAGGTGTAGGGATGAAAGACAAACATTACAGAAGGAGTAGAGGGATTGAGAACGGTTGTACTTACAAATCTGAGATGTATTACAGGGTACCATTATTGCAGGGCTTGACAAATCCCAGGCGCCAGGTCACCATGAAGACTAGAAATTTTGCCCGGTTGCCTGGGATATCAGCCCTTTAAAGCCGGAACGCCCGCGATATCACAGGAGCCTCACGCGAGGGAGCAATAATCTACCTCCAGCTCCTCTCTGCTCTGCTTAATGATGCCAGGAGCCGGAATATGACATCATTCCGGCCTGGCATCACTACAGAGAGCGTGAGGGAGCAGAGAGGATCTGCAGGTAGATTTCTGCTCCCTCTCGCGCAGGAAGACAGGAGTCCCCACTGGACCCCAGGAAAAGATCCACTCAGCTCTCCCAAAGGTAGGAAGGCTGAGTGGATTTAAATTAAAATAATCTCACTTTGTGTGTGAGAAAGTGTGTGCGTGTCTCCAATCGCACGAGAAAGTCTCCAATCGCACTGATCTCAGCTAAGGGAGGATATTGCACATGCCGAGCAAAATAATGTGACAATCAGCATCTTCTCATAGAGATGCATTTAATCAATTCCTCTCTATGGGGGAACATTCAGCACCTCTATACAGAGTATGGAGACGTTGAACGTAGGTGCTGCACACTGTGCAGCACTGACCAAGGACTCTCTAGCCTAGGGACAGCCAATCAGCACTTGCCCCTATAACAATTTTATTCCAACTATGATCCCCATTTGTCTGATCAGGTCAATATTAGTAAATATTGACTCTGATCAGTATGGGGGGTGGAGGGGATATATCAATGTTTTAGGTAGAGAGATTTAGGTAGTTTTAGGTAGGGATTTGTAAAATTTCAGGAGATGTTGCTGAACACATATTGGGGTTTTCTTTGGCAGTAACTCTTAAAGTTCTCCGTACATGTATTCTTAAATTGCGATGTGTGTCAAAACAAAATCACCAATAATTTTTTTTTAAATGTTTCATAGAATGGTGGTAAAAAGGTTGCATGAAAAGAGTCAAAATACCCAAGTGCAATACCTTAGGTTGCCTTCTTTAAAAAAAATATGTACATGTGAAGGGTTATTCAGGGATTCCTGACAGATATCAGTGTTACAATGTAACTTGCGTTAATTTTGAAAAAAAATGGTTTGGAAATAGCAAAGTGCTACTTGTACTTATTGCCCTATAATTTGCACACACAAAAAAAAGCTAAGAACATGGGTATTTCTAAACTCAGGATAAAATTTAGAAACTATTTAGCATGGGTGTTTTTTGGCGGTTGTAGATGCGTAACAGATTTTGGGGGTCAAAGTTAGAAAAAGTGTGGGTTTTTAAAAAAAAATTCCATCGTATTTTATAAAAATAAAATTATAGTAAATTAAAGGATCTGATGAAAATAATGGTATCTTAATAAAGGCCATTTAATTGCGAGAAAAACGGTATATAAATATGTGTGGGTTCAGTAAATGAGTAAGAGGACAATTACAGCTAAACACAAACACCGCAGAAATGTAAAAACAGCCCTGGTCCTTAACGGTAAGAAAATTTAAAAATGATCTGGTCACTAAGGGGTTAAACAAATTGTGAGGATTAAAATTTCAAACTATGAGCCAGTTTCCTCAATTTCAACATAATGAGCCTTAAGATCTAACTTCCCAAAATATTTGCATCTACACAAACCCAGTGCTAAATTACAGTAATAACTGTTGGTTGTAACAATGTAAAAAGGTTTTTATGTCAAATTAATGGTTTTCTTTGAAAAGTAGAGAGAAGTTAAATACGGAGAGGAACAATTCACACAGTATCTTGGTAAAGAAATGTTATTTCCCAGTCTGAACAGTAGGTGCTACAGTCATCGGTAATTTAAATAGAGAACAAAAGTCTTCAGCCTCGAGGCTCTGAGTTCAATCCAGTCTTAAAGGTGAAAAGTATGTGCCCCTGAGTTAATCTAATGATTAAACAAATGCCAGCTAAATTATGACACTAGACACAAAAAAAACATAGCAAGAGAAACAAAAATGCCCTGGGTTTAGTTAAACAACCCACTCAAAAGAATATGAAAATACAGAAAGAAAAGAACATTTGACTATACTATAGATCTTTTTAGACCAGAAGTTATTTTAGGACAATATGCTTTAGCATTTAAGACTAGGTTTTCTTCTTCAAAGGCATTGGCATGATGACATTACATAAATAGACAGATCAGAGTAATGATACAGATAGTCAGTTAATCAGCTTGTGTTCTTAGGATGCAAGTTAGAGGCTTGTCAAAATTAGAACAGGTTTAGCCCTGGAAATTCTCACAAGCTTGACTAAGGGTGCATTGGCATACTCGGGAGGATGTAGTCATATAGAAAGTAGTTATTAGACATGTAAGCCATAAAGGGACACTCCAGGCTGGAATTAACCCATTACTTTTAATGTTTTATATAGAGATTTTAAATATGCAAAAACCAAATATCCTGAAATTATAAAAGATGCTATAAAAAGTTTTTTTTGTTTGATAATTTTTTTCCTCCCACATTTCACCAGCTTTGAACTTTGTCCACTCCATTAATTAGCTTGGCCAATCAGGAGTCTCTCATTTTGGTTAATGGTCTAAATCTGTAACAAGTGCTTAACCCATGCCTGTATGTTTTACAGGGTGTGGGTTATTAGCATAAATGAAAAACTCTCTCTGCACACACACACTGTTCTGCTTGAAGCAAGGTTCCCTGGTACTTTTAGTTCAGTTACTAGCTTTCTACACAGAGAAAGCAGTTAGCTTAACTAAAATTCCCCTTTGCAGTGTTTCTTGATGTTATTAGACGCAGTCAGTTAGAAAGAGGAGATAGAAATGGAGTTATACGACATACAATATCCAACAAGAAGGAAGTATTCCAGAATGGCGTGTTGGAACATAAGAGTGAGTGTAATCATTTTCTAGACCAGGGATAGGCAACCTTCGGCACTCCAGATGTTTTGGACTACATCTCCCATAATGCTCTTAGACCCATAATGCTGGCAAAGCATCAGGGGGGTGTAGTCAAAAACATCTAGAGTGCCGAAGGTTGCCTATGCCTGTTCTAGACACTTGGCAAAGTATATAAAATAGGGACACTGTTATACTCATTGGGTGCAAAGTGGACTTTTTATGCAAATGTCCACATCAGGATTACAACATTACCAACAAATATACAATGGCTTATGTGTAGTGTGAAAAACAACTTGTTCACAGTATACCACTAGTGGTGCTAAAGAAAAATAGCATTAAATGGATTAATCTATTTGTCCTTATTTTGGGAGTAGCTCATATCTAGACTTCTAGATAGATAGATAGATAGATACACACACCTATATATATTTATGCAACAATATTCCCTTTTTCTGCTTTACAACTTCAGAGCGTTGTCACGGGTATTACAAATTTTAGGTCAAATAGTTGAACTAGATATTCTCACTTTTATTCTACTAATTTCTCTTTTGTTTCTTAAAATGTGCAACTCATAGTTTAGGGAGTAAAATATATTGCCACTCAAAACAAAAAGACCTATGTAACACAAAATTAAAACTAGAATTTCTCAACTACTTGCACACCAAGTTTGTGCTTGCAAATAGCAGTGGAAACTTATTTTTGTTTAAATATTAAGATAGTTCAAGATGTTCTTCCACTAATGAAACAGCACTATCAAAAAAATAAAAACTAAATAAACCTCCAGGAATCATTGTGTTAACCAGTATTCTGAAATCGAAAAAACAAAAACACCCACTCACAATTAGGGACAAGCTGACGTCAAGTGGTCAAAGAACAGATAAAACAAACTCACTGTGCATAATTTGTGGGAAAGGGTTGGGACTTTTGCATGTAATATGTATAAAGAAAAAATATATACAGTATAAAAACAACTTATATGGTACATCAATCTTAAAACTTCAGTAAAAGCAATAGTGTTTAAAAAATAAATACATTTAAAAAAAAAGTCTAATGAGCTTTCTCATGGCCAAAAATGAGATTATAGTAAAGTACATAACCTATTGTTCCTGTCAAAATCTGTAATGGTTTGTCTAATTTCCTATTTATATATACACACATATACATACATACATACATACACACACACACAGCTCAAAAAAATAAAGGGAACACTTAAACAACACAATGCAACTCCAAGTCAATCACACTTTTGTAAAATCAAACTGTCCACTTAGGAAGAAACACTGAGTGACAATCAATTTCACATGCTGTTGTGCAAATGGGATAGACAACAGGTGGAAATTATAGGCAATTAGCAAGACACCCCCAATAAAGGAGTGGTTCTGCAGGTGGTGACCACAGACCACTTCTCAGTTCCTATGCTTCCTGGCTGATGCTTTGGTCACTTTTGAATGCTGGCGGTGCTTTCACTCTAGTGGTAGCATGAGACGGAGTCTACAACCCACACAAGTGGCTCAGGTAGTGCAGCTCATCCAGGATGGCACATCAATGCGAGTTGTGGCAAGAAGATTTGCGGTGTCTGTCAGCGTAGCGTCCAGAGCATGGAGGCTCTACCAGGAAACAGGCCAGTACATCAGGAGACGTGGAGGAGGCTGCAGGAGGGCAACAACCCAGCAGCAGGACCGCTACCTCTGCCTTTCTGCAAGGAGGAACAGGAGGAGCACTGCCAGAGCACTGCAAAATGACCTCCAGCAGGCCACAAATGTGCATGTGTCTGCTCAAACGGTCAGAAACAGACTCCAGGAGGGTGGTATGAGGGCCCGACGTCCACAGGTGGGGGTTGTGCTTACAGCCCAACACCATGCAGGACGTTTGGCAAATTCGCCACTGGCGCCCTGTGCTCTTTACAAATGAAAGCAGGTTCACACTGAGCACGTGACAGCATCTGGAGACGCCGTGGAGAAAGTTCTGCTGCCTGCAACATCCTCCAGCATGACCGGTTTGGCAGTGGGTCAGTAATGGTGTGGGGTGGCATTTCTTTAGGGGTCCGCGCAGCCCTCCATGCGTTCGCCAGAGGTAGCCTGACTGCCATTAAGTACCGAGATGAGATCCTCAGACCCCTTGTGAGACCATATGCTGGTGTGGTTGGCCCTGGGTTCCTCCTAATGCTAGACCTCAAGTGGCTGGAGTGTGTCAGCAGTTCCTGCAAGACAAAGGCATTGATGCTATGGACTGGCCTGCCCATTCCCTAGACCTAAATCCAATTGAGCACATCTGGGACATCATGTCTCGCTCCATCCACCAATGTCACGTTGCACCACAGACTGTCCAGGAGTTGGCAGATGCTTTAGTCCAGGTCTGGGAGGAGATCCCTCAGGAAACCATCCGCCACCTCATCAGGAGCATGCACAGGCGTTGTAGGGAGGTCATACAGGCATGTGGAGGCCACACACACTACTGAGCCTCATTTTGACTTGTTTTAAGGGCTTTACATCAAAGTTGGATAGTGTGTTTTTCCACTTTAATTTTGAGTGTGACTCTAAATCCAGACCTCCATGGATTGCAAAGTTTGATTTCCATTTTTTAATTTTTGTGTGATTTTGCTGTCAGCACATTCAACTATGTAAAGAACAAAGTATTTCAGAAGAATATTTAATTCATTTAGATCTAGGATGTGTTATTTTTGTGTTCTCTTTATTTTTTTGAGTGTATATATATATATATATATATATATATATATATATATATATATGTATTAAGGCAGTTTTGCCTGTATTTGTGGGAGGGGCTTAAATTAATTCACTCCCCTATATAAGGGACACCCCTTACCTGACTCATATCGCTTGAGGTCAGCATCAGAATGATTTCCACTTCCGGGTCATCCAGACGCCATTTTACCTGATTACTCCATGAGGTTTTCTAAGCTGAGCTGTGTCAGGAATCCAGCCACAGGCTTTTCCGGCCTACCACCTTCTTTCTTCAATCTATCGCTGTGGATGGTGTCCAAGTGACTCACAAACCGTAAGTTGACCTACCCATTACGCCAGGCATCAGTCCCACGGCACCATGCAAGGGTCAGGTCCTCACTTTACTGCTGCATTTTGTCTAAGTCTGTTCTAAAACCATTGCATGTTCATGCATATCATTCGTTTAAACCCCCTACTGGTCTTTGGGTGTACTACAGACTTCTTAGACATTATCTTATTTCATGTACAAACCAACGAACCACTGCATCTTTGCCTACACACTGACCCCTACCGGTCATTCGGTGTACTACAGGCTTCTCAGACATTATTGCATTTCATGTACAAACCAACGAACCACCGCATTTTTCACCTACACACTGACCCCTATTGGTCATTCGATGTACTACAGGCTTCTTAGGCGTTGTTTGCATTTTCATGTACAAACCAATAAACCACTGCATTTACACCTACACACTGACCCCTACTGGTCTTTCGGTGGATTACAGGCTTCTTAGACATTATCGCATTTCATGTACAAATCAACGAACCACCGCATTTGCGCCTACACACTGACCCCTACCGGTCATTCTGTGTACTACAGGCTTCTCCGACATTATTGCATTTCAGGTACAAACCACTGCATTTTTCACCTACACACTGACCCCTATCAGTCATTCGGTGTACTACAGGCTTCTTAGACATTATTGCTTTTCATGTACAAAACAATAAACCACTGCATTTTCACCTACACACTGACACCTACCAGTCATTCTGTATACTACAGGCTTCTCAGACATGATTGCATTTTATGTACAAACCAACAAACCACTGCATTTTTCACCTACATACTGACCCCTATCAGTCATTCGGTGTACTACAGGCTTCTTAGACATTATTGCTTTTCGTGTACAAAACAATAAACCACTGCATTTTTACCTACACACTTACACCTACCGGTCATTCAGTGCACTACAGGCTTCTCAGACATTATTGCATTTCATGTACAAACCAACGAACCACGGCATTTTCGCCTACATGCTGACCCCTACCGGTCAATCGGTATACTACAGTCTTCTCAGACTTTATTTCACTTCATAAGCAAACAAACTAACTACAGCATTTTCGCTTTTATACTGACTCCTATCTGTCATACGGTAGGATTAACCCCTTAGGGACACATGACATGTGTGACATGTCATGATTCCCTTTTATTCCAGAAGTTTGGTCCTTAAGGGGTTAAAGGGTATTTTTACCATACAATCAGCATTTATGACCCCTACTGGTCAACAGCAAAACTGTCTTCACATGTCATATACAATTTACCAGCCAATATAAATTACACATAAGATTGTTTTAACCCCTTAAGGACACAAGACATGTGTGACGTGTCATGATTCCCTTTTATTCCAGAAGTTTGGTCCTTACGGGGTTAAACATAACCATAAACCATAAATGAAACTCCAGCACGGGCTCAAATTCAGGTTTAATTCACAATAATTTACATTTCACATCAAGACCAACAGTGGTTCTATCAACACTGCCACCTACAGGTCTGTCAAGTACATTGACAATTTTCATGGGGTTTTACAAACACCAAAACACTTACACCTATAGGTCAACAGACAAACAACATTTCACATACCAATCAGTATCCAACTACACTGCCACCTATAGGGCACTCGGCAGATCTCCAGTGCACTTGCATTTTGCAACACCATGTTCACTGACCCCTACCATTCAATAAGACATACAACAATTCACATAGCAAGCACTATATCAACATCAGGTATAAATACATATATTATTACACAGTAGCAGACGCGTCTGTATATACGTAACTGGTAATATAGTTCACATACATTTTTCACAGCACGCTGCTCACGCAACAGATTTTGCCCTAGCAAGGGGAAATACAACATACAAGGTGGGGACAGACCACATTTTCACTTGTACATACGGCACTTAATGGGTTAAGATTGATACATATTTAACCAGTATGGCTACGATGTTTAATATTTACACATCATGGCACTTTACTTTTCACATATACTGTACGTATTAAGATAAGCTTGGTCTATGCCATATTTCCTTATGCCATACGGTTTTATCCATTCAGGTTACAGTTACTACTAAAAAACCTATACGGATTGTCAGGTTCAATACCATACTACCAGGTACATACACCTGCTCACGTAGTTATCCATCTCTTACCTTCCCTGGAATAGTAATAGTGTACTGGCAATTAGGGTTCTAGGGCCCAATAGGTATTACCCCCTTTTTTCTCTGCATTATGCTTCGGTTAGTGGTCCCGCGAGGCCAACACCCCGCCTCACACTCGGAGGCATACACCCCTCGGGCCACTCGTGAGCTAGCCGCCTCGCATTGTATCATAGAGAGGGCCTCACCTGTCACTCCCCTTCCTATTTTCTGGTTACTGTCACCGAGAGGCCAACATCCTGCCACAATGTTCGGTGGCCACACAAAATCCCCTCGCGCCAAGCATAGATAGAGCCTCTCAAGCCACTTGGCAACTAGCAGGGCCTCACCAGTCACCAAAAAACACCAAGCCTAATCGTTTCGCCTTACGGCTTAGCTAGCAAGCCAGTACAAGAACCCTGGGTACAAATAATAATTGCAATCTTTATTGTTATTTAAGTATTTCTCCAAAAGATGGTGAAGAATCACCTCTTCCTAGCACCCCGGCTAGAATTGATACACCTTCAAGCAGAGGAGATGTTGCTAGTCCTGCAGCAATCAGATCCTGGACGATCCCACACATTACCACCGACCTAAGGAGGTGACAAATCCCATACCCTGCTACAGCAAGGAAAGCAGAGTTATTCAAACTCCTCCATACATCAACGGACAACACGGAGGCAGGGGAAGGCCCAGCTACATCAACTCAGGTGACACCCAGGCTATGCTAGCCTCACTCAAACTCATGAGCCAAAAATTTTTATGACAGACTAGCAATCTCGAGTTGGTCACCACAGCCCTCACAAGGCTGGGCCTCACGTTACTGTACAACCAGCACCAACCGAAACTCGGTTACCTGGTACAATCAATTCTTATGACACACAAGATGTTAACCCTGCACGTATGATCCCAGCACATTGGGGAAGCAAGGCATATATATGTATGATGATGTATCTGTGATGGTCAGATTCAGGGATTCCAGGTAAATCGGGAACTGACCATCTCTTGGATGGGTTGGTATTTGGAATATGTAGAGATGTTTATTTGTGCAGGTACCCATACAGAAGGGGTTCTGTCCCAAACAAATGGACGAGCACTCTCAGGCTCCAGGTACCAGCACCTCTGAACTACCAGAGACGATTGATATGAGTAGTTGCATTGCATATAGACTGTTGCATATATGTTCAAATGGTTCAGGGCACATGACAAACCATGTGGCCCAATACAACTTACAAATAACGTACTCACCATCTGTACACACCAATGCATTTTTCAACACTACTGACTCATCACCCTTCCAGACTTGTAGTAGATTTACTAAAGCTCTGGAGCTTCAAAGGGCTCCCATACAGGTATCATAAACACACCTTCAAGGAATATAGCATGCCCTCACTTACAGTCAGCACAACAAAACCATTGGCTGAAAACACACTCATAGCCAAGATTTGCAGAGTGGTCTTCCAATCTCCACCATTTACAGCATGGCACCAAACACACACATTGGTATTGTCACAAGGAATCTTCCCTTAAACAAAGACTAACCATAGACTTATTGGCACCACACACCTCCGCTACCCCAAGTCTCAACTCCCTTCTTACTATACAACACCATTGATCTACCTTTACAGCTATCACTCAAGCATGGGTTAAAGCTTGGTTAAGTAAGACCAATATCATCAACGCAGTAAACAGCTACCATCTACCCTACACACTGGCACTTACATGGCATAAATTGGGCAATCCTTTCCCTGCTCAACTTTCGAGCTACAGATTAACCTACTATCGCTATTCGCAGATACTCTGTGCTGGTTATGATAACATATCCAGAGGCATTACAGTCATACACTATCTAGAAGACTTCTTGTTGCTCAAAGAAAGCATATTTTTCACTAGAAGCCTCATGGCAGCTTAGTCTGGTTGACCACTTGGGCGTCCCAGTACCCCATAAGAAACAGAAGGCGCAGACACTATCATCACATTACTGGGCATATGACTTGAGTCGGCATCCATACACGCAAGTTACCACAAGACAAATAGGGAACATTCTCAACTAAATCAATCACTACCTCCTGCTTAGTACTTACAACTACAAGGAACTACAATCCCTACCAGGTTCCTTAATTTTGCCATGCCAATCATACCACAAGACCACGCTTTCACATCCAGAGTACTTTCCCCTTTTTTCCACACTTCCAACATGACGATCAGAGGAGGTGCCTAGACACCTCAGCAACAGCAGACCTGCACATGGGGGGGGGGATTTCTTAACCACTTGGCATGGTAAAAGCATGTTCCTTCCAGGATTGTCTGACACTTCTCCAACCAGATGGTCAGACGCAGCGTATACCATGGGTTTGGCAGCGATCTACCGGGAACAATTGCTTTGGGGCTGTTGGCCATGGCATCCAGGTTTGGAAATTTTTCCACCACTTCAGCCCCTTTGGGAGATCTACCCCATTGTAGCAGCGGCTGTGGCATGGGGTAAATCATGGTCAGAGTCATCAATCCGTTGTTACTCAGACAACTAAGCACATATCATATCATCAACAAACGCCACTACTCATCCATAAGTTCATGATGTTTCTGGGGAACTCACTTGGTTGGCCACTTATCACATTTCACTTTCATGTACCAGACGGGGGTATACATCCCTGCCGACAACTGTCTCATTTATATTCCAGGCATGTTCATCATACGCTTCCTACAGCTGCCCATACAGTCACGTCCACTCTTTCGTTCCAGAGACAAAATCATGGATTAGACATACTCATGCAGCATTGCATGCACTATCCCACCTAGCACTTTCGTCCCATACTTGTAGAACGCATAACACAGCTTTTCACCTGGCTTAAAGAATCTCATTGGAACACGACATAGCTCAACCTGTGTCACAAAATTTCTCCTAAGTTTTGCTTATTTTTGCCACCTTAAACTTAAACTATCTCATACACCATTAATTATATATTTTACAGGCATTCAACAACACATGATAACCTATGGCCAAAACTACCATAAACTTCATGCTATCATACCAGAAAAGAATATACTCAGAGGTTTTCAGGAATCCATTCCCCCACGTTCCTCTCAGAGATTACCAATAGCCATCCAACTGTTCATCCTTATCGGACCTATTAGATCTACAACCATTCAATTATACTACCAAGTCGGCCATTACCAGCACATTGCCTTTTATGCCTTTCTCAGGCCAGAGAATCCACTACCATCACCACCACTCAGACAGATCATTGTCTTCAACGATCCCACGTACGTAAACACATATATCATTACCTATTGGCACTACCACATTCCGAAATGAGTCAACATGCACCAACAGTAGAGATAACATACTATCCTACCCACAACAAATGGTGTCCACTTTCGGTCCTAGATTCCTACCTTCAAAATCCTTTCAGGAATTAAATACTGTAATGCATTTAAGGAAATGTCTGGTTAATTTGTATATATTTGTTGACTGTATTAAATCTTTGATTATTCATTTTTGCCCTCTTTATTTACAGGCCTACCGTATCGTCGGTATCGGCACACCACAACCGACTTGCTCCCTTTACACTATCCTAAGCTTATGCTGGATCCTTACTCCATATACGGCTATTTTGCCCCTTACACAAGTATTAAGGCAGTTTTGCCTGTATTTGTGGGAGGGGCTTAAATTAATTCACTCCCCTATATAAGGGACACCCCTTACCTGACTCATATCGCTTGAGGTCAGCATCAGAATGACCCTCCCACCCACTCCTCATTTCAACACTTTCTCTTTTCTTTCCATTTACTTTACTTTCTTACTCCTTGGTGGGCCCTCTTTATTTACAGGCCTACCGTATCGTCGGTATCGGCACACCACAACCGACTTGCTCCCTTTACACTATCCTAAGCTTATGCTGGATCCTTACACAAATATATATATATATACATACATACATACATATACACACAAAATACAGAATCCAGCGCACTCGCTTATTCACTAAACAATGATTTCAAATCTTAGAGATTGTAATAGTTTTATTTAAAAACACTTCACCTAGGCAAAAAATGATGGGGGTTTAGTTACATTATGTGATCATACATTGCATAAGCCTGCCAACTACGTCAAAGTACCCCATATTCGGCAGGTCCTATCCTAGCAGGCTAATGATTGCTCTTATGAGATTAATCCACTTACTTGGGAAATACTTCCTTACTGGGACTCTCTGCAAGTCAAGGCTAAATAGGAAACTGGAATGAGGCACCTGTAACAGGGAGGGGTGCAAAACCAAGGAGCTGGCCTGGGACTCCCATATATATATATAAAAGAAACCAAGAGGGCTGCACTCGCCTGAACATGCATACATTATATAACTCTTAAAATCACCACCCACTAGGAATGTTTAACACCTGGGTAGGCCTCTGCTTATTTGCAAACAATTGCTAATTTAAACAGCAATCAATAGCAAGTAACTGACTAATCAAATCAAATGCCTTATAATTACCAACAGGAATTCAAATCTTGAGCAATCAGTAACCTTTTCCTACAGATGAATCTTACCTGTAACAGTAGAAAAGAAAGCTCTTAGCACAACTCTTAGACAGCTGAAGCTTCTGTAAAACTCTCCAGAATATCTCCAACTACACACTTAGAAGCAACACTTAGATAGCTTGGTTGCTTCGTCTAAGTGTGTAGTTGGATATATTCTGGAGATAACCTGAGATATTCAGGAGAATAAATAAAAAGTTAAGATTTGTTTGATTTAATTATTCTCCTCATTGGAATGGCAGACTTCGTTCAGTGTAATAGTTGCTATGCATTTGTTTCACGTTCAACTTTTTGGAGATTTGGTTGTTGTCTAATCTGTAGACAGTTCTCTGTCTTGCGGCAGGAGATTGTATTTTTGAAGTCTGAGATTTGTAAATTATCTGGTGAACAAACTCAGACTGGAACTGCTGCAAAGTCACTGCCGCAGAGACATACCAGGAATGGCAGATGGATTACTGTAGGATCTGGTAGACTTAGAGTTGTGGATAAAAGGCATTTTGCACAGTCTGTTGCTCTACATAATTCATTTTCTGCACTTTCAGAGTGTAATGGTGTTGTGGAGAGAGGCACTGAGGCTAGTGGTGTTGTGGAGAGAGGCACTGAGGATAGTGGTGTTGTGGAGAGAGGCACTGAGGCTAGTGGTGTTGTGGAGAGAGGCTTGGAGACTATGGTGAGGCCTAATAGAAAGCAGTTGTTGGGGGATTCCATTATAAGAGGTGTGGAGATGGACAATGGTGGTCTTGTGAGGTGTCTTCCCGGAGCTACTGCTCATAGAGACAGGAGACGTATCTGTAATATTGTTAAGCAAGCAAAGCAGGAAGGGGAATTGGATGTACTTGTCCATCTAGGGACACATGACTTGGTTTGCAATGAGGTTTCAGAGGTTAAGGAAGTTTTTAGTGTTTTTGCCAATGATATACGGCAGGTTGCTTCCACACTGTCATTCTCTGAAGTTCTGCCTGTGCATAACACTCAGAACGACAGGCGGATGCGTATTAGGGACTTTAATTTGTGGCTTGGTGAATGGTGTCGGGAGCAAGGATTTGGCTTTATTTCTCATGGTAGCTCTGTTTGGAATGGAAATAAGCTGTACAAAAAAGATGGTTTGCATCTTTCTCAAAAGGGAACAAATGTTCTCAGTGAGCAGTTCAGAGGTTTTGCTAGGATGTATTTAAACTAGGAGGGGAGGCAAAAGGGTGATAAAACAATCCAATTGTCCCCCAAAACAAAGACAGAAGGTGCTTGTAGCAAGTGTGTTAAAAAATGATAAGCTTCGAGTCTTGTATACAAATGCTCTCAGTTTAGGGAAAAAGATCCATGAACTTGTGTCAATAATGGCAACTGATAATGTAGATTTAGTCGCTGTTACTGATCCATGGTATAATGAGAAAAATGACTGGGACATAGCAATACCAGGGTACTCTTTATATAGAAAAGATAGGGAAGGCAAGAAAGGGGGAGGGGTGGCCTTGTATGTGAAGGATAGCATAAAATCTAGCCTAATAAAAGTTAGTGAGGCAAACATAGTCCGTTTGGGTTACGTTAGAATTTGGTAATCACACAGTAACTCGTGTAGGTGTGATTTATAGGCCCCCAGGACAAATTGAAGAGTTAGATAAAATGACAATGAAGGGGGAAGTTATCATCATGGGTGACTTTAATCTCCCTGATGTAAATTGGAAAACAAAATTAGCTACTTGTGTCTCTAAAACAAGTTGTTGAGGAGCCAACTCGTAAAGAGGCCATACTAGATTTAGTGTTAACAAATGGAGATTTGGTATCAGATATTACTGTAGGTGAAAGTTTAGGATCCAGTGATCAGTCAGTGTGGTTTAATATAAGAACAGTGACTGAGTCACACCACACAAAAACAAAAGTTTTAGACTTTAGAAAACCAGACTTTTCTAAAATTAGAATATGGGTAGAGGAGTCATTATCAGACTGGAGCAATTTAAATGGAGTCCAAGAGAAATGGGATTATTTAAAAGTTGCACTATTGAAGGCAACAGAAAATTGCATTAGGCTTGTCAGTAAAAGCAAAAAATTCAAGAAACCACTGTGGTACTCCGCAGATGTGGCCAAAATAGTTAAAAACAAAAAGTTAGCATTTAGGAATTATAAAAAAACCCAGAGTGAGGAAGACAAAATGATCTATAAGATTAGGCAGAAAGAGGCTAAGCAAGTTATAAGAGCTTCCAAATCACACACAGAAGAGAAAATAGCACAGTCAGTAAAAAAGGGGGACAAAACATTTTTTAGATACATAAATGAGAAAAGAAAAGTAAAACAAGGATTAGTTAGATTAAAAACAAAAGAAGGAAGGTATGTAAAAGAGGATAAAGGTCTAGCTGACTGCCTCAATGAATATTTTTGTTCAGTATTCACAGATGAAAATGAAGTAAAGGGACCTCAGTTAGAAAAAAGGACAAATGATTAATTTGTTACATGTGAGTTTATAGAGGAAGAGGTTCTATTTCAACTGTCAAAAGTAAAGACAAATAAGTAAATGGGACCTGATGGAATACACCCAAAGCTATTAAAAGAGCTTATCATTGTTAACAGGAGTAGTCCCAGAAGATTGGAAGTTAGCGAATGTTGTGCCCATTTACAAGAAAGGTAATTGGGAGGAGTCGGGCAACTATAGGCCAGTAAGCCTTACTTCAGTAGTGGGGAAAGTGATGGAAACCATGTTAAAGGATAGGATTGATGAACATCTAAAAACACATGGATTTCAAGATCAGAGACAACATGGGTTTACTTCAGGGAGATCATGCCAAACTAATCTTATTGATTTTTTTGATTGGGTAACTAAAATTATAGATCAGGGTGGTGCAGTAGACATTGCTTACCTAGATTTCAGTAAGGCTTTTGACACTGTTGCACATAGAAGGCTTATCAATAAACTGCAATCTTTAAGTTTGGATTCAAATATTGTTGAATGGGTAAGGCAGTGGCTGAGTGACAGGCAACAGAGGGTTGTAGTTAATGGAATATATTCGAAGCTTGGACTTGTCACCAGTGGGGTACCTCAGGGATCTGTACTTGGACCCATTCTCTTTAATATTTTTATTAGTGATATTGCAGAAGGTCTTGATGGTAAGGTATGTCTTTTTGCTGATGATACTAAGATATGTAACAGGGTTGATGTTCCAGGAGGGATAAGCCAAATGGCAAATGATTTAGGTAAAACTAGAAAAATGGTCAGAATTGTGGCAACTGACATTTAATGTGGATAAGTGCAAGATAATGCATCTTGGACGTAAAAACCCAAGGGCAGAGTACAGAATATCTGATAGAGTACTAACCTCAACATATGAGGAAAGGGATTTAGGGGTGATTATTTCTGATGACTTAAAGGTAGGCAGACAATGTAATAGATACAGAGAAAACCAAGAAGTTAACTATTAGTGCTATAATGCACAAGAAATTAGAAGATTTGTCACTGTACATTCAGAATCATCGCTGGAGGTCCTTCACAATTCTCCAGTTCCCTAATATAGAGGGAGATATGCCTGATCTCATCCTAGTTTTGTGAGTTCTCTACCACCTTCGTTTCTATGTGGTTTTAACAATATTACACTATATATTTTTAGGTATTTTTTATAGATGTAATTCTGAACTCAGAATATATCAACACAATCCAGTTTGTATTGATTTATACTTATATTATCACTTTAGTGATTCACATTATTTTGTACCTTTTGGTTTTTTCTTTTTCTTTTCAGACAATGTAATAGAGCAGCAGGAAATGCTATCAGAATGCTTGGTTGTATAGGGAGAGGTATTAGCAGTAGAAAGAGGGAAGTGTTCATGCCATTGTACAGAACACTGGTGAGACCCACTTGGAGTATTGTACACAGTACTGGAGACCGTATCTTCAGAAGGATATTGATACCTTAGAGAGGGTTCAGAGAAGGGCTACTAAACTGGTTCATGGATTGCAGGATAAAACTTACCAGGAAAAGTTAAAGGATCTTAACATGTATAGCTTGGAGGAAAGACGAGACAGGGGGGATATGATAGAAACATTTAAATATATAAAGGGAATCAACACAGTAAAGGAGGAGACTATATTTAAAAGAAGAAAAACTACCACAACAAGAGGACAGTCTTAAATTAGAGGGACAAAGGTTTAAAAATAATATCAGGAAGTATTACTTTACCGAGAGGGTAGTGGATGCATGGAATAGCCTTCCAGCTGAAGTGGTAGAGGTTAACACAGTAAAGGAGTTTAAGCATGCGTGGGATAGGCATAAGGCTATCCTAACTATAAGATAAGGCAAAGGACTAATAAAAGTATTTAGACAATTGGGCAGACTAGATGGGCCGAATGGTTCTTATCTGCCGTCACATTCTAGGTTTCTATGTTTATAGGGTGCTGCTGGGGCCAAAATATACAAAATACAGAATCCAGCGCACTCGCTCATTCACTAAACAATGATTTCAAATCTTAGAGATTGTAATAGTTTTATTTAAAAACACCTCACCTAGGCAAAAAATTATGGGGATTTAGTTACATTATATGATCATACATTGCATAAGCCTGCCAACTACGTCAAAGTACCCCATATTATATAGTTGGCAGGCTTATGCAATGTATGATCATTTTTTAGACAAGACTGTCTTGATAACGTCGACTGAAACGTCGACACAACGAAACTACTGAATGCTGAATAAAGCACATCTTTGATTTTTCACAAAGTCTTGGAATATATGAATTGGCTGGAGGCAGCACCAAGGCAAATACAAGACTGGGAACAGTGAGTGCAGGGCACAAGGTGTGTGTAAATCTTTTTGATTATATATATATATATATATATATATATATATATATATATATATCAAAAAGATTAGGAATCTGGCACTCTACCTTAATATAGTAAAAAAACAATTAACCACGGTGCTGCACAGCATAGGTAATATAGAAAAAATAAAAAATTAGAGCACTCCAAAAGAGTTTCCAAAAGAAATAAACCGTGTTGTATTAAAAAAATAAAAAATAAAATCAACGTTTCGACCCACAGGTCTTTATCAAGATTTATTTTGTTTTCTTTTGGAAAACAATGAGTGCTCTCATTGTTTATTTATATATATATATATATATATATTATATATATTTTTTTTTTTCTCTCTCTCTCTCTCTCCTCCCCCCCGCCCCCCCAAAAAAAGAACTGAATTTACATACACAGAAACGCAAGAACTGCTACAGAACCAGTACAGTTTTTAATGCTAAATGTTTTAATTGGTTTAGTACTGGTCAATACAGCTATAATTGAATCAATAACCATTAGCACAATTCATCCTTACAGATCTTTACATGCCATGGTCTCATTTAGAAGCTATTTAGAAAGCCATAGCCGCAGGACCTGTAGACGCAACACTCAATATGCACATTTCCATTTGTGGTGTTAATTACATTCATATTTCTCATTGCAAGTACAAATGATTGATCGGAATACCATTTTAAATAAACAGCTTCGTATTTTGCCTACCTTAGAAGTAATCCACTTGATAAGTATCAAAGCTATTGACCAGATTAATGCAATTCCCATTGAGTCACATAAAATACTGAATCATAATAGTCTTTTTTTTCCCTGTACCTCAGGCAGCAGCAAAAAGGCTTTTAGGACATGGTAAATAACGAGTAATCTGTTACATTAAACAGAATGGCTCCAAGTGACTTGAGCTACAGGCAGCTGCACTAACACTAGAGTCACCTGATTACAGTGACAGTGGCTGCATCAAAATGTACTGCCCCATGTATCTCACTGAGACTGGCGACATCGGGAAAGACAAAAACCAGGACAGAATGCTGGGATTCTTAGAATGCTAGTTATATCCTGCCTCCTTTTCAATAAGTGGTGTACACACACCTCCATAGAAAAAAAAGCACCTTATAACGTTTTTAATAGTTTCGGACAGCAGGCAATTCACCAGTTATAAGCTGAAGATCAAGTTGTAAACAAATTCCTCAGCGTTCATTTCCGATCTTAAAAAAAAAAAAAAAAGCCAGAAAAACAAAATACAAGGAATGAAAAAAAAAATATTTTATAAAAAACACGTAATTATTGTGTACAAATGACAAATTAACCCAAGAAATGTTTTTAGCATACAGTATAAAATATGCCATGTAAATCTACTCCCAGGAAGGAATGCTGGCATTGCTCAGCTGTGACTGAAAACTATTTCTGCAATGACCCAGTCTGTAGATGCAGCCAAACCCCTTCCCCCACTCCGAAATAGAATTGGTACATAACCCCCATCACCATACATAAATATTTGTAGACCGACATCTTCACATTATTTATTACATTTAAAAGCACTCTAAGCACCATAAACACTGCAGCAAACTTTTGTGGCTATAGTGAAAAAAATTCAGCCCAGCACCTGAGATGTGGCTCAGTTGATCTGGATTCACTTTCATATTAGCTGTCCAACACTGTACTTGGTGCTGTTTGGACACAGCAAAGTAAGACTCTAGGTCCTTGGAGAGCCCTGATTTGTCAAATCTAAAATACTCAGCCTCTGTGCTACAGCTTGAATAATGCAGATGTAAACCTCTACAATACTGTATCCAACCTTGGACTACAATGATAGGATAAACTGCCTCAAACACTCACATCATTGATGGATAAAGAGGAGGAACTTTAAAGGAATCCACATTTTTATTTTATAAAGGGACTGCACTACAATACATTATTCTGCTCATGGTGCTTGGGGAATGTTTTTAAAGAGAAAATGGGTATGTACTTCTTTTGGAAACCAATCCCCACTATTTTACAATAGAATCCTCATTACTCCTTCTTAAAAAATTTGTGGCTGGCTTCTGCACAAATATTTTCAATACATCTGGTTTGCAGCAGTTGTAATTCTAATTTAATATATGGGTGTGGTAGAAATACGATTACCCCTCATGGGGCAGGAACAATACATTGGCCTGCTTCACACTATATAACGAGCAACTTAATATAAATAATAACATAATAATATTTATATAGTGCCAACAAATTCCGCAGTGCTTTACAGTGTGTGGACGAACAGACATGTAGTTGTAACCAGACAAGTTGTACACACAGGAACAGAGGGGTTGAGGGCCCTGCTCAATGAGCTTACATGCTAGAGGGAGTGGGGAAAAAAATGACACAAAAAGATAAGGATAGTATTAGACTAGTGACAGTTGCAAGAGATGAATCAGTCAGGAGCCATTAACGGTTTAATTGATACGCTTTTATGAAGAAGTGGGTTTTTAATGATTTTTTTTGAAGTAGTGGAGACTGGATGAGCATCTAACGAAGGAGCCCTCGAGAAGTCTTGAAGGCGAGCATCAGAGGTAGGAGTATGGACAGAAGATAGATGCAAGTCTTCAGCAGAGCATAAGGGCCTACATGGGGCATACTTGTGTATTAGTGAGGATTGATAGGTGGGAGCAGCATTATGTAGAGATTTGAAAGCAAGAACCAGAATTTTAAATTGAGCCCTATATCTTACAGGACGCCAATATAGGGACTGACAGATGGGTGAGGCGTGGGAGGTGCGGGCGGACAGGAAGATGAGCCTCGCCGCCGCATTCATTATGGACTGTAACGGCGCAAGTTGGGAGCACATAAGACCACTGAGAAGCGGATTACAGTAGTCAAAGAGAAAGGACAGTGGAATGGACCAACACCTTAGTTGCATCTGGCGTTAAGTAGGGATGGATGCGCACAATGTTTTTGAGATGGAAGTGGCAGGATTTGGCGATAGACTGAAGTGAACATAAGGCATTAAGGAGAGGCCGGTGTCAAAGAGAACCCCTAGGCAGCGAGCCTGCGTTGTGGAGCTGATGGTATATATATATATATAACACTAAACAGAGTCAAGTGTGAGCGCTGCTTCATAAAAGATAAAATAAAACATGAAAAAATTACTTTATTAGGGAATCCCACAAGCTATTTTTTTTTTAAGTGCTTATAAAATCAAATAAATTAAAAGTATGTATCAGTCAGAAAAACTGTATGAAAACTACTTAAGTTGCAAGAATGTTGTAAATCTGCTACAAAAAGTATCAGAAAAATTCCATAAAATATAAACACACTTAAGATCTATGTGTTAGTGAAAACCCAACGGTTTCCACTAAGCGATGCAATCAGGAAAAATGTGCAACTGTCAAAAATGGCCCAGATGGTCAAAGGACCAAGGTAGGTACAATAAATAACAAATACCACTATAAACAAAGTAAATTCTGAAAAGTACATGAATAAACTAGCAGAAAAATGTATATTAAAATGTCCATTAATCTATGTGTTATTAATCCAACCCAATTGTAACCTGACCGTGGGGGGCTCAAGCACAGATTCTGATGATGATATTAGTGGGCTCTAAAGATGCTCATACGCCGATGCTGTACTGGACCAAATTCAGGTCCACCCAGAGAGCTCAACCCTCGCCAGCGGTAGTGGGCACCAGAGACCAGCTGAAATAACTTGTGTGTCCACACGAGCAAGAGGTAAAGACGCCACATGCCAAAAGGGGAGCACACCAATCTGGGATCCTAGATATAACCGTGGCCGGTAACATCAAAAAAGGCTGTGATTATCTTAACGAGAAAGCACAATAAAAATGTAGGAACCAAAATTAAGAGACCTCAGGTCTACGTGTTTTGTCTCTTAGTTGAGACTTTATCAAGACCAAGGTCTTTATCAAGGTCTTGAAGAAGACTCAGTTAAGAGACAAAATTCTTACCTTTTGTAAAATTACCCTTTTCTAAAGAATTAGCCAGCGCATTCATCAAGGAGGTGTTTCTTTTACATTGCATACCTGATTCTATTGTATCTGATAGGGGTAGCCGGTTACCGGTTTTGGAGAGCCATAGGTATTCCATTGTCCTCCTTTACCCCCCAGACTAATTGAGCTACTGAACCTGCTTATTAGTCTCTTGAGCAGTACACTTGTAGTTTTGTTTTTCACAGCCAAGATAACTGGGCTGACCTGCTTGCTTGGGCTGAGTTTGCTCTAAATGCTACTCATGAGTCTTCTAGGAATAGTACTTTTAACGCAATCTTTAGCGGTCATCCTATTCTCCCTGTCTGCTTTCTCCTCCGCTCGACAGAAGGTATAAGCATGCAAAAACAAACTACGGCGGTGCACAATTGTGTTGTATTCAACATAGTTCAGTTAACAGCTGCAGCATTCTAGCTTTGAATGAACCACTGGTAAGGTCCTATGTGCTAATAAGTAACATTTTGGCTGGTTAGTCTTAAAGGGACGTTTCAAGCATCAAAACCATTAACCTCCCTTACTGACTTGCATTAGAGGTGTAGCTTCCCCTTTCACATACCCAAGTAATTGACCATGCGATTTAAAGTGACATAATAGGCACCCAGAGCACTTAATCTCAATGAATGTCTGTGTGCATCCACTGTGGTTTTAACACTGCAGCTGAAAATATTGTTGTTGAGCGGCAAGGTTTACATTGCAGGGTTAACGTGCCTCCATCGGTTGTCACTCTAACAGTTACTATGGACTGTTTCATTCTAATAACTAAGTTAAACTGAGCTATTCAATCAGATGGTCTCATATAGACCTTTTAAAATACCACGTATGCACACTAGCCTCCCAATGCTTTCTTACGGAGGTGGAGTTGGCTGCAGAAAGAGCATGGCAGCGACTCTGATGGGATACCCCAACTAGTGAGCAGGTCACTATAACTTTAAGAATAAAGGTTTGTGTATGTATGTATGTATATATGTATATGTATGTATGTATATATATATGTAGAGATTGTAGCCGTATTAGTCCAGGTATTACAAGATAAGAATTTTATCAGTTTTTTACATATATATCTTCGTACAGCAACAATAATACATTTGCTTCTTGATTATCTGTCTTAAAATCTCAGAATTCTATCCAGTTTATCGCTTTTTTAAAATTAGTTTTCTTACTCCTAAATTCCATGCACATACTACATAGATATATTGCTATGCGTTATACCCATACACACACACACATTATTTTAATGTATGCATATATATGATGTATAGTAAGCATATTCAAGTCTGTTACCTTGGAAACCAAAGCTGCAGGCACTAGCTAAAGGAATTAGTTTTGTTACTATGGTAGCTGCGGGGCAAAGGGACCTGTAGAATATACTATGTGGATGAATTTGCCCTTATGCTATCTATGAAAGATATTCATTGACATTTTAGAATTCCTTGCCACTTTAAAAATAAACTCTTTTGAAGATGCAATTAGTATTTTATTATTTATACACTTCACCTTATAGGGCAGGTAGAAAAATAAATGAATTTAAAAAAAAAATCAAATCGCCATAGGTGTTAAAGGGACACTGCAGGCACCCAGACCACTTCAGCTCAGCAATGTCCCATGTCCCTTAACCCTGCAATAGTAGTTATTGCAATTATTGAGAAACTGCAATAATTACTATCCAGGGTTAACTCCACCTCTAGTGGCTGTCTCCCAGACAGCCACTAGAGAGCTTCCTGGTTTGAAATGAACCTTTGGTCCGTTATCCGACGCTGGAAGTCCTCACACTCTGCATGAGGATCTCCACCGTCAGATTTCCCCCCATATGAAAGCATTGGGTAAGATTTAGTGCCTAGGAAATATTTGTGCAAATTTTAGTAAATGCAAGTATAAATTTGTTTGAGGGAAGCAAGCAGACTAGAAGCAGAAGCAGTTAAAATGTAAAACAGGGGCGGGGCCGGGCTGCTGAGCGGAGCGGCAGCCATCTTCCTCAGCTCCGGTCCCCGCTCTCTAAAGATGGTGATTTACTGCCAAAAGTACCCAGCAGACCACTAACCATCGCTACCTATACCTGTGGGAACCCACCAGAGACCAGGAGATGCCGGCTGGGGCCCTGTAACACAGAAATACCAAGCCTGCCGACGTCTCAGGCCTACCTCCGGGCTCCACTCTGATGCCTTGATAAACAGCAATGGTGGAACATGCCAACCTGCTCCTAAATGTGCCTGTGGCTGCTCCTGATAGCCCTGTGGGACATGAAGCTGACGGCAAGTGACGGCCCGGTCCCGCTCCCCCCCGAATGGTGGGGGTTGTCCAGCAACCTAAGTTACAGCCAAAGATGGCGATCCCCCCTCCACCCACCAGACCTATGGGACGCCAACACCCATCATAATATGCCAGGGAATGGCGGTACAAGACGACATACTCACGTGTCGTAAAGCCGAACATAAGCCCTGGGGACTGCGAACCTGCGGAAGGAGCCACCCGGAACGTTCACCCGCCGGAGGCATGTTGTCCTCAGCCTCTGGGTTTGTGGGGGGCCTGGAGAGATTTGTCCCCAGCACCGCGAGCCCTGTGGAACCAGAAATTGTGGAGTAGCGGTGTACCGCTGGCCATGAGCGAAGCACGACGGAATCAAGTGTGTGGCCGGAGCTGGGGGAGACATCTCAGGGGACGACGCCTCACAGAATCCCTGAAGGTGCAGGGGAGGTGCAGGAGAAGAATGGCCTGTGGACCCTCGGGGGGGGCCCGCGGACTGTTTCACTCTCCGAGTGCCCACTTCGCCACAGACCACTCTGCTGGAAGGATGGAACTGAAGGGGGATCTGGAAGGGGGGCAAAGACCCTCTGGGAGCCACAGCTACCATATTGCAGGATGCCTGCCAGGGTCTGCCTTTACTAGACTATGGACTGCCATAACTGAATGAGATGGAGGGGGGAGGGGGAAAAGCCTGTGTACTGTCTGCATCCCCTATGTGATCTTCTTAATATTATTTAAATTGTTTCTTATCACCCTTTATTATTTTAGTTCAGGGTGTCCTGATATGCCGGCTGCGCGTGCATGGCACAAGACCCCTTGGGGCACAGGGGTACTACCCCACTGGCGCTTAACAGGGGACCTCACGTAGGCCCTTTTTCCTAACCCATGTTTCCCCTTCCTAGAAGGCTGAAACAAAAGGTTTTTTTTGTTTTTTTTACATATCTATATCACCTGACGTAACTCACAAAACGCTTAGCCCAGCTCTATGCCATTACTGGCGAGCCGAATAAGCTCCACTATATATCACACCAGTGTGCAAGTAGTGCCGCACCTAACGGTTTAACTAACACTGGCAACCTGTATACACTCCCAGTGGCCGATCTCTGCTATACTTTCCATTTTATTTATTTTCTCATTTTTATGCAGACACAGGATTTAAGTCAATACGCCCAACTATGAAGTTTTATCAACCTGTGCTACTACCATAATTACCACCTTAGACACGCATACATGCATCTCCTATGTGATTACCATGTAGAATGTTATCTATACCTTACGTTTAACCAGTTCTGATATAACCAACTGTAAGCAACTATTACTATCCATTTCCTGTTGTCCATGCGCATATACTAAGGATAGGATGTTAGGAAATATGACATTACAAATGAACATCTATTGTAATCATAAATTTTGTTTTACTTTAGGCACCAACTTATGCCATGCTATACGTTATCTGATATTCAGTTCTAGAAGCAGCATTTATTCTTTGTATATATACAAAAAAAAAAAATTGCGGTAATCTTCGCAATGTATGGAGAAATGTTGACTTTTTTGATGCTATTCTTTGACTTGTCTTCTCTTACCTGTTGTACTCGCAAGGCACAACAAAAAAAGAATTATAAAAAAAATAATATGTAAAACAAGTCATAAAGGTTTCCACATGGATTCATAAGTGCCTACAAAAGTGGCACACTTCCAATTAGCTACGTCATATTTTATTTCTCAATAGCAGCTACAATGGGGACTCATATATGACAAGACATGAACTTGATAAAAATATGCACGTTTTTAGTGTGGTTAGAAAATCTGAGAGAGAAGCATGTTTATAAAGGCCATAAAGATTGATAGTGTTCTTAGTCCAGATCTATTAAAGGGACACTGTAAGCACCCAGACCACTTTAGCTCATTAAAGTGGTCTGTGTGCAATGTCCCATGTCCCTTAACCCTACAGTGGTAATTATTGCAGTTTCTAAGGGTTAACTCCTCTTCTAGTGGCTGAGGGACTTCCGAAATCAAAACGGACCTTTGGTCCGTTATCTGAGGCTGGGTGTCCACACGCTCTGCATGAATCTGACCTCCAGCGTCAGATTTTTCCCCATAGGAAAACAATGAATAAATCCTAATGCGAGCGGGGCATTTGCCGCACATGAGCATTAGGTCTCCTCCGCCGGCTTACGTCGGTGGGTTAGGAGTGTGGGTGGAGCCGGACCCAGCACTGAGGGATAGCGGCGCTAGATTCAGGTAAGTGACTGAAGGGGTTTTAACCCTTTCGCACCACGGAAGAGGGGCACTGTAGGATTATATAGTGCCAGGAAAACGGCTTTGTTTTCCTGGCACTATAGAATCCTTTTAAGCTGGTGGATCGATGTCTCCCCCCTTCCAAAGGAAAACTCACACCAGGTGCCTAAGCTACAGTTTACCTTCAGAGGTCAAACCAATTTTATTTCTTTTTAACTGTTAAACCTCAAATTTTGTCCTCCCAGCATAGGACAGCTCTACCTTCTCTGTCCTGTCCTTTATCAGCCTATCACCGGCCACCAAGGCAAACTTTCCTGGACTGTAATGCAGGCAAAAGAAGAGACAGGAGACAAAGCTATCCTATGCCTGGGGTACAAACTTTGGAGTTAAACTGTCTGAAAACTATTTAATCTTGAAGAGACAGCACATAATTTAATTGAGATTAGGTTGCTATGAAGGATGGAATTAGCCTGTAGTGTTTAATAGTAAACAGACCTGCACCATTAACCCACCGTTTCTACCCTATTGTCCCAACTTGCAAGGTTTCCTTTAGTTCTCCAAAATTCTAGCTGTACATTTTAACAGGTTGCAAAGCAAATGATTGAGTTGTAGTTCAGCTGTCAGTATTCTACAGCAGAAAGACAACAACTTAACTACCACGTCCAGAAATTCCTGTTGTGCCTTAAAGTCAGAGATGTGCAGAGATTTATAGGATACGTTTATCACTGCCATAGTAATGGTACGGAAGAACCATGATTGGCAGAGTCACTTTGGTCTAGTTTGGTGATAACGGATTGCAGAAGCTGCAAAGGAGAGGGGTTTAAACTTCAAATGTACCTTTATTTATTATTATAAATGTACATTTCTGCATATATTTTTCATGCTTGATCAATAGAATGCATTAATGATAGGAGTTAAAATCCAGCCTGAAGGGCCCCTTGAGTTAGTATTGGACAGCATCAGAAATAAGTGTTACATATTTAAACCAACACAGCTGCTTGTGAGTTTTTCATTTTATTTTTTTTACCTTGTTTATATCACCAAGTTCTGGCATTAGATATGTTGTGCTACGTAAAATATCTTCCTTTGGTATTGAAGGGCATCACATTAAACCTTTTAATATAGAGGGACGACAGCTATTTATTTAGGATTGAAAACAACTCTGCCATTGAAAGGTTAATCGCCTGACTGAAACAAGACACATGCAGAGACCTGTCCAGCAGAAACTGTGCAATACCTCGCATAACCTTTATACTTTGTATGAGGAATTGTGCGACACCGTCCTTACATACAGCGTGCTGAAACCCTCCAAAGGTTTCATTAAAGAAAAATAACAAAACATCATTAGTTATAAACAAGTGATATAATTACGGTGTTAGTACGTTAATTCAATGTATTCATCTGTGTTCAGACAAGGATGTTCTTAACTGGACTACGAGGCTAAGCAACCCTAACCAAAATGGGTCAAACCTGAGCTCATAATGCACTTTTCTCTACTTGTTTAAAATTAATCAAAATAAAAAAAGACAGAAAAAAACAAGACACCTTACAAAAAGAGTATAAAAAGAAATACTAGCAACTAACTAAGATTTAAATCTAGCACACAATAGATAAAAATCAGAAGCATGTATTTGGTCTTGCATGCGTTTTCAAGGCCTCAGTGGATGTTTGGAGGAGGAGGAGGGATAAGCTATCCCTGGGAATACCTCTCTCACTCTCTCTCCCACCCACAAGCACACCTGTCAGTCTTGGCACCAGTCTTTACCCATGTACAGAAGATTTAACACTGCGTGTAGATCTCCTGACCATATTTGGCCAACCTCATCTGCATTGACATCAGTGCTTATAATTTTGGAATCCAATAGACAGAAATAGCTCCATAGCAAAGGGCAGTATACAAACCTACAAGCTTTTGCAGAAGCAGGCTTTCGGTTATGTGATGTAATCAGGGCCCTTTCCAAGCACCCTCCACACTTTTGTACTCAAGACAATAATGTTAAAGACTGTGAATGACCCGTCGTACCCTTGAACAAATGCATTATGGAGTTAAACAAATTACTTAGGAAGAAATATAAAAATACTCATTTCAGAAAGGCCTACCGTTTGCCATGGCCTGCAGGGATCTGTGCTGTGTATATTCCATAAACTACTGTGCAGCAGAGTTTTACAAAATATATTTTTCTGTGGTAAGCAAGTTCATTTATACCTTACCATGTATATATATATGGAAGCAAACACCAAAAAGGTTATGGTGGGGGAAAAATGTGATTGAAAACCCCTTCCACCTGAAGTCTGTGGATAGTTAATACAATGTTAAACAAAAATCTGCTGAAAGATAGACATCGAAGACAGAAACAAGTACACGTCTATGTGTCAATATGACATTTTTTATTATTCAAATGATGCACAATGTGAAGATATAACAGAATAAAATACATCGCCAATAATCGTTAAATTATGTGCAGAAATGGAGATATAATCTTTATCTGATGATTTCTTTAATATATGCATTAGTAAAAAGAGTTTGTCAGACATGGCCGTTTGGGAATATGGTAATGGTAAGACATTTCACTTTTCTAAAAGGAGGCTGAGAAGCACTGAATACCCCCATACAGTTGAGATATGGGAACAGTCTACAACAGCTGTTTTATATACCAGGTGCACATGCATTCAGTAAGGCTGGACATGGGGATAATGAAATGCAGGCAGAATTATTTAACAAACAAATTTTTTAACCTGGAGTTCTTGCTGTGGGCGAATACTAGGTTGAAAATGTCCATTGCATATGCACACATGTATATCTTTCTATTTACCTACATCTTACATGCTTTCTTCTGTTAATGGAGCCACTTAAATAGCACCAATGCCAATTCAGGTCCCATACAGTATGTCTCACACACAAAGAATTTAGATTTAAAGGGTTAATATAGCCCTTTTCACTAGAACGATTGTTTACTTTAAATGCTCTGTCCACCTCTTTTTTCAATTTAAACATACAATAAATTCAGTGCAGTGTGAGGTTCTCCTCTGCAATTTCCATGCCCTGAATGACATAACACAGCATCACCCTGAAGTCCAATCAGATGCTGAGAACATCTGACACTAGGACGCAGTGCAAACCGACGACAGATGTATTTTATTCACAGAAATTAGATCAGGTAGCCAAGGCTGCCCAGGTCACGTATTCCAGATTGCTCAGTATGCCCGTGTTTGAAGCTGAAACACTGCACATACATACTCCTATAACAATGACCACTTCTAAAAGCAGAAGTGGTCATGGTGGTTGCAGTAACCCTTTAAATATACATGCCTGAATCATAAAAGAGAACTAACTTCCTTTCCACCCATGTCACCTATACATAAGCATAAACTTAAAAAAAAAAAAAAAGTTCATATTACAGTAATATCACATGTAACTCTATATGGTAACAAAAGCCATGTACAGCACCCATTAGTTATCCACACTGCATCCATTATTACATGCAGCAATAACCAGTCAGCACCATACATAATTCCCAATATCAAATACAGCACCCATAATATACAGGACAATCCTCAATTTATGCATTGCAGCACATAGAGGAAGTGATCTCAGATCACTTCCACCCAGCACTTGTGAATGGGAATCCACACTGTAGCAGAGCAGCCTGCAGCTGCTGTTGCAGCTCCTATACCTGAGCTATACCTGGCCGGCCTGGTCCCCACTGGAACCTAGGGAAGCCACCCACACTGCTAGATATACACAGAAATGCAGAATAACCCTCCCCTCATACAAATAATACGAACAGCCCACACACAAACATACACACAATCCCCACAAACGCAACACCACTAACAATCCACATGCATGCACACAACCCCGCATGCAGCCTTTCAAATGCAATACCCCAAACAGCCCCCACACACTACCAAACACACAATGTGACATATCCATCCACACACAATTCCACAAGCAGCCCTGATGCACAGCACACATTCATATGTATCATACACAATACCATAAACTACTAATGAACTTATACAATATAATAGCTTATATACGCACAAATACAATGATACAAGGCAATTACAGTAAAAATAAGACAAGCAGAATACGGCAGCATACACACCTCAATTTAAAAAAATAGGATCGGCACACTACGGGACATCCTAACCCTATATCGGTATAGTGCTGCTAAAGGCTTGCCTACCCTTGGTCTAAACCATTGACAACAAAAGTGAGTACACCCCTAAGTGGAAATGTCCAAATTGGGCCTAATTTGCCATTTCCCTCCTCAGTGTCATGTGATTCGTTAGTGTTACAAGGTCTCATGTGTGAATGGGGAGCAGGTGTGTTAAAGGACCACTCTAGGCACCCAGACCACTTCAGCTTAATGAAGTGGTTTGGGTGCCAGGTCCAGCTAGGATTAACCCATTTTTTCATAAACATAGCAGTTTCAGAGAAACTTATGTTTATGAATGGGTTAAGCCTTCCCCTATTTCCTCTAGTGGCTGTCTCATTGACAGCCGCTAGAGGCGCTTGCGTGCTTCTCACTGTGATTTTCACAGTGAGAGCACGCCAGCGTCCATAGGAAAGCATTATGAATGCTTTCCTATGTGACCGGCTGAATGCGCGCGCAGCTCTTGCCGCGCGTGCGCATTCAGCCGACGGGGAGGAGGAGAGCTCTCCGCCCAGCTCTGGAAAAAGGTAAGTTTTAACCCCTTTCCCCCTTCCAGAGCCGGGAGGGAGGTGGACCCTGAGGGTGGGGGCACCCGCAGGGCACTATAGTGCCAGGAAAATGAGTGTTTTCCTGGCACTATAGTGGTCCTTTAAATCTGGTGTTATCGCTCTCATACTTGTCAAGTTCAACATGGCACCTGATGGCAAATAACTTTCTGAGGATCTAGAAAAAAAAAGAAAAAAAAGAATTGTTGCTCTACATAAAGATGGCCTGGGCTATAAGAAGATTGCCAAGAACCTGAAACTGAGCTGCAGCACGGTGGGCAAGACCACAGAGCAGTTTCAAAGGGCAGGTTCCACTCAGAACAGGTCAACCAAAGAAGTTGAGTGCATGTGTTCAGAGTCATATCCAGAGGTTGTCCTTGGGAAATAGACATATGAGTGCTGCCAGCATTGCTGCAGAGGTTGAAGGGGTGGGGAGTCAGCCTGTCATTGCTCAGACCATATGCCGCACACTGCATCAAATTGGTCTGCACGGCTGTAGTCCCAGAAGGAAGCCTCTTCTAAAGATGATGCACAAGAAAGCCTGCAAACAGTTTGCTGAAGACAAGCAGACTAAGGACATGGATTACTGGAATCATGTCCTGTGGTCCGATGAGACTAAGATAAACTTATTTGGTTAAGATGGTGTCAAGCGTATGTGGCGGCAACCAGGTGAGGAGTACAAAGACAAGTGTGTCTTGCCCACAGTCAAGCATGGTGGTGGGAGTGTTATAGTCTGGGCCTGCATGAGTGCTGCTGACACTGGGGAGCTACAGTTCATTGAGGGAACCATGAATGCCAACACGTACTGTGATATACTGAAGCACAGCATGATTCCCTCCCTTCTGAGACTGGGCCGCCAGGCAGTATTCCAGACACGCTTGGCCAGTCCATGATAACGACCCCAAACACACCTCCAAGATGAACGATGCTTTGCTAAAAAAAGCTGAAGGTAAAGGTGATGGACTGGTCAAGCATGTCTCCAGACCTAAAGCATGTCCCACTCTCCAGACCTAAACCCTATTGAGCATTTGTGGTGCATCCTCAAATGGAAGGTGGGGGAGCACAAAGTCTCCAACATCCACCAACTCTGTGATGTCGTCATGGAGGAGTGGAAGAGGGCTCCAGTGGCAACCTGTGAAGCCCTGGTAAACTCCATGCCCATGAGGGTTAAGGCAGTGCTGGAAAATAATGGTGGTCACACAAAATATTAACACTTTGGGCCCAATGTGGACATTTCCACTTTGGGGTGTACTCACTTCTGCTTCCAATGGTTTAGACATTAATGGATGTGTGTTGAGTTAATTTGAGGGGACAGCAAATGTACACTGTTATATAGGCTGTACACTTACTACTTTAAATTGAAGCAAAGTGTAATTTCTTCAGTGTTGTCACATGAAAAGATATCAAATATTATTTAGCTTGTACAATTTATACCAGTATGTATTTATACACACACACACACACACACACACACACACGTATAATGTACCATGATCTATATGAAAAGCCTAAATACTTTTTGTGGTAAGAGTGACCATTTTACCTGATACTATTGAAGTTTCAACCAAAAATTAGGTTTAACGCAATTGGTCACTGCCAAGGGTAATAAATAAATATAGCCAGGAGATCAAAAGTGTGAAAATGCTAGCAACATTGTGTGAAATGTTATAGCAAATTGTTTAAAAGGACCACTAAAGTCACCCAGAACACTTCATCTCAATGAAGTTCTAATCCTGAAATATAAAAAACATAGCAGTTTTCCTCCACCATGATGTTGCAGCAGACAGAGTGTTAACAGCAACAAGGGAATCTCAGCCTGCAGAAAAGTAACATCTTTATTTTAATAACTTCTCTTAAGCAAACAGAGGCACTGCAAAATTTATTCAGCTAATTGTTAAAAGCAACATATATATAGATCATAAAATAATAGGACATCAATACATTGTAAGTATTTTAGGCAGCTTGGCCCTGTAGCCATATTCCACATGGGGAATTATGGAAAACATCAAGTTACAACTAGGGGGCAAACACTGACAGCCTTTGAGCATGTGTTGTAGTACAATTTTTTCAGCTGCCTGCTAGAGTCTCTGGAGTTATATGCTGTGAATTATTACCTTGCTGTCGGAACTTCTCATTATGAACAGAGAGATAGATACACACATATTACTTTGCAATGTTTACCCCTAAGCCAGAGGCTAAACTAATATGACCTTGCATGTGTTAACCTTGATTATACAACTGCGTGTTTAGCAAACTAACATATTATCAAATGGTTTGTTCATGTCAATAAAAATAGATACAAGAAACAGAGTGCTTAAAAGTAAACTAATTCCTACTATTACTTAAAATATGATATGTCATTAGCATAGCGTACTTTGTAAGGAATACATATAAAAGTTATTAGTTTTTTTCAGCAAATATTCTGGCTTAAATGGACACTATAGTCACCAGAACTACATCTTAATGCAGTGGTTTTGGTGTCAATAGCATGTTCCTGAAGGCTTTTTAATGTTAACACTGGCTTTTCAGCGAAACGGCAGTGCTTACATTACTTCCTAGTAACACTTCTTGTGGCAGTCACTCAGACGGCCAGTAGAGGTGCTTCTGCAAGTTTTCTTGTAATTGTCCTATTTATAGTTAAATCCCACCCTTTATAATATTGTGAAGCGCTATGGAATCTGTTGGCACTATGTAAATGGCAATAATAATAATAATAATAATAATAATAATAATAATAATGTGTGTTTAGCTTCTCCACGCTGAGAGGTTATTGCACATTTGCTGCAAATCAATGCATCTGTATGGGGAGCATTCAGCGTCTCCATGTAGAGAGTGAAAACACTTAACGCTAATGCGGCACACTTTGCAGCACTGCACTAGGAAGCACCTCTAGTGGCCATCTGAATGCTAGCACCTAGAGATGTTACTAGGCAGCAATGCAAAAACTCCCTTTTCTATAAAAAGGCAGTATTAGTTACATTGAAAAGCCTCTAGGAACAGGCTGTAGACACCAGAACCACTGCATTAATCTGTAATGGTTCAGGTGACTATAGGGTCCCTTTTAAGATGGCCACCCCTATAAGGCAAGGGTAAACCGAAGAGAGTTATTGAGGTATATGTATTAAAAGGGTTATGATTTTCCTTTACACATTCTGAAAAGACATTGAACACAGCATGTTCTAGTGGAAAATGTGAAAATTAGTAAAATCACAAGCCTATGCTGGATCGGTGTACAGTTGTGCAAAAAAGAAATTCTGCACTCGGAAGAACAAAATGCAGGGGAGTGGGGTGATTAAAAGGTTGTGTATATCTGAGATTTAGATGCTGCCAATTTGAAGCTATTAAAAACTAGGACAGAGTGTTACATACAACAAGTAATGGGCAAGATGTACCCTCCCAATTTTACAATTCTGCCGCTTTTGGTACTTTGATTTTTGAAACACTACAGTGTAGCCAAAATAAAGGTAGGAACAACTTCCTCAGTTGGGGAGTTTGGGAGGGTATTGGGGAATCATGATGTTAGAATAATAATTATTATTATAAAAAATATATATAAAAAACACTTTAGAGACCAAACACTTTGCAGCAAATTCAAAACTTGACAAACAAACTCATAGTCTATTAAACATCTTTATTTACCCTAAACACTTGCCACTGCTGTGCTTCATGCAGTAAATATGTACTAGAAACCAAAAGAGGGAGCTCTAATTCAATTATATAGCAATTTATAGATACATCAAATTAATCAGAGACTTTAGACTAGAGGATGCTGAAACATTCTATTGAGAATTCAAAGTTTATCTACACATCCAAAACAAGTTCAATATAAAAAAAGCAGAGTTTAGTAGAACGGTATTTTTTTCTCCATATCTTCACCAGCCAAACGAATCTAGCCTCCTGACACCACTGCACAGCAATTACATAAGTAGACTAAAAAAAAAATAATAATAAAAGAAACACTAAGAGTCAGGAACACAAATGTATTCCTGACCCTATAGTGTTAAAAACACTACTTAGGCCCCTGACTTCCCCTTACACCACTTAAAGAGACTTTAAACACATCTTTAATCTAGCACTACGCGGGTCTGCCAGCGCTGGTTCAACCCCTGACCCGCCTCCTTGACTGAGATCATTAGAATTAGTGATCTCAGCCAATCCTATCCTATGGGAAGAATTGATTTGGCTGTGATAGTCAAATCTGATAATCTTAGACAAGGAGGCGAGGCGGGGATATAGGGAATGTTTACATTAAAAAGCCTGCAAGAACAGGCTATAGAAACAAGAACCACTATATTAAGCTGTAGTTGTAATTTGTTTCTAAATTACGGTATTAAAAGACGATAATGCCATAGTTGCTACTAGTAATAATAGCACGATAGACATACGAGTGAGGGAAAAAAAAAAATATTGGAAATGTTACACACACTAAAAGAACTCTAGCTTAATACAGTAGTTCTGATGTATAGATCATGTCATGTAGCCTCACTGCTCAACTCTATTATTTAGGAGTTAAATTAATTTTGTTTATGTAGCCCTAGCCACACCTCACCTGGATGTCACTTACTCACAGCCTCGATGAAAATAATGGTTTCATTTTTAAATCAGATTCAAGTTATAATATCTTGCTCTGTTAATTGAAATTTAATTAAACAGATGGTTTCACTAAAGTCTAGCAGCATTTTAACAGAGCAGGAGATAATTTCTGAAATAAACAAACTGCAATGAGGAAAGCTCAACAAATGTCAACATTTTTTTTTAGATTCTGAGAAGTTGTGGCTATAGATGCACAAACAAAGTGTATTAACTTATCTAAATGGAAGGGAATGGAGCAGTGAGAAGCAGGGTTACGATCTATACACCCCTCCCCGCCCTCCCCCCCCCAAATAAAAATAAATACACATTTCATTAAAGGGAAACTATACTCCCAGGAAAACAAAGTTGTTTTCCAGGCACTATAACACCTCATAGTGCAGAAGTCACTTATCTGAGTGCAGCACCTAAGTTCCTCGGCGATGGTTCTGCTGCCGCTCTTCTTGACGTCGGCAGGGGAGACCTAAAGTGCACACTTGCATTAGTACTTTCCCCAAAGGAAAGCATTATACAATGCTTTCCTATGGGGTCTTGGGGGAAGCTGGATGTTTTCATGCATAGGTGAGGACCTCCTGTCTAAGTTAGGCGACCAGAAGTCACTAGAGGTGGAGTTAACCCACAAAGATAATTATTGCAGTTTATTAAAAACAGCAATAATTACTTTTGCAACTGCAATAATTACCTTTGCAGGGTTAAGGGACCTGGGATTATGCACCCAGACCAGCTCAAGTTGTTTTGGTGCTTATAGTGTCCCATTAAGAAAGAAGAAAAAAAATTATCCTCAATCATCAACAGAAATCTACAATAACTATTATACAATATTTTACAGTACCATGTCACAAAATCATTTAATTCAAAAAAGATGGAAAACCCCTATTTCATTCTAGGGCTCATACAGCGCTGAACATTGTAGAACAGTGCATTTACTTACATATCAGAGCAATTGTGTTTGCGTACCTAATAAACGACGCTCATGCTATATTCAGAGTGAAACTCCTATCTCTCCTTCACAAATATTTAATGTGTCTTTCAAACAATGCAGCTGATTCCTTTTTGTTCACAGACCTTCAGAAAACTACCAAATCCTTGGCCAACCTTCAAGTAATCAGCACCCTGCATGCCTTTCCAAACTTTTATTTGAAAAGGCACGCCTGCCAAAATAAAGAATGATACTAGACTGACTTTGAAAGACACTATGGACCAAGAAGATTGGCCAGTTTACAGGTTATACTATTCTTGTAGCCAAAAATATGAAGAAAAAAAAAAAAAAATACATCACATATCATATCAAGTCAAGTGGTTAAATCTCTGGCTCTTAGAAATGAAGACTAATATTAAAAGCATACTAATCTAAAATGCATACTCTTATTTTTAATAATTTAGATTACTGGTAGCCCCTGTTTTAATAAAAAAATTTTTTTAAAAGAGTGAAACTATGAAATCAATATTAAAAAAAAAAAAAATTCTGTAGTTTTTATTTTACAAATAAGCCAATACAAAAGATATGTGGCGGGAAAATCAAAATATTTGGTTTAATAAAATATAAATAAACAAAATTAGAACACTAAGAATAACAAGTATATATTACTGCTGTAACACCTCCCTGGCTGTCTGATTATTAGATATTCATCCATTAGCACCACTGTATGGAGACGCTAACAATTCTCAGTGACTGTTTGGGTCAATGTCAGTTTTCAGTCCCACCACTAGGACTTTCATCAGGATGAACATTCGTCCTGATTAAATTCCCCGTGGTGGGACTGAAACGTCGGCTCTCTTTTTAAGATGAATCAATTTTTGGATTTTGGGGTGTGTATGACATATCTACCTATCTATCGAGAGTATCTCACAAAAGTGAGTACACTCCTCGCATTTTTGTAAACATTTTATTATATCTTCATGTGACAACACTGAAGAAATGACACTCTGTTACAATGTAAAGTAATAAGTGTGCAGCCGGTTTAACAGTGTACATTTACTGTCCCCTCAAAATAACTCCGTTAATAAAACCGTTGGCAACAAAAGTGAGTACACCCCTAAGTGGAAATGTCCAAATTGGGCCCAATTAGCCATTTTCCCTCCCTGGTGTCATGTGACTCGTTAGTGTTACAAGGTCTCGTGTGAATGGGGAGCAGGTGTGTTAAATTTGGTGTTATCGCTCTCACACTGGTCACTGGAAGTTCAACATGGCACCTCACGGCAAAGAACTCTCTGAGGATCTGAAGAAAAAAAAAAATAGAAAAAAAAAAATGTTGCTCTACATAAAGATGACCTGGACTATAAGAAGATTGCCAAGACCCTGAAACTGCAGCATGGTGGGTATGACCATACAGCAGTTTCACAGGACAGGTTCCACTCAGAACAGGCCTCGCCATGGTCAACCAAGAAGTTGAGTGCATGTGTTCAGCGTCCAGAGGTTGTCTTTGGGAAATAGACGTATGAGTGCTTCAAGCATTCCTGCAGAGGTTGAAGGGGTAAGGGGTCAGTCTGTCCGTGCCCAGATCATACGCCCTACACTGCATCAAATAGTTTGCATGGCTGTCGTCCCAGAAGGTAACCTCTTCTTAAGATGATGCACAAGAAAATAAACATTTTGCTGAAGACTAAGAACATGGATTACTGGAATCATGTGCTGTGGTCCGATGAGACCAAGATAAACTTATTTAGTTAAGATGGTGTCAAGCGTATGTGGCGGCAACCAGGTGAGGAGTACAAAGACAAGTGTGTCGTGCCTACAGTCAAGCATGGTGGTGGAGTGTCATGGTCTGGGCCTGCATGAGTGCTGCCGGCACTGAGGAGCTACAGTTCATTGAGGGAACCATGAATGCCAACATGTACTGTGACATACTGAAGCAGAGCATGATCCCCTCCCTTCGGAGACTGGGCCACAAGGCAGTATTCCAACATAATTATGACCCCAAACACACCTCCAAGACGACCACTGCCTTGCTAAAGAATATGAAGGTAAAGGTGATGGACTGGCTGTGTTTAGCTTGCGCTGGCTCCGTCCATGATTTGCCTTCTTGACTGTCTCAGCCAATCCAATAGGAAAGAATTGTGATTGGCTCAGATCATCACTTCTGATTATGTAAGCCAAGGAGGCAAATCAGGGGCAGAGCCAGCAACAGCAGACTGGAATAAAGGTAAGATGTTACTTTATTTAAAGAAGCACTATAGGGTCAGGAACACAAACATGTATTCCTGGCCCTATAGGGTTAAAACCACCATCTAGCCACCCTGGTTCCCTCATGTCTCCCTAAAATAGTACAATCTTACTTGTATTCAAGTCTGCAGCTGCATGCAATGTCCCTGTTTCCTTTAGACCTTCCCCACTGCCTGCTGACATCAACAGAAGTGGTAGCCTGATCCAATCACAATGCTTCCCCATAGGATTGGCTGAGAGTGACAAACATGCAGATCGGGGCAGAGCCAGCACAATTCAAGCACAGCCCTGGCCAATCAGCATTTCCACATAGAGATGAATTGAATCAGTGAATCTCTATGAGGAAATTTCAGTGTCTGCATGCAGAGGGAGGAGATACTGAATGTTTGGATGCATTTTAGGCAGCCATGACCCAGGAAGGATCTCCAAAAGCTATATGAGGAGTAGCCAGTGAAGTTATCACTAGGCTGTAATGTAAACACAGCATTTTCTCTGAAAAGACAGTGTTTGCAGCAAAAAGCCTGAAGGTAATGATTCTTCTCACCAGAACAAATTCAATAAGCTGTAGTTGTTCTGATGAATATAGTGTCCCTTTAAGAGGCAAGATGGTGGCTTTAACAATATAGGGTCAGGAATACATATTTCTGTTCCTTACTTTATAGTGTTCCCTTAAAATTTTCTGGATTTATATCACCAAAGGCATACAACAGACGGAGTTTTCATTGAGCATTACTCAATGTTCTAACTTTACCTTCATTTTTTTCCCTTTTGATCATTTAAAGGAACACTATAGGCTCAGGAACACAAACATGTATTCCTGACCCTATAGTGCTAAACTGACTATTAAGGTGTCTCCCCCAACCCCCCTTAAAAGCATGAAAAACTCACCTTATTTCCAGCGCCGTATTGGTCCCGCCCCCGCAGTGACATCAGAATTGCTGATTTTTAGCCAATCCAATGCTTTCCATTGGGAAAAGCATCGAATTGGCTAAAATCGGCAAGGAAGTGGGGTAAATGCAGACTGTGCAGCACTGAACCAGAAAGCACCTCCAGTGGCCATCTGAGGATGAGCCACTTGGAGGTATCCCTAGGGGTAATGTAAACACTGCTTTTTCTCTGAAAAGGCAGTGTTTGCATGAAAATGCCTGCATATAATGATTATACTCACAGGAACAACTACATTAAGCTGTAGTTGTTCTGGTGACTATAGTGTTCCTTAATAACAATCTCTTAAAGCCTTATAAAAGAGCAAATATATATATGTATCTCCCAATGCAATAAACATGCACTGTTAAACTAGAAAAACAATAAAAATAAAGTGTGTATATATAGATAGCCCGGTTGTGTTTGTATTTAAAGAAATAAATACACAAAAAATAAAAATAAAATTTGGTTTGTGGTTTATAGCTCTCTCCATTTTTTCCCTTGGCAAATGTGTGATACAATACACTTTAAAGCTACAATTTATTTCAGTAATGATAGAAACGGAAAAATCAAATGACAAGCCTATCTATAGTGCAAAGCAATCCTTTTCATTTATATTTAACAAAGATGGGAGACAATGAGAACGCTGTGCGTTTAATAGCTGTAACTGTAATATTCTACCTATTGTACTCAAATCAAAGAATTAAGCCTGCAAAAGTAATTTCAAAATTTGCATTGACGCATTAGGCGCTCCTCATTCACCAGCCAACTTGCCTACATAATGTATTACAAAAGATCATTTCCAGAGGAAATTGCTGTAACATGTACCAAGCTCTATAGATATAAATATGAGCCCACACATAAACCTGCAAAGATTTATAAATCTTAGTTCACTGGCTATTCTTTAAAAATCTAATCTCACCTGAAAGGGACACTCAAAACACATGAATCATTACAGTGTATTGTAGTAGTTGTGGTGCCATGGTGAAGGCTTTACCATGTGTGAATATGGAGATAGTGGAGATAGGAGATGAGAGAGAGAGAGATCAGCCAGAACATTAAAACCAGTGACAGGTTAAGTAAATTACATTGATTATATAGTTACAATAGCACATGTCAAGGGGTGAGATATATTATGCAGCAAGTGAACAGCCAGTTTTTCAAAATGGGTAATAGAAAAGATCTGAGTGATTTTAACAAGGGCCAAGTAGTGATAGCTAGACGACTGGGTCAGAGCATCTAAAAAATGGTAAGTTTTGTGCGGTGTTTCTCAGGGCCGGAGCCTCCTATAGGCCAAATAGACTACTGCCTAGGGCGCTGCTCAAAGAGGGCGCCTGCCCTGGATTTTTTTATTGCTCTGCACTCTGCTCGCTTGGCCGCCCGATTGGAGAAGTTCTACAAATTGTGCTGCTGGCCATGTTACCAGGCGCAAGGGAGCACTTAATCGTCTGCTGACTAGCGCCCAGTGTAACACTGGTCCAGTGGCATCCACTTCAGCCTACTCAGCCAGGTCAACCACAAAGACTGCCATGGCCGCAACAGTGCAAGGGCGCTTTAATTTCTCGCTCCCGCCCCTAGCCCTGTACGTAGGGACATGTTGGCGGGAGCACAGCAGGGCTGAGACAAAATGAAGGCGGCCAGACGCAGGAAAGCTGCCAGGAACACAAGGTAAGAGGGTCAATGGGACATCACAATGTGTGTTTGTGAATAATTTGTATTTGTGCAGGTCAGTGTGCGTCTGTAGTGTGGGTCAGTGTCTGTCTGCAGTATGGGTCAGTGTGTGTGTGCACGCGCGCGCGCCAGTCTGCCTTTATCAGTGTGTGTGTCAGTCTTCATTAGTCAGTGTGTGTGCACATCAGTCTGCATGGGTTAGTTTGTGCATCAGTTGGGGTGTCAGTGCGCGTGCGTCAGTCTGCATAGGTCAGTCTGCTTGAGTAAGTGTATGTCCGTCTGCATGAGTGGGTAGTGCAAATGGGGCGGCAACATTTTAATTTTTTTGCCTAGGGGAGCAAAAATCCTTGCACCGTCCCTGGTGTTCCCTGTATGCTGTGTTTAGCATCTACCAAAAATGGTTCAAGAAAGGACAAACGGTGAACCGAAGTCAGGGTCACTGGCACCCAGGGTTCATTGATGCCCGTGGGGAGCGAAATTTAGCCCGTCTGGTCCAATTATACAGAAAAGCTACTATAGTTTTTATTGTTGAAAAATGTAATGCTGGCCATGGTAGAAAGGTGTTTGAATAAACAGTGTATTGCAGTTTGTTGCGTGTGGAGCTGCAAAGTAGCTTACCCATGTCCATTGCAGAAAGCACTTTTAGTAGAACCACAGAGCAAAGGAAGAAGGTTGCATGGTATGATGCATTAGGTTTTCTTTAACATCAGGTGGATGGCAAGGTATATGTGCTTCCTTTGCTTTCTCCAGCCTGCCTTCTTCCCATAGTACATCCCGCTGCCATCTCTTACCCAAGTAGTGTTATGCTCCAGGCAATGTTCTGCTGGGAAATCTAGGGTCCTAGCATTCATCTGGATGTCACTGACATATGTATATATTATTGACAAAAGCAAACAACCATATTAAAAATTCATTTTAACAAGTTGGAATGCTAGTATAGGGCCTAACATATTTACTTGAAATCAAGGAGACAGCTAAAGATAGGAGCCAGATTTTTCAACATCAAAAATACAATTCTTAAAGGGACACAATCATCACAAGAACCACTATAGCTTAAAGGACCACTATAGCTGCAGGGTTAAAACTAGAGGGACCTGGCACCCAGACCCCTTCATTGAGCTGAAGTGGTCCTTTAATGCAGTTGTTCTGAAGTCTTTATACTGTCCCTGCACGCTTTTCAAAGTAAATAGACTTTTCAGACTAAAGGCAGGGTTTACATTGCTGTCTGGTAACACCTCTAGTGACAGTCACTCAGGAAGCCTCTAGAAGTGCTTCCTGGGTAACCTACATTAATGCTCCCCATAGGGATTTCTATGAGAAGTTGACTGCACAGCATAGCGTTTTGCCACGCATGTGCGATTGTCTAACAATGGTTTTCTATGGGGATGCATTGGATTGTTTGAGAGAGTCAAGAATAATGATCTCAGCCATAGAGGTGTGGCCAACCGCGGCGTCACCAGCACGGTGTGGGAAAAGGGTGAGTGACACACAGACACACACACACACACACACTTTTTATTTTAAATTCACCCAGTCTCCCTACATTTGGGAGAGCTGGAGTGGATCAGCTTTTCCTAGGGTAAGGTGGGGCTGCTGTCATCTCCCTGGTCTGCTCCCTTTTGCGCGTCATATTCCGGGCCCCGGCATCACTGGAGGGTGCACAATGGAGATTGAATTAGAGACTCAATGAACCGACAATCCGGCTGCCTACCCGCCTCAGCCCTGCGTGAGCCAAATGCCTGCCTCTAATCTCAGGCAGCCAGTTCAGTGGCTGAAGAGGCTCACAAATCCCAGGTGCCAGGACAAATTTTCTCATCACCATGGCGAACTGGGATTTGTCGAGCCCTGTGCTAGTATAGAGTATGCAAAATGTTTTGGCATTACATCTGCCTATGTTGAACCACTAATGTGTTATATGATTGTATTTCTATTTTTTAAATTTTCATATAAAAGCACTAAAATTAAAATATTCACCTCTTCTGTCTTTGTGATGTAATTCAATTCATAGTCATTACAGATAGTCCTTTGAAAAAAGTATTATCATATAAATAAAAAGAAAAATATTGTAGCTATTTTTTTTTTTTCAGAACCCGGGCCTTAGTAGGCAAATCATAAGAAACCTTTAATGTAATCAGGGATTTGGGAATGGACTTGTGGAGTGGCAAAACAGATACCATTATGCCCAATAGTCCACCTTAACTCATCTCTGGTCCAGAATCTCATGTGACAGGTCAGAGATCATGTAGTCACAACTGAAACAACCAGGCAATGTAAGTGTATTACACGTGCGAAACAATATTTTGGTCAAAGGATCAACAGAACAGATTATGTCATGAGGACAATCAAATATGGAAAATTATATTTTGTGTCACAGATCTCTTTAGTAATAAAACTCACTTGAGTGTGTTTTAGTGCTCTAACGCAATAATACAGTGGTGCGTGTGTGTGCTTTAAGTGAAGAAAATAGGTTTCATTAGGCAAGACCTCTTACTAATTTATTCACCTCAACTAAACTTCATCATTTTAGTTTCAGACACTTTCTGCTGTGGTGAAAATTCAGGAGAGAAAGGACAAATACTGGGGATTTGGTTACAACACATTAACTTTGAAGTTAAAGGACCACTTTAGTCACCCAGACCACTTCAGCTCAATGAAGTGGTCTGGATGCCAGGTCCCCCAGGTTTTAACCCTTCAGATGTAAACATAGCAGTTTCTAAGAAACTGCTATGTTTACATTGCAGGGTTAATCCAGCCTCTAGTGGCTGTCTTCCTGACAGCTGCTAGAGGCGCTTCCCTGACGCACAATGTTAAAATCGAATTGAGCACGCAGAACGTCCATAGGACTCTGGCCGCACATACGCATTCTGCTCCACTTGGGTCCTGACGTCGGAGGAGAGGTCATCAGTGCCGAGGGAGCCCAGCGCTGGATAAAGGTAAGTGGATAAAGGTTTTAACCCCTTCAGCCCAGCGGGAGGAGGGCCGTGAGGGTGTGGGGGGGACCTAAGGATTATATAGTGCCAGGAAAACGAGTTTGTTTTCCTGACACTATAGTGGTGCTTTAAGCATCTATTTTTATATATTTTTGGTGCATTATTTTGAATGGGCACTCTAAGCAACTGTTCCAAATCAACATGTATATGGGCAAGGGGAATACATAACACCTAATGTGGGGGGTGCGTCTAGCTGCCCCTATAACAAGAAGAAAGGCATAGGGATGACCTTTGCATCTCAACATACCCAGAAACATAGTTGTTCAAAAAATGTCCCTCTAATCCAAAATATGTATTTGGTAAACAGCAGGAATCACTAGCGCAGGGATCGCAAATTCAACTTACCCAAGGGACAACTAGACAAGTCATGGAGTAGATCCATACGCCAAGACTCATGCACAAGGCTACACACAGGATATATACACACTCCCTCACAGATCAGTGGCATGGCAGAGCTTTCAATGGAAGTTCCTTAAAGGACCACTATAGTGCCAGGAAAACACTCGTTTTCCTGGCACTATAGTGCCCTGAGGGTCCCCCCACCCTCAGGGACCCCCTCCCGCCACGCTCTGGAAAGGGGAAAGGGGTTAAAACTTACCTTTTTCCACCGCTGGGCGGAGAGCTCTCTGCCTCCTCTCCTCCTCCGTTACGCCCCGCCGGCTGAATGCGCACGCGCGGCAAGAGCTGCGCGCGCATTCAGCTGGTCGCATAAGAAAGCATTTACAATGCTTTCCTATGGACGCTGGCGTGCTCTCACTGTGAAAATCACAGTGAGAATCACGCAAGCGCCTCTAGCGGCTGTCAATGAGACAGCCACTAGAGGGAATAGGGGGAAGGCTTAACCCATTGATAAACATAGCAGTTTCTCTGAAACTGCTATGTTTATTAAAAAATGGGTTAACCCTAGCTGGACCTGGCACCCAGACCACTTCATTAAGCTGAAGTGGTCTGGGTGCCTAGAGTGGTCCTTTAACAGCGCTGTGTGTTCATCACAGAAGATCTTGTTTCCTTCTGCAAAACAACAGAACCCTAGAAATGAAGCTGACCAAAATGATTGAGTACCTGATAAGGGGCAGATTATAATGGACCTCTCTCAATTACAACTGTCAGGACTGTTAGTCATATGCCACATGAATGTATTTACAGGGTGAAGAATGGCCCACTGGACCTGTAATTTCAAATCCCTGCGACAGAATTGTAGGACCTGTAGGATCCCTAAGACAAGCAAAGGCACATGTAAAAAGTGTTCACATGCAAATGAGTCTCAGTCACGCAGCAGTTTAATTATTATGAACGTACACTGATGAATCTATCAACTCTCTTGGCAGACAGGAACATATCACCATAACATATCTACAGAAGAGTATCCTTTCTTTATGAATGCTTTCCTATGAGACAGGCTGAATGCGCGCGCAGCTCCTGCCGCGCATGCGCATTCAGCCAAAGAGGAGGATCGGAGGCGGAGAGGAGGAGGAGAGCCCCCCGCCCGGCGCTGGAAAAAAGAAAAGTTTAACCCGTTTCCTTGCCATCCAGCCCGGCAGGAGGGGGACCCTGAGGGTGGGGGCACCCTCAGGGCACTATAGTGCCAGGAAAACAAGTATGTTTTCCTGGCACTATAGTGGTCCTTTAATTACTCTCTCAGATCTCAAGTTGTTTCTCCTGCAAGTAGTTTGTTATTACAGTTCTTCACAGAAGTTAGTCACAGAACGGTGCATTCGATTTCACATTTCTTCAATAGGCCCTAGATGTGAGCACTATAAAAGTCAGGAAACCAACATTCCCCTGGTGTCCTCTAAAGTGGTGAATATGATACAAGTGGGTGCAGAATGAGTGAATGTTGTACGTCAGATTTAGTTAGTAATCTGGCTACAACAATTTGTAATATCTGCATACAGGTCAAATACTGCATGCTATGGCCATGTAAACTGGCCTGATCTTACATTTTCATATCTGCACTTCCACAGCAAGAATCAAATATTATTAGATAAACTTTTAAAATAATTTCATATTTTTTGGTAAACCCCCATCCCTGTTTATGAAAGGGTTAACAATCTCTTCCTTTCACTTACCTGATTCCAGTGTCAAGGTCCCTCAGCACTGGATCCATCTTCTCATCCCGAGACTACCCTCATTAGACGAATGATCTTTAGAGATCTCAGTCACTCTTTGTCTAGCTGGATGATTGTATTAAGCACTTTGGCATTCTGCTGATACAGTAAGCTCCCCAGCTCGTGTGCGTTCCACTGGTTGCTAGGATACAACCTGGAATGCAAACACCTCCCCCTTTTTTGGCCTGACACACGAGGACACCATAATACAACACTTGAGAAGTCTGTCTAGCTGCTACAGGGGCAATCATATGGCAGGGTGAGTACACAATTTGTAATTAGTATGTGGTTGGGGCTATATAGTCTCAGGTTTGCACATTGTTTCTTTATAGTCTGTCCTGATGAAAGCTCCATGTGGGAGCTGAAACGTTGACATTTTATGGATTAAATAAAAGTAAAATCTTACTTCAACTCTACAAAGTCCCTGGAGTGCGTGTTTTTTTTTCTTTTTTCTCTATATAGATATATATCTTTACCTTCCCTGGTGGCTGTGTGATTGACAGCCAGGGGTGTTTCATTAATAACAACAGATGAAATTAGTATCTTTGTAATACCTTTTTTGTTGGACTATCAGAATTTTAGTGCAAGTAATATACAGGTCTGAAAAATAGAAAAAGAAAAAAATAAGATCAAACTAAAACAGACAAATAATGCATGTGCACTGCTCACATAAAAAATCAGAGATGGTCTCCAGAAAGCTAGTTATTTCAAAATTCTGTTAGTCCTATAATGAAAGGTATTACAAAATGTCGATTTCATTCATTATTTTATATCTGCATCACTGGACCAATATAGCTACAATCCATCACTATTAAAATATATTCATATACTTTTACTTTCTCTATGCATTTCTCATTTTCAGCTTCTCTGCCAGAGGCCTGGGTGTCAGAGTCAGAGCCATATGTTAGCTGTTCCTAGAACTGCACTTTTCAGGACAGCGATCTCAGATGTCCTATCTGGAATCTGCAGAAGCCACTGCCCCAACTTGAAAGTCACAGCCTCGAGTGCTCCTATTGCAACTGGAACTACTACAGACATTTCCACATCCTTTCTAGCTCCTCTTTTAGTCTTTGGTATTTGTCCACCTTCTCATTTTCCTACTTCCTGGTGTTATAGTCACTATGTATTACCACATTCACCACCGTTGCAGTCTTGTCTACCATCATAATGTCAGGTTAGCTGGCCACTATTTGCTTGTCTGTCTGTCCCACAGGATCTTAACCCGGTCATTGTCATCTACCCTTTTGTGGTGTCTCCCATCTGGACTGAGGCAGGTCTAGCACATATTCCTGTGCAGATATTATGTTACACAATCACAGCAACCTGAATGTGCCTCAGCAACCTGAATGTGCATAAATGAAAACAATATGGTTAAAATTATCTATTTTTAACATGTATAATAATGATAATGCGTAGAAAGTTTCATTAGATGAACAGTTCAGCGAGACTCAGCTTAAGCTACAGACTCACCCTTCCCTTACCAGAAAGAAATGCTCCAAGGATTCTAGTGTACGAGATTTATTCTTGTCCCCTACACCACTGGTTAGGAGAAGTTTATTGCAGAGCCAAACAACTCTGTTGGCTGTCTTCCTGAGAGCCGCTAGAGGAAGCTTCAACAGCAATGACCACTGTGCAAAGTGACGTTTGATGTCAAACGTCATTAAATGCCGATAGGGAAGTGGAATTCAATGCTTCTCTATGAAAATCATTTGGACGAGCACTTGCGCACATTTCTCATCCCTAACGCTTCTTTATTAGATTGGACGATAACCCAGGGAAGCAATATCTATGGGCGTCACCAGAGGCAGAGTGGCCGGCTGCACCAAGCGAGCCTCTTCGCTGTTTAAAAATTTTTTTTACATTTAAAAAAAAAAAAAAAAAAATTATTTTCTTTTCTCTTTTTTAAATTAATTTAGTGGGCAACTAAATATAAATAGGGATGAGAGTGATATAGCATTAAGAATACAAACACGTATTCCCAATGCTATAGCATTCCTTTAAAAATCATACATACCCTTAGATTATTTCCCAAAAAGTAACTCAAGTCACCATCACAATTTGTAGTGTGCAGAGCACTATGAGTTTTGGTACTCGGCTATGTCATTTGGAGATATTGGGCTGCACGTGGCTGCTCCTGACCTTCATGATCTGTAATTATGAGAGTTGGCATAGCAGTAATTGCTGGACATTAGCTAGCACAACTTCTAGAAAAACGTGAAATTTGCCATAAAGCTATACCAAGACATGTTGGTCATGATAATTGCACTTTCATTTTTCAAATCAGTCCCCCTCCTCCCCCACCAACAGATGTCACTCGTTATAGCCTAAACTGCTGCGTCGGGCTTTGTATAAATGTTAATCATCACCTGTGTACACACTTGTAGTTAGCATTGTACACACTTTTTCTGTGCCGGTGACTGAAATAATATGTTTTAACATCTTGGCATGGTGTAAATCATTTTTGGTAGAGCAACTATTGTATAAGAACATTATGTTCACACATTTATTGTTTTCCTTTCATTTTAATTAGAACAAAGCACAGTGTTCCCCACATAACCCTTTGAATGGGGCTAGCATAGAACAGTGACCAGGCTAGAAAAATGGTTCTGAAAGACCAAGTTTCACACCCTTTTTTTTTTTGTAATCTGAATAATATTTATGTTGTGTTAAGCAAAGGACTGCCTTAAAATTGTAGTGACATCTAATAAGACCTCCAACTGCAGGAAAGATTAGTTTTTCTGTGGAATGATGGGAGAATCAGACACATAGGGACATTACATCACCACAATTATATAAGAAAATCAGTCCAATTAATTCAAGCTAATTTCAATTGAACCAGCAGGCATTGCCGTTTGAGTCCTCCACACACCATGTACAAAATTGTATCCTGTCTAATGCTTGGTAAGGAAGCGCTTGAATTAAGTTGTTCTGCTGTCAGGAGGTCTTGGCACCAGCTTACATTTAGAAAGTAAACCTTTCGCAAAAGGTTTAACCCAAAAGTTCAGCATCGAGTGCCCCATCGATCTGCCTCCTGTCTTTCCACAGTGAAGAATCTGAAAAGTGAAAGCCTCAGCCAGAGGTGTCACTGATTGGCTGAGTGAAAATGTCTAAAATTTTCCTTTTTCAAGATTCTCAGCAGCGGGAAGACAGGGGACGGAGCGATCAGGCTCTAGACACTTAACTTGGGGTTCAACCATTCGTGAGTGGTTTAACCACTAAAAGGTAAGCTGGCAACAGGGACCTTTGCCGGGCAAAGTATAAAACTGCCGAATAAGACTTTGAGCACCTATCTTGAAAAAGCCCTTGTTAGAAGGGCGAAACGCGTTGATAGGGTGCTATCATTATTCATCTGTAAGATTCATCTGCAGCAGACCTCACTAACGCCTGGTAGAAGCCGGACTTTCAGCCAGCATTTCCCCATTGATAACATCACGGACAGCCCTCCCGAGTGCACCGAGAGAGGAGCTGTCTCTAGTAGAAACACGAGGGGTCGTGAAGGATTTTTTTCTGCTTGATCTACAATGATGAGTACTATATTTTATACAGTGTAAGAGTTTTAATAGTTGGGGGGTTTTCTTTTTTGTTTTTGTATCCTGGGTAATAAATTTTGATACAGAATTACGCTATGTATCTTTTTCGGTCTCTCTTTTCCTAAGGTATTTCTACATGTTTTTGAGTTCCTGCACACTACAACGTTATCTGGATTTTCTTATTGAAGGACTTTGTAGCTGAATTATATACTTTGGACACTTTGTTGCTAGACTTTCTCATTTTTCTGCATATATATGCACCTTTTTATTTTTAAGGGGATTATCTACTTAGCGCTGAAACTTTTATTTACATTTGTTCTTTGGAATTGGGAAAATTATTTTTGTTTTAGCAGCTATCATTGTTTGAGTACATTAGGTACCACTCCTATTGTTTGATTTGGACCATATGTAAATTAATCAAAAAGAGCGCATGTATAACAAATAAAAGACCTTTGTAGTAAACACTTTATAAAGAATGACATTTTATCTATATGTTGTGCAAGCAAACATAAATCATGGCCTAAGCGTCCATTCCAATTTTCATCTAGGCAAATCGATATTTTTTTGATGGTCCAGGTACACCATGTGTTATGAAAGCTATTGTCTATTTGAACTGTCAATGCTTATATTATCCAATATGCAAAATACTATTTCTAAAGCGGTTTATTCGCATATCAGTACCTGCAAATGATGAGGTTATATAAAATTACAAAATTAGACTCTTCATTACGATCACTAATTAATCAATTGCAGAACTGAGAAGGACACAATAGGCAACTGAACAAGATATTAAAGGGGAGGCTGAAAGTAAAAAATAAAGAAAGAATTCTCTAATCATCTGAGAAAATACTTTGATAAGAAATTAAGCACTGGACCGCAATATGCTACATATTCAACTGCATAGAGTTTATTTAATGATTGTGAGGTTTCTTGTATACAAGTATCGGTGTCGGTTAAAAACAAACATGAGATCCAACAACACGATTTATTAGCATATGACAGAGAGCTTGCAGCATGAGATAAACTTTTCCAACAAAGACAGTTGAATGGTTAATTATTTTACACATGAAAAAGATACACATTGAAATAATATATAGCAAGCACATGGAAATGATTTGATGAAGAAGCAAGTGTGAGAGGACAACACAGCTGCCTGAGATCACATAACGTACACAAAAGATCAATTTTATTGTTGGACAGTCTTAGATATATTTGCTTGAAGCCTCATTCAAGTTTTAACCCAATTACTGAGGTGTGTATTACAGATGCAGGATACCACAACCCAAACTTCCTCCACCACAACCAATTCCAGGTGTTTTCAAGATGTAGGGCTTATGACTACTTTTTATCCAAATCAAAACTAATCCACATGGTAGCAAAAAGGTCCACATAACTAGTACAAAACGGTAAAAAAAAACACAGAGTTAAACCTTGGTTAGTCGGTGCACCAACATAAAATAATGCTAACATTCATCGATTTAAGAATTGCTTAGCAATGTCATAAACATTGTTTATATATCAGCTGTTGTAACAAAAAAACCCACAGTAACTTTAATCTGTTTCAAACCACTTAATATCCCCAGGGTTTGCATCCTTGGAAGTATTAACCCCTTTGCCCTGCAAAATGTAAATGAAAGATATTTAGCCAGACTCCTAAATACAGACAGATGTTAAAATACTATCAGGTATTTTAATGGCTCAGGAGCACATTTAGAATACAAACAAACAGGTGTTAATCAGCATTCCTCTGCAGTTCCATGTCGGAGAACAAAAAAAAACAATGTGAGCCATGTCTTAACGTTAGCTTATTAAATATGCATTACAAAGAATCAAATCAGTACTACAGTGAACGGACAGAGGTGTAATAGAGTCCCCACATGGGGTTTTACAAAATTCCTTACCCTGTTCAAAAAACAAAAACACCCCTTTTAAATTGACCACTACTCGAGAAAGGCAGGGGGGAGGGGAAGGAGAAACACACACACACACAACCTTCATTAAATTTAATACATTAAAATACCTGTAGGTCAGCATTGGATTGGCTGAGATCATTGATCTTGGTGATCTCAGCCAAAGAGCAGGAGCCAGCCAGTGCTGTTAGGGAGAAGCCAAGCAAATTCACCTTTTTAAACCCTGGCAGTGGTGACGGCCACTATATACCGTTAGGAATACAAATGTTTACTGTTAATGGTAGTTTTCGTTTAAAGGTTTATTTCAAACATCATAACCACTACAGCCAGCAGTTGTGGTACATTTCTTAATACGGCATTTTGGGTTGTTCCCAAAATTTTTTTAAAAATAAATAAATAAAAATCACTCACATATTCATTTTGGTTACAGAATAAGATTATTGGCGGCAAGTAAACATTTATATTACTTTGACCGAGTTAGTCTAAAACCAATTTAAAAAAAACACGCTCATGTCTGGACAGGCAGTGAAAATGAAACACAAGATAAATATAGATGCTACATGTTAAATAGACAATATTACAAAACAAAGCCAGCTAATTGGTTATTTGAATAATTGTGCAATCAAAAATGATAAAAAATACTTTCTTCAAGGAAGGGTGGAGAAGAAAAGGATACATTTTCTACATCAGCAAACAAGCCACTGATTTAGTACTCGGTACTGATTTGTCAACAGTACAGAGAAGGCTTGAAATAATGTAATTACTATCACTGGAATTATTAAACAAAAGACAAGTTTTTCAGATTTAGGAAATCTCTCAGGGTTGATAGAAACACCAGTTATACAAGTGGAGTCACTTTCCTCCAAAACAACGTATATTGCAGGGTAATATTTTTTAGAAATAACAAAATATTAATATAGGGTAATTATTCCAGAATCTTTGTTAGGCAATATCTTTCTAAAAAAGTATAGCAAAGCAGAATAATAAACAATAAATTTGGTCAATGTCCAGCCCTTAACATGTTGCCATTATGTGCAAAAAAGTACAGTTTGAGGACTGAAGAGAGAGGAGGATTTTGCACTCCTATTGTGCTTATGACATCATTTATAAACCCAGTCACAAAGAACAAAGACACGTAACATATGTGGGGAGGGAAATGTGGTGCTTATCACAGTTTGCCTTCTCTACTGCCAACATTACTTTAAGCCTTTGGTTTTTCACTTATTCATAAATATTAAAATAGATCTTGCAAGTGCTTTGAGCTCTAGGTTGTAAGCGCGTATGAACAGGATCTTAAATAACCTCTTGTTTCACCTTAACATTTGTAATATTTTTTACTTGTTTGCCTTTATAATTCCACATTAAAAGGAACGGTTCCACCCAAATAACCAGTTCATTAAAGACCGCCAGTGTCCTGAACCTGGCCCAAGCACTCAGGGCCACCTGATGGGCCCTATATCTTCAGGGGCCCGGTCAGCACTGCGGCCGTGCAAAGTGCAACCGGGCCCTTTTTATAAAAAAAAAAAAAAAAAAAACAACTGCAGCTGCAAATTACTGCTGGGAGGCAGTGACGGCCGGTGGTCACTTCCTCCCAGCTCCCTCTGCGCGGGAGGGAAGAGAGACAGGCCGCGGGAGCCACGCCGACTCCCATCAGCCACAGCCACTCTCCTGCAAAAAAAGGTAAGCAAAATTAGCTATGTTTGTATGTATGTATGTCTGTGTATTTATTTCAGTCTGTGTGTGTGTCAGTATGTATGTCTGTGTGTATATATATATATATATATATATGTGTCTGTCTGTTTATGCATGTCATTGTGTGTGTGTATATATGTCCTTATATGTGTGTGCGCAGTGTGCATAGGAATTCATTCATATTTTTTTTTTATAGACCGGCACCCAACAGTGTCTGAGGGACCATGAACTGGCCCCCTGTTTAAAAAGTTTGAGGACCCCTGCTGTAGTAGGTTATTAACAAGGCAGGATATAGAAAATTCTAGATTAAATAGAATATGCAATTAAGGAAGTTTAAAAATTAGAGGTCTCTTTACAGGAAGTGTCTAGGAAGGATGTGTACATCACATGCAGGGAGTTGGGTCTAGGACTGTATAAACAAAGCGATATGCATTGGGCAAAACCATCCAATGCTGTATGGGGCCCATTAAGACATTGTACACGTACAACTCTCTCCAAAACAAACCCGAATCCTGATTTCAGCTACTATAAAGAAGGTTTTAAAGCACTTTTATGCCCCCACCCAGGTGGGGTTTTTTTAGTTTTTTTTTAATTTATAATTTGCCCGTTGGCTGCTATCAGGCAAATAGTACTTCAAATTATTGTTCACTTCCAAAAAAACAAGTGATCGATAATTTGTGAATGTGTATCCTCCTCCTGTTTCAGTTTAAAATCCGAGTACACTTCCAACCAAAATTGGCTTTCGTAAAAGAATGAGAATGGTCATTTTTAATTCCCAATTCGTCCATTTTCGCAGAATTTTGTCCATTCAAACAAGATCTGGTGTTTAATAAATAACCCTGTCAGTATTTCTAAAGCTTAACTCTGCAGGTGGCAATGTGGGCTAACACTTAAAGGCCCAATCAGTTTGTTTCACAACGTCTATATGGCTTTATCCTTTAGGTGTACAAAAATACTTCTGCTCATGTTACATAGATTAACCCTTCATGGGTCTCACTAGTTTCAGCCTCTTTTCTAACCCCTTTTTAGCTAGAGTCACAGTGGACCAAAACTCTCTGGATATGTGGATGACTAGCCAGCCATCCCATCTGCAAAGTTCAACTACACTAGCTACTCCAGAGGGTGGGGTGGGAGGGGGTTGCATTATCTCCCAAGGCTGATTTGGATTTGCAGTGTAGTCGTCAAACGGAATGTCATACCAGGGCATGAGTTTATCTGGCATAGTAAGGGTTCTTAGAAATCTGAAAAGCAGCTTGTGAAAAGGACAGATGCACAGCTCTCAAATGATATAAAGACAAGAATCTGTACATAAACCCAGTGTCCTAGTTCAAAGATATAGGAACACAGTGTTTTGCTGTAAAACTCCTTTAAGAAATCTAAAACATAACTTGTTATGCTAACTGAAGGTAAAGTCGATTATTAAAACCTTACACCTCAAGCTGTTCAAGTATGGAAGTGGTGACTTTCGGAGTTGGTCTGTTCTCTATTACGGGAACACTAAACATCGAGACCACTTCATCTCATTGAAGCAGTCTGGGTGCACTGGTCCTGTCCTTTCAACCCTGCAACATGAAACTTTCCAAGCCGGGCTAATGAAAGAGGTTCAGAGAAGGAGCAGAGGACGAAACAGAGTTGGGTGCTGCACAAAAAGTAACACCGACAAAGCTCTGTAGATGGGGCGCTGAAACATGAGGCAAGTTTATCTTAATATTTTACGTTGAATGCGTCATGTATCTTTGTGATATGATATATTCAATGTATTTGGGGCAATTTAAGGCAAGTAATTTGTTATCATAACAGGTTAACTTTAAGGTCAAAATTGCTTAACCAAAAAAAAAAAAAAAAAAAAAAAAATCAGCTTTCATTCAGTTCAGCTACTCTGGCTTTAAAATTTGAAATTCACTTTGAATTCTCAATTAAGCGAATAACCCTAAAGAGTGCATTGAGAGCTAAAAGTAGGAAGGATTTCTGAAACTTTGAAGAGAAATCTGGAAGAATTATTTGAAGAGATGAATCTAGCAGAGAAAATACAGTGCCAAAGCTCCATCACCAGAAGAACATAGTAAAGCTCTTAAATGAAAAATATAGGGTCAGGAACATAAACATGCATTCTCTATAGTATCAAAACCACCATTTAGGTGGTTTACCCCCCTTAGATCGGCCTCCTTGGTGACATCAGCATTTACGATTTGTGGCCATAGGGAAAGCATTGGATTGGCTGAAATCAGCAAGGAGGCAGGATGGAGGTGGGTCAAATGCCATTTAGGCCAAATCAGCACTTCCTCATAGAGATGCATTGAATCAACAAATTTCTATGAGGAAAATTCAGCGTCCTGAACGACAGTGCTGCGCAAAGTTGTGGTTCTGACGGGAAAAACACTGACGTAGAGTTAGTTTTGGTACGACGGGAGACACAGAAAGTGACACCTTCTGGAGAAAAAGAAAGGGCGTCCACGTCAAAAGCGCGTACATCCGAGACACGCTGGAATGAGACAAGGCACAGAAGAAGCGTCATTTTAGCCGTAAGTTGACGCAACGACAATCTGTCATTAGGAGGCCAAGCCTTTAAAAAAAACAAAGGACTGCGTTAACGTCCCACAGTGTCTTGTATTTAGACATCGGTGGTTGGCGGAGTTGAATACCCGGGATTAGGCGGCAAATCAACGGGTCTTGCCCCACCGGTTTTCCATAAACTGGGACGTGGGCAGCTGAGCGGTCCACATTGATCGAGTGATAAGACTTACCATCTGAAAAGAGAGACTACAGAAAGTTAAAAATAGAAGAGATAGGGGCTATAAAAGGCCCAAGAGTTCCAGAGGAGGTCTGTAGCTGTTAGCGATAATTCCTTGATACTTCAGGAACCCCTGAAAGACTTCAGGCCACTGAAGAGAGGCATCTGTCCTGTAGTATTGGATGCGGGTTCCCAACCGGATCCCTGAGAGGGTTGTCCGGTATGAGAAGAGGGAGTTTGCAAAAGAGGGCGAGGAGGTCCGGAAAATAAATTTGGCTCAGCCACCATGGTGTCAAAAGGAGCACCTTCACTCTTTGCAGGAAAATGTGATTTAGAACTCTCGCCATCATCGCAAATGGAGGAAAGGAGTAGGCTCCGTGGGTTGGCCATGTTTGTAAAAATGTGTCCACTGCTGCACTCTCTGGGTAATCAATTGTAGAAGAGTGGTAGTTGATGGTCGCGGGTATTGGGATGTGGGATGCAAAGAGGTCTATCCCCAGTGCACCCCTGAGATAGGTTTGTGAATAGTTGGGGGTCCAGTTGTCAATCCCTGCTGTCTCGCCAGAACCAATCCGCCGTCAAGTTTGTGTTCCCCACGAGATAATGCAATGGACCCCAAATAAATAAATAAATAAAGACATTACTTGAATCAAGGATGATAGAAGTCCCACAACGCATGCAAAACGTGGGAGGGTAATAGTGTCCTGATATAATATCTTGCGAATCTCCTTGCATATGGCTGATATTTTCGCAGAGAGAAGTTGTAGTGTACAGGATTAAGAGTCTTTTGAATCCTAAGAACTGGACACCTAGAGATTCCAGTATTTCCACTGTGTATGTTGTATGTGATAACGGTTGTGTATGGACTTGACCCAGGAGCAGAATGTCGTCCAAGTAGATTATACCCCTTGACGAAGGTGGGCCACCAGCGGTTTCAGAATTTTTGTAAAGCACCATGGTGCTGCATTAAAGGACCACTATAGTGCCAGGAAAACAAACACTCGTTTTCCTGGCACTATAGTGCCCTGAGGGTGCCCCCACCCTCAAGTTCCCCCTCCTGCCGGGCTGGATGGAGAGGAAGGGGTTAAACTTACCGCCTCCTCTTCGGCTGAATGCGCATGCGCAGCAGGAGCCGCACGCATTCAGCCAGTCCATAGGAAAGCATTCACAATGCTTTCCTATGGACGCTGGCGTCTTCTCACTGTGATTTTCCCAGCCACTGGAGGCTGGATTAACCCATTTATAAACATAGCACTTTCTCTGAAACTGCTATGTTTATAAAAAAAAAAATAAAAAAATTAATTAATTAAAAAAAAAGGTTAACCCTAGCTGGACCAGGCACCCAGACCACTTCATTAAGCTGAAGTGGTCTGGGTGCCTATAGTGGTCCTTTAAGGCCGAACGGAAGGCAGGTAAACTGCCATGGGTCTCCATTCCACAAAAACTAAAAAGAAAGGGCGACTAGCCACATAGATCGGAACCAAGAGGTAGGCGTCCTTGAGGTCTAGGCAGGTTAACCTATCTCCATCTTGGAGAAGTTCCTGAAGCAGATGGATGCCTTCCACGTTGAAGTTTTGATAAATCACATGAGCGTTGACCTCCAGTAAGTTTAGGACTGGACGGAAGTTCCTTGTCTTTTTTCAGATGAGGAATATGTTGCTGAAGAATCCCCCTTGTGTTGTGGTTGGTTGGATAGCCCCTTTCTTCCGCAGTTCTTTTAACTCTTGCTCTAAGAGCTGTGCATCTGCGGTTGCAAAAGGTCAATGGGCGGAAAAGGGTGGTCTGACGTGGAGGTGTCTCGAATTCTATAACGGTACCCGCGTACAGTTTGTAAAACCCATGCATCAGAAGGCAATGTTTTCCAGTTCTGGAAAAAAAAAAAAAAAAAAAGTTTGTCAGCTTGTGGAAAGAGTTTTGGTTAGTACAGGTGAAAAAGGTTTTAAATGGCTTAACTGTGGCAAAACGTGCTCCAGCTCGTCCTCTACCGCCACAGCCTCTGGAATAGTGGAACGGTTGTCAGCCTCCCATTTCCTGGTAGAATGGTTGTATGTGTGATGTACGGGGTCCTGATGGCCAGAATCGGCTGGTGGCATGGCTCTGTTCAGCTCTTTTAAAAATGCCTCTCCGAATCATTTGCCTCGGGCTTGCGTGCCTAGTTCCTTGGCCCCCAAATCTGCAAGCTTGGTGTTGATCCTGAACAGTGCTGCACGGCGCCTCTCAGATGAGAGGGCCACATTCGTGTTGCCCAAGAAACAAAAGCAACGTTGGGTTCACTTGCGGATATCATGTGTCCATTCACACACAGTGTCTGCTGTAAAGGATTCCGCTGGGGCGTAGGCCTCATCAGCCAGTGTCATAACGCGAGCCAGTGGCCCGATAGCGTCCAGGAGTTTGTCCTGCACTCCCCGAAAACCATGTTCAACCCCTTTTCGTGGGTCTCTTCCCCCTCTGGACATAAACGATAGCATAAGCTGATCAAATTCTGGCGTGAATGCCACCTTATCTGGGAGGGAGGGGTGTGGGCATCCAAAGCCTTAGCCTTTTTCATACTTTCTTATCAAGCATTTTTTTCAGCCAGAAATGCATAAACCAAATTAGTTATTCTGGGGGTGTCAAATCTGGAGTGCGGATGTGGTATATTCCTCGGTTCAAACATACGTTGCCTTGTAGCGTCGAGTAAAATTTCCTATTTAGGTTGACCGGTGGTAACCGAGGTGTCTGTACCCTCCAATGTCTGGTGCTCACCCAGAAACGTTTCACTGATTAGGGATTAGAATCCCACAGCTAGTCTTCTGAGTCGGAAGCGTCCCTCCCAGGATCCTCTGTGCCTGAGAGATAATTACCTGAGCAAACACGTATAGGTTAATTATCTCTCAGAGACAGAAAAACTAACAAATTTACAAAACACCCCAAAATACACATGAAATACATGAAAACCCCCACAAAAGTCACATTCCCTGATTATCAACGGATAATTGGGGGGCGCAACAAGGGGAGGGGGAGCCACCCAGAAGTGAAAGGTGAAGGGAAGGGACCCCCGGAAGGCAGGTATTGACTACCAGGGTGTCCAGGACCCGGTGATAACCTCCCCAGTGCCCCAATGAAACAATTTACCAGAGCAAACTCCTAATAAACGTGGATAAAAGCATGGAAAAGTAATAAAATCAATTAATAGAAATTTACAATAGTCAAGAGTAATGTAAGAACAAAAACACTCTGACCTGATGGAGCAGCAAAGAAAGAGGAAGTAGCTCAGTGGGAGGGGCTTATTATACCTTATCTTTACATCTGATTGTTTTTTGTTTCTTTATTCTTTGCTGCTATGAAGTAAAGAAAGTTTTTTGAAAAATATTAAATCTCCTATCACGTGGTAAAATTATTATACTCACCAGAACAACTACATTAAGCTGTAGTTGTTCTGGTGTCTATAGTGTCCCTTTAAAGTAGAGTATGCCAAACATACAACAAAAAAAGTTAGAGGAACCGCATGGGGGCCATAACAACTTCACTAAAATTACTTTGTTATAGCGCCCGTAGGTGCCTGTTGCTTTCTAACCGGAAGGGGTTAAACTGTTATCCTTTGCTTTAACCCCAAACAGTTGCTTTCCAGTGCCGGATCTCTTTTCCCAGCGGCATCTGGCTTCTGCAACTGAGTTTCAGGAAACGCCTGATTGAAAAGGCACTTTTTAATGATTGGGGAGGTGCGGATTGGCTTAGAGAATCAGAATCACTCTAGCCAATCAGCAGCACTATTGCCCAGCACCACTATGCACTTCCTGAAACTCAATTGAAGAAGCCGGATTCAGCTGGAGACCAACGTTTGGGACTAACTCATTCAAGAAAAAAGCGCCACGGACGTCTGGGCACCATAGCTACCTAATTTTAATGTATTAGATTGATGAAACTAAGAGAGCACTTATGAAAGAACAAGGATTCACAATGGATTGGCTTTTACAAAAGTGATGAAAACAGCCGCGTTTGTCCAAGCAAGAGAGGCTTTAGGAGGCTTACAAAGTTCACAGACAAAAGTGTTTAATTTTAAGTAAGTTTAAATATCAGCATTAGAGAGGTCAAAGTTTTATGAACAGAGACCAAAATGGTGTGTGCTGGCATGAACATCTGGAGCACACACTTTCCTGTGTCTGCACACATCAGGCTGATGGTTGAGTCAACAAAGCTAAAAAGAAAAAGTGGACTACGAGGACCTGCTAGAAGCCTCTCATATAAACAGTTCTGACTGCATGATCAACAAATGTGACCAGTGTCCAAGTATAGAGCCATTACTGCAGATGCTTGAAGAGTCGCAAACACTTCCTGATAACATAATCTGCAAGCAGTGGATTATGACCAACAGAGCAGATACGATTATGGTCATTCTGCCTGGGGATGAAGGCTTACAAAATCTGTTAAAGACACAATTTTTACTGCAAAAGCTCAGTACTTTATAAACCGAAAAGTCATCATGAAAGGTTTGCCTTTCTAACATACCGTATATATATTTTTTTTCCCTGACAGGTCTGCAAGCAAATATTAAAACAAGAAGATTTTTGCCAATCTTTAAAAGACAAAATGTATTTATTTGCAACATTCTATGGCAAAAATGCAGGGGATGGGGTTGGAGTGACAACTAAAGTCAGTTTGCAGAGAACAACAGAGGTTCACATCATCACCCCTGAAGATATGTTACATTTTCGTAACGAGAAGGTTAAGAGGGTTATATAAACCCACGTCAAAAGTGAGGAAGTATCTTCATGAATTGTAACTCAAGGACAGGTGTGAGAAGTGCAAGACAATTTTCAAAAAAAATTTAATTTCACCATATTGAGACAATATCAATAGGTACTATCAGGTGCTTCTTTACATCGGCATCACAAGAGTTTGAAGAATAAGCAGTGATAAAATTTGTCACCCTGATCCTATGGAATGACTGTTGCTTGTGTTCATGATGGCCAGTGCGGATTAGGCTTAGTTAAAGGGACACTATAGTCACTAGAACAACTACAGTTTATTGCATTTGTTCTAGTGAGTAGAATCATTCCCTTCAGGCTTCTTGCTGTAAACACTGCTTTTCAGAGAAAAGACAGTGTTTAACATTACAGCCTAGTGATAACTCCACTGGTCACTCCTTAGATGGCTGCTAGAGGAGCTTCCTTCTGCAGAGTAAGCAGCACTGCCATTCAGTGTCTCCACCCTCTGCATGGAAACACTGAACTTTTCTCATAGATATGCACTGATTCAATTGATCTCTTTGAGGAGATGCTGATTGGCCAGGGCTGTGTTTGGCTTGTGCTGGCTCTGCTCCTGATCTGGCTCCTTGACAGCCAATCCTATGGAGAAGCACCGTGATTGGCTCAGACCACCACTTCTGATAAGGTCAGCAAACAGAGGAAAATCTCAAGCAAACAGGGGCAGGGCCAGACTTGAATACAAGTAAGATTTTACTATACTTAGGAAGGTAAGAGGGGGTCAGATGGTGGGTTAAACACTATAGGGTTAGGAATACATATTTGTGTTCCTGACCCAATAGTGCTCCTCCTTTAAGAACATCAGTGAGTAAAACTGATTTTTTTTTTTTTAAATTACATTTTCCACCCACCTGGACCAATAATATCACTCAAGATATCCACTGAAGACAATCTGTGGATTCCCATAAACAATATACTCAGAAAACTGGCACCTGTCGAGTTGACTGATGCTACTGGATGCTCCCACAACAACATTTTTAAAAGACTGAAAACTAACAGCTTGTAATCAAACATGTAGTTTTGGATTGAGGTTTGCCAATAAACATAATTAATATCGAATAATGCCCATTTTTTTTATTATGCCTTCATTTCTCAGAACACATTAATAAAGTAGGCTTTTCCCCATTGTTCTAATAGACCTAACACCGTACCAGCAGAATCGCAAATAATATTTTTATAGCAGAATGCTACCATACAGGACTTTTATATCTGAATTTGGGGAGAGGGAAAAATAAACAGATCCCACCTTAACAAAATAGTAGTCTCACACCCAAAATGCTCAGATTTTCTGTAGCCAATTTTTTTTACCTAGGTACGCCCTAAAAAAGTGTAAAACCCATAACAGACTGACCCTAAAAATGTTTACTTTCAGCAACCTTGAGCATTGCATTAGAACCTAAAGCAGTAGCTCTGCCTTTTGTCAAGTTTTGCCAAGCGTAGGAAATATACCAGGACAAAAAAAAAAAAAATACAAAATAAATAAATAAATAGTCCCTACTTTGTGTTTGTATATCTTTTGACTGTGTTGGAATTTCCGTGAATGCAACAGTCAAGGTTAGTATTTATTTACTAAGTGTGTGGGGCTTGGTTACAGAGCCGCTTTATGTCCAAGTCTAAGGAAATGTGCAAAATGTACATACACCTTGTAATGTACTGTAGAGATCAGTTTTTGGTCCAAGGAGCTAGGACCATCCTAAGGTGAGATATTAAAGTTTCCGCAAACATCTGTATAACCAAAATTTGTTTTGTAGCATGACACAAAGATGGTCGCCATGGTTAAGGCAAGTAAAATAAAGGGGGAGGGTTGCTGGTATGTAACTTCACCCTGTGTCAATCAGCTAGCCTAAAACTTTCTTTCCTGGCAAAATCTACTTATTCCAAGTTTTAAATGCACCATCTAACCACAACATGCACACCTTGGACTAAACTTTCTCTCCTCCCAGGAGAGAGAGAGATAAGCCAGGGATCTTGCAAAGGTGAAACGTGGCTCTGCAAATAGCAGAACATGGAACAATCCACTAAACTGAACTGGGCTAGGTGTAAACTTTTACCTGCCGTAGTATGGCAGCTACTAGTTTACATAACTGTTCCACTCCTGAAGAGGTTTATGGGATAACAGTTTCTTCCTTGTCGCGAGATGAGGAAACATTCTACAGTACTTAAAATTACTACTATAGGCACCCAGACCACTTCAGCTCAATGAAGTGGTCTGGGTGCCAGGTCCCTCTAGTTTTAACCCTGCAGCTGAAAACAGTTTCAGAGAAACTATGTTTACACTGAGGGTTAATACAGCCTCTAGTGTCTGTGTCTGACAGCCACTAGAGGTGCTTCCGCGATTCTCACTGTGAAAAATCACAGTGAGAAGATGCTGACGTCCATAGGAAAGCATTGAGTAATGCTTTCCTATGGGCAGTTTGAAGGCGCACGTGGCTCTTGCCGCTCATGCGCATACGGCGCTGACGTCAGCAGGAGGAGGAGAGGTCACCAGCGTTGAGGGAGCCTGGCGCTGGAGAAAGGTAAGTGGCTGAAGGGGATTTTAAGAAGTGTCAAACCTTTATGTTTTGTTGCATTAACTACCAAATCACTTATAACCATCACTTATAAGAAAATTAAACCAATAAAACAATCAAAAAAAGAGTGGTGGGTGATTGCAAGATAAAGAGGTGTGATTTTCTACATTTAATTAAATTTTCTCAATTCATGAACACATATTTGTAAAATATACGAGACAAACATCCAGAATATTAAAATGCTAGAAAGTAACCGTTTCCCTTTAATAGTATTTTTATACAAAATCATCACGTGTTTCCGACTGTGGCTGAATTCAGAAATGCAACCAGGCCACTTCATTGAGATAAAAAAAAACTATATAGTCACCCAGACCATTTTAAGTGGCTATGTCAGGATGGTACGGTGTTCTACATACTTGGCTTCAAAATAAAAAAAATTTAAAAAAACCCACACACAACAACCCTGGAATAGGAATTCTTATTCAATAAGTAAAACCTCACGCCTGTTAAAAGGCCCAGTCGGGGTCCAAAATTAAAAGAAATTCTTGCATTTGATGCATATAATGTTAATAACAGCTATTTATTTTTTGTAAACTAACAATATCTGTCATGACGTTGCGTAAAGAGGGGGGAGAAAAGGATTATTCCAAGACATGAGTTAGAGTGTAGTCTTTTTCTAGAGCAGGGAATCCATTGTACAGCGCTATGGAATTTGATGGCACTATATAAATGATAATAATGGTAGGGACACCAATTATAATAACCACAGTTTATTTGAGTAACTATAGTACAATCTCCTCAGGCATTTTTTGGAGGTCTGACAAAAACACAGAATTTTTGTACACATGATGCTCTAGTGAAATGGAAAAGGCGGAGAGTATAAATATCTAGCTTGCACTCTCCTTGAGTATTGTGTCAACAATATAGGCACAAACCCCAGGGTCACATAAGCAGGCAAATTACAAAGATAAACAACGTGGTATGTAGTATATGTACAAAACAGAGTCTTTGATCCTTAATGACCTCAATATTTTTGATTAGAGTAGAAAAGGGTAATTTTTTTGTCCCACTCGTCAATTTCTCTTAAAAGGGACACTAGAGTGTAAGGAAAGAAAATCTTTATTCCTAACACTATAGTGTCCCTCTGCTGCCCCCATCACCAGCTGTAATTAAAGGGTTTAAAAACCTTTTATTAAACACTTACCCAATTCCAGCACCGAAGTCTCTTGGCGCTGGCGCCTCTGACATCAGTGCAGAGGGAGAAGCTAACGTGCATGCGCGAGTGCATTAGGCCTTAGTCATGGTAATGCATTCCTACGGGGGACTTGAAGAAGCTGGATGTAGTCTTACATGGCGTGAGGATATCCAGTGTAATTTCCCGGGGTTAAATGCCGTATAAATGCAGGCAGCACCTCTAGTTGGCTAATGTAATCCTCTTGGATGTTGAAAAAATTGGAACGGCAATGATAGGCTGCATGTGTGGGTCTAAACCTCCCACAGCCCATCAATGTATGTATAAAATAGTAAAGTCAAATTCCTCACTACTTCAAAAGCAGCAGAGGATCAGGCTTTAGATGTCAGAGCTAATCTTAGGTTTTTTTTCAAACCTCTCAAAAACAGTTTGGCAAAATAAAATAATATTTAAAAAAAACAAACAAAAAAAACATTACAATAAGCTCTGGCTGTTATTGTAAACAAGGAGTTGAGGCAAGTCTGTGACATTGAGGGGAGTCAAATGAGGAAGGAATGCATTTAAATATAAACAAGGTAAGCGGTTAAAACAAGAAACTATTTTATAAACTGTTCACCTCTCAAATACGTTCGTGCTCAACAAATACAAGGTCATCATGCCTACTTGAGATGGTGTTGTGGTGCTTACATGCTGGTCTACTCAATTAAGTCTAAGTATCAAAATCGCTACAGAGCACTATACTGGTTATGATGCCAAGAGTCTACCTGTACTTCCACAATTTTATACTTACCCAAGCCCTGAGTGCTGGCGGTCCTTCCCACTCTCCATATCACCAATGTCTTTTTAAATGTTGAAGCAGTTTTGTTCCAAGAATGTAAAAAGTTCCAAAGGTGACAACGCCCAAGTCAACTCTCTATTTGCATATTGCCAAACACTGGCCACCAGACAATGATATGTTGAAAGTGCACAAGAGGACAAGAGTGTGAAAATGGAAGAAAATAAAAACTGCAAAACAAAACAGAAACATAGAATGAGGTGAACCATCAGAGGCACCGTTACTAAGAATAGCATCATTTATGCCTCCAAAACTCCCCTTGCTAGGTTAGAGTCCTAACCTACATTGGTCAAAATTCATAGAACAGACAGACAACAATTTGGTTCTTTGGATACGCTAATCTTCAGAATATTATTTTCTACTCTAAAAACATATATAGGAGTTCATTGAAGGAATACAAGCACCATAACCATGGAATGACCTGAGCCCCCTAAGTAGTCAGTCCATATTAAAAAAAAATGTTGACATCTTAACCGGGGTTCGCTAGAGCACAGCTTAGATCACTGGCTGACAGCAATCAGCTGACACTCTCACCCAATGAGCGGCTCCTGCAATGAGAGTGTAAGCAAGAGCTTTTAGCTGACCTGGAGGATGCAAAGAGCCAGGGAGCGGCACTCTGAGGACCCCAGGTAAGAAGTCAAAACTGTCCTAAAAGAGGGTTACTACTTCTGTGGAGAGACAGGTCCTCTCAGCACCAGAACAAGTGGTTATGGTGTGTGGAATGTTGCTTTAAAAGGTTACAGACTATGTTCTGTACATATGCTACATACCACATTATTTATATAATTAATTTCATTTTCAAATGACTCTGTGGAGAAGTGCCCATACTACAGATCACAAATCCTATGAGGGAGGCGAGTCAGATATTTGTAGTCACCACCTTTTCCATTTTACCAAAATGCAGTTTTTTTCCCTCCCCTCTTTCTTATCTAAGCAAAATGAAAATCTGCATTACCATTCCAAGTATTAACATATCATACTTTTTCTCTAACCAGCAAGAAAGGGACTAGATGTGTTTGTTAAACTTCAAAAGAAGCAACCAATGAGATTTAAATCAGGATACAAGAGCATCTTAATGAAGACCCAGCTTGGGTTGGAATATTGATTATATATTTATTTCCGTAATCTATGTAAAGGGACACAACAGGCACCTAGACCAATTCATCTCAATGTAGCGGCCTAGGTGCAGTGCACCTGTCAGGTTTGTAGACACGTCAATGTTTCCACTGCAGGGCTAAACAACCATCGTGTTACAATAGGCTATTGTGTTGTGATAACCAAGTCAAACTCGGTTCTCACACGTCACCTACTCCTAACCTAAGATAGCATTTGGTTGGAGGAGTGTGCCCAATGCTTCTCTATGAGAAGCACTGAATTGGACGAGAAAATTAAGAAATCAGGAAATCATCCAGAGAGGAGCAGCACGCTATATATATATATATATTTTTTTTGTTTTGTTTTTTTAAGTTTAGCAGACCCCCATATCTAAATAGGCAGGAGAATGCTATAGCATTAGGAATAGAATAGTTTGTTTGTATTTACTGTTCCTTTAATATTGCTACAAGAACAATAGAGAGTGTCGTAGTAATATTTCCACATACCCACAGTACAGAGCTTGCACCCAGGCACTACCACGTTCTTTCTTTGACCCATTTGGTATCCAAATGCTAGGTACACAAACATACACATAGGTGTACGTTACTTGTTACCGATTCGTTTTGCTGAGCTTTGCTAAAAGTGCTTTTCAGCAATATTCAGGTGATAAACTGCCACAAACGCCCTCGGTAATGCTAAATTCTCAGCACATTAGGTAGCTTACTGTTTAATTCTAAATAACATTTGATTTTCTCACTAAAGCATTAACTGTTAGGATTTCAAAGTAGAATTTAGACTTAATGTGACAAGTCAAAATTACAAAATATAATATACATATACTCCAAGCTTGCTTTTTTTGTGCCTATAATTTTAAATTCACATTGAATTGCAAAACCTTTATAGTGAATAACCATGAGAGTGTATTAAGGAGCACATATTGGTTACATGAAAACCAACTAATCTTACAATAAGGCAAAAAAAAACAAAAAAAAACAAAGTAGGCAAAATCTCTAATTTAGACAAATGTTAATTTATTTTCTAAAGCTTATATTTTGACTTTATATGATGGTTCTCAACCACTATTTTATAAATAGAACCTACGGTTCTTGCAGTTTGATTATGCCACAGTTTAAATATGGCCCAGAGGGTAGTCAATACTTATGAAAGAAAATTATTTTGTCATACTTTAACACTTGTAGGATACAAATAGTTTTGTTAACACTGCACATTTTGGTAACAAGTTTTCATATATCCATGTAGCACTACTTATAACATTGCGTAGTATGGAAGCTTTGTATGTCAACATAACATAACATCTTTTGACCTCGGAATTTCAGCTAACCTGTTATTAGCATGTATTTAGACCCAACATTTTCCACAATTGATTTACATTTATAAAAAAAAATTGAGATATTAGACAAGTTACAAGATTGACAAAGTAAAAGAAATGTTAAGAGACACAACAGGTGAAGAAGGCTCCGCTCAACAGGCTTTCGAGCAAGGTGTAATTATCCTTGGTGATTTATTAACCAATAATAGAATTGAAAATGTAAATTATTGGCCTAAATAGACAGGTGGGAAAACTTTATTTTCCTGCGCGGCTATTTTGGCCAATCCTTGTAATTTCCTTTCCATTTCTCTACAAAAAAAAAAACATTCAAAACACCATGTTTTACGTGCTTTGACTTCTCTACAAAATACATTTCCATGTGAATAAAACAAAAAGAAAGCTGATTAAGTAGAAAAACTGAACCTTACCTGAGAAAGTTGCCTAGGGTTAGGGCATCCAAAAAGGGCAGAACTGGAACTGAAACTGATGGCGCCTCTGCGGCTCAGGACGTGCTTGGGTACCGGCCTGTCCAAGGGCAGCACCGGCAACTGGTAACATACTTCCATTGAACACTGCCTCAGTGGGGCAACCCACCAAAAAACACAGGGAGGAGGAGGAGGAATAGGAGGAGGTGGGCTGAAAACAAAATAACTGAGGGAAATGGCACACTGGTGTGCACCTGTACATCAAAAAAAGATGGTGATTTCAAAAGAGGGGTGCAATCAGAGTGCCAGAGACATTTCTAATGAATAAAGGAGTTATCTTGGGGGGGAGGGGGGGAGGAAATAAAAAAAAAAAATATATATATATATATATATATACACACACACACACACCTTTCAATTGTTTTTTGACCATAAATATATTGAGAGAGATAATATGCAGACACACACACACACAGTAATGTTATAAAAGGACACTAGATGTGGAAGCAGGGGATGAACAGATCCTGGAGATGTCAGCAAGGAGATGGCACTGCAGAATGGGGATGGATAATACAGCAAGAGCTGATGGGGCTCTTTTTTTTTTTTTTGGAGTGAGAGGGGTGTGATCAGGGTTTGTTTTGCCAAAATAATCCAACCAGTAAATAATGAATGAGATCAGGACCGAAGCCCCTTTGGTTTGCCTTATGCAGAGCAGTGAGTCCTCCTGCAGCACTGAGGGGTGGGGGCACAGGCAGTCTCCCAGCCAGGGCACAGAACAAAGCGGGCTCCTGGGTGTTGCTGTGGTGACGGCTCCTCAGTGGGCGCTTGGTGGCCATGCAGGGCCGGTGTTCGCAGTGCCCGGGCTCCCTGGCCGTGCAGCTGGAGCAGCCCGGGGCTGGCACTGGTCTGGAGTGGGCTTCGGCAGACTGCGGCTTCTCCTCCCTCTCTGCGGGCTCTCCTCTCCCATCTTCCCGTGCTCGGCGGGGGTCACAGCCGCCACATCTCCCCCCGGCTCCGGGCTGCAGGCCTCCCTCCCTCCGCACGGACTGTTATACTGGTAACCAGGCCGGGCTGCCGGCTGTGTCACACTCACTGACCGTCAGACTGGGTCTCTGGCTCCGCCCACTCGCTATCCAACACAGGATGTTACAGCCGTCCCCTCGTTGCTCCCTCCCTACCAGAGTGCTAAGCCAGCCTCGCCCCGCCCACAATGTCTCTACTGCTGCGTAACCCCGCCCACAATGCCTTCACTACAGCGTAACCCCGCCCACAATGGCTTCGTTGCTATATAACCCCGCCCCTGCCGATTTAAGCCCGCCCCCACCTCTAGGCTACATATAGTTCCAATGGCTCTCTCTGCCCCCTCCCAAATCGAGTCCCACCTCACAGTCTGACTCTCCACCTCCCCTGCGCAGCCTGCCATTCCATCCAGCTCTTCACCTCCCCCTGCGCAGCCTGCCATTCCATCCAGCATTCCACCTCCCCCTGCACAGCCTGCTATTCCATCCAGCTCTCCAGCTCCCCTGCAGCCTGCCATTCCATCCAGCATTCCACCTCCCCTGCGCAGCCTGCCATTCCATCCAGCATTCCACCTCCCCCTGCGCAGCCTGCCATTCCATCCAGCTCTCCACCTCCCCCTGTGCAGCCTGACATTCCAACCAGCTCTCCACCTCCACTGCGCAGCCTGCCATTCCATCCAGCTCTCCACCTCCCCTGCGCAGCCTGCCATTCCATCCAGCATTCCACCTCCCCCTGCGCAGCCTGCCATTCCATCCAGCTCTCCACCTCCCCTGCGCAGCCTGCCATTCCATCCAGCTCTCCACCTCCCCTGCGCAGCCTGCCATTCCATC